TGATCAGACCGCGTCTCAAGTGAAATATTAAATGTAAAATTGTGTGCTGTTAAAGAAATCGTTTAAACCGTTAAAAATGTTATATATTTAAATTGCTATAATCCAATAATCTTACATGAAATATGAAATTTTAATATGTGCACTGTCTAACGGAAATTTTTAAACCGTTAAAATTGTTCCATTTAAATATCTACTGTGCCTACTGCTAAGGAACACTTTAGGGATAAAAGAGGTTCTATATTAACTAAACTCAATTTAAGATTGAAAAAAATTTACGACACGGGCAGGACTGAATGGACATCCACACCGTTTCGGCTGTTGCTCTAACCAACTGAGCGATATACATTATATATTAGTTAAACTTATTTGAAAATTATTTTTCGCATGCAGTAGCCGTGGTCACGGGGAGAAAATAAGTTTAACTAATATATATCGCGTTTCAAACCGTCAAAGTGTTTTATTTAAATGTGTACTAGTCACGTAAAGTACATTCCTTCCATGTGTTTATTTCACACCTCTCAATGATAACAAATCGTTACCTGCACCTAAGTAGTAAAGCAATTAGATATGAACGCTATCTGTTCGTGTTACTTCTTATCATTGTTCGAGACTTTAATTTTTACAACACAAAGTATTGGCTATTAAAATAAGTAAGTACTTGTACATATTTTAATACAATAGATACGTCATAATATGCAAAATATCTTTGTCACAGGAGCACTTGATATAAAGGCGAAATACTGCAGCCATAAAACATCAACAAATGCGCCGTCGACCTATGTCTATGGAATTATATATACCGAAACGGTAACTCGATTAAAATCCTCAGTTTTTTCAGTTGCAAACAATTGATAAAATAAATACAGTCTGTAGTTTATGCGAGTAGTACACATTTAAATAAAACACTAACGATTTAAAAACAATTTTACTATTATATTTCGCGTTCTAAACCATTAAAATATTTTCTTTACACGAATGAAATAGTTCTTATTAAAGCAAATATCCTTAAATTAATCTATTAAGTAATCAATAATAATTATTATTACAATAAACAGTATACTAGCTAAATGTTCAAACTTTACTTAGGGTCGATTCTAAATCGTCGTAAATTTACACTGAGGTAAGTCACTAACGCGTCTATCGTTTTGTTTGAGAAATACCCCCCGCGTTTTTAGACTTTGTAAAACAAAGTTAATCTATTATTTCGAATAAGGTGGAACATTTGATTTAATTGATAACTAGCTTTATAATTAGTACTTAATGAAATAATTTCGATCAAATTTGATTGCCATAAAAAGGTTTTTTGGGGGTTAATCTTAAAAGATAGACATATACCGTCGAGGACATGTTTTAAGATCATTTAAAGAGGAATCATTCTTTGATACATATTTTGTTGAACCGTTTTCGCAGCGCACGCAACGAAAGCCGTCAAAGATAAATCATTACCTATTTTTCCCCACATTTCCCACTGTTTCTCCTGCCCTATTGGTCGCAGTCCGTTGTTTTAAAACCACAAAAATAATTTTTAAACTCGAACCACCAGTTCCTGAGATTAGCGCGTTCAGACACCTTCAGCATTATATATTAGTAAACACACTCCTGCGCAGTCATTGAAGACGAATCGAAATTGAGAATAGTTTCATGATAATTTACTGTTGTATAAGATTATATTAAGCTAGCTAATGTAAGTGACCAATAGCTCGATTACATAACACCATCCATTAAACTGGGTTCGTGGGAAAACTTTTATCTCTTAACTACTGATTTAATAGACAGTAAGAATGAATTACAGATGATCAAATTAAAAATGATGTGAAATAAATTATTCTAATTTATTTAAGCTAATTCTTTTCAAACTCGAACTATTTATGTATTTCAGAAGACATAGTTATCTTAAATAATAATTTAATAACTACATAAAAAAAAGAAAAAATTCTTGTGAAATGGGAGAAAGCACTCGGCATGTGCATCACCACCCAAGAGTAGAGGAGACGCGCCGGTTTTCAGTGCCCCCCGGGAAGAAGGAGTGACCGAACAACGACAAAACTACAAACTTTTAAATTAAAACTACAACACACATTTACTTATGTAATGTATACTGGAATGTGTGTGGTAAACTCTACAAAAAATACAGTTCAACTTACATTATCTCAAACCCAAACGAATGTTACAACGAAGATGTTGCGGTATTCGGAATCGATCTATGTTTATGTAAGATACCGCAATTGCTCAATTGTATCGCGCGCAATACTGTTTCTATGTGTACTGTGGTTTTACGATTGACGTATACCGCGTTTTAAGTTAACGTTGGCTTGGAGGACGCTTAGTTATTCCCAAAATTTGGTAGTCAAATTCAGAAGTAGAGTCAGAAGTATTTGGTAGAACTACTATCCTTTATGGTTACAATATACACCTATAGCTGGCTACATAGAGTAGGTACGGGCCACGGGGTCACCAAATGTGCATGTTAATTAAATTTAAAAAAACGATATTTTTGTAATTTTCACTTAAAAAAGGTATAGCGAGTTTTCTGTATGTTCAATAAAATATCATAACATACCTACTTACTTAATACAAATGCAATAGTAATTCAAGAGTGTATGATATATTTTTAATTTTCACACTTAACGGTATAAAACACGTAATATTAGTTTACTTGTTTTTAACTACGGTCCAACATTTCGTATCTCACCGCTACGGCTGCTGTAAAGGACCCGAAACGTTAAAAAAAACATATAGGTCAATATTGGACGGTGTTAACCGTTAAAATTGTTTTTTTGAAACATTCACACGTAGGAGTAAGTAATGATTCGGAAGTACTTATTTAAAAATAAAGACTCGAAGCCAAGACCAATAGGGTTTCTAGGGGGAAATCTTACAATCAAACATCATTCAAATCTAGTATGCGTCACTGATATCGTATAGTTTAATTTCAAATCACTTTTACAAACTGGTACATATTTAAATAAAACACTTTAACGGTATAAAACGCGAAAGTGTTTTTTTTTAATGTGTACTACTCGCGTAAACTATAGACAGTATTTGGTACATATTTTTTATTTACACGAATAAGGTGGTAACTATCTGCACAATAATTGCGACGCGAGTCAACCCGAGGGCAAAGATCTGTTCTAAACATAAGCACATCTCAACGGAGGTGAAAATGATAGAAATGCACTCATCAACAACGAGGAAAACTAAAGGACGACACCTTGAGAAATGACATCATGGTCACGGCACGCCATTGTTGATGATGACATGCTAACGATAATATCTTAATAATATTAAGTATAGCACAAGTTCCCATATACAATTGTATGGACCACCTTCTACCACGAGTTTGTGAGTGTATAATATATTAAATAGTGTCTATAGTTTGCGCGAGTAGTACACATTTAAATCAAACACTTTAACGGTTTAAAACGCGATATGTTAATTAACTAATATATCGCGTTTTAAACCGTTAAAGTGTTTTATTTAAATGTGTAATATATTTTCAACTCGTCAGGCATACTAACAGTAATGCAAGATTATTACTAAGTAAACTATTTAAGAAGTCTATAAAAATATCAATAAAATTGAAGAGAAGACTCTACTAAGAGTTTTGAACAGCAGCAGTACAACTGGTAAAAATGTTGCTGCCCACAATCAAATTATTTCTCTTGGTTATGTTGGACCGTAGTTAAAATAATTTATATTAAGTTTAACTTATTTCGCTTTTAAATTACTTATTAAAGTATTTATTTAAATTCAATTAGCCTAGCATACCAACATTTTTAATTTGCATTGTAAATGTTCCTCAACATATTGTATAAAATAATATTGCCTTATTCATGTTTAAGTGGCAAGTGTAGCAACATTTTTCAAGCCTTTGCAGAGAAAATGAAGCAGTTGAAGATGTGAGATGGAAAATATATACAAAACACAGCTGGCTACAATATTGGTAATAAACTGGAGATAGGATTTCTATTTCTTCAATTCAAAAAAAGCCAAAAACCTGATGAGACTCACAAAAACGAATCGGCTGATGAGACATAACAGGAAGCGCTAAATAGACATCTTAGATCATCGAAAGCTAGAAATGTAACATGTAACAGGACATTGCTGTCTTAAATAGACATCTTACAATGATAGGAGGAAAGAAATAGAGAAGGAAAGACACACCTGTCTGTCCGAGTGTCCTGATAGAATTTATTAGAAAGTATACACAATCGTATGTCTTCTGCAGCATCCGGAAGATTAAGGGGATACACTGACAGTAGGATAAGCGAATGTCCTCCATTAGGGGAAATGGGGAAAAAAGTCACGATCATGTGGATTGATCACCGGGCTTTCATGGTGTCCCTGATAGAAAATAATAAGTTTTGTCTTTATGTATATATTAGTCAAAATTAAAGATTTATGACAATAAACTGGGCTAGGATTTTTTATAAAAGCTTCTTATTTTCCTATTGCTAAGCCTGGAATCCGGGATTGATCACTCACACATGCCATATAAAGATATAATATAATTTTATGAGCACTTAGAATGGACATTTTAATAAACATCTTATCAATTATGATAAAGTTTGGACGAACCAAACTACAGTAATTTATGCAATAAAACAAAATTCCTTGAAATGATCACTACTCTAGTTCAATGGAGTCTATTACAACAAACTTTAAAAATAACTGTCAAAATTAAGTAATTATTGCCTAAAATACATATTATATACTATCTTATCTTATGTATTCGTATAGTTAAGCTGAAACGTATATACATTTTTATTCCATAAATAGCTGCTTGCTACAATTGTCACAAGTAAATTTTTTATTAAATTGTTTTTATTTACACAGATGGTCAATAGACGACTTTACATAAGTAAAAGTGATTAATACGGTCTTTTCTGTTTTAATATAGGAAGTTAGCAATAGGCACAAAACACAAGACCACGATATACTTCGCGTGTGATGAGTAACAAAATAAACAAGTTTAAACTCAAAATATTTATAAGACTCACCTCACATGCAGATTTTCAATAAATTTATCCGTAGTCAAATTGTCCAGAAGGACAAAGTCCGGCACTCCAACTTCAGGCTGGGTCGTCATTGTAATCACTTATTGAACTACATACACAAAAAAATAACTTTTTGCTTCAAATTTATACGTAAGTCAACAAACCGTTAGATATAAAAACACGACACACAACTGATCGAACACAACATCTAAGATAAACTGTCATTTTTTCAAATTTAGCAAATCAAATATGGTCGTCGCAGAAATTATTGCCATTAAGTAAAATAGTTCATAGACAATCATTAAAATTTATATATCCCTTTTTTGATGTAATCTTTTCATTTGAAGATGAAAAAATATAAAAATAAATAAAGTTGAACGAGTGACCAAATTCACAGATTATAAATTAAACGTGTGGAATTTTGTAATAATCTGTATAAGATGTATAGACAATTTCGCTTTCATAATCTGTCAGAGGCCATTTTCCTTGTTGTAGGCGCCTCAAATGTCATAATAATTTCCAGTTTCTGAAATTACGTTTTATTTCCTTTTTTGCGTTATTTTTAAAGTTTTCGTGATGCAAACAGTTACATAAGTGCATTTATTTTCAATTTTCAACTATTCATGTTGTTACGTTTATGTTTTTAAGTGTGTTCGCACTTGACGCACCAAGGACCTTTGATTGATGTTCTACAATGAGAGGTAAAGAAAACCTTTTGAAAAGGTAGCACGTACATAATATTAACGCCCACAGACATTGTCAAGGGCTTCTTGTGTGGTATTTGTTGAATTATTTAAAAGGAATGGTGCGGTGAAGCTATTTTTATGTTCAGTGCGTATATGAAGAACAATGAGTGATTCTCCAGGGGTAGAGTGGCTACCGGCTTACAGCCCGGGGCCGCCGCGGCATAGCCCGCTCGGCCCTATTCCCCGATTCCTCTACGAAGATGTCCAACCTTTGTGTTTGCAACAGGAAAACAATAACAAGGAAATTGAGGAGAAGCTCAATGCAAATAAAATTAAACATCCTAAGCCAGCTTACAGGTAATGGATTAAAACTTTTCCTCATTCTAAGGAACCTTCGGTTTATAAATGTACATAATTTAGATGAGGTCATATATACTGTCTATAAATATTATTTTCCGTGGGCTTCAAATAATAACCAGCAATTTATTGATGGACTTTAAAAGTAAAGACGCATACAGTGAAAACCCTATTCTCCCCCCATGGGGTAGGGGGCAAACATATTTCTTCAGTCAATCTTATTTATAGGGCAGTAGTTGACTAGACTTCTGTGCCCAGCCTGACCAAAATATCAAATATTTCCGTAGGATTCAAACCCAAGGCCTCTCTAAATGCCATGCCAGGCATCACGTTGAATCATTTATCTACAGAAGTATAAATTGTGTTAAATTGATGGCTTTGCACTTATTCATGTTATAAATAAACTATCAAATTTCAGCTATGCGAGTATGATCAGACTGGCTATCAGTAGCTCGCCAAATGGGAAAATGACTCTTAATGAAATATACAATTACATTTGCAACGCCTTCCCTTACTATAAGGAAGCTGGAAAGGGTTGGATGGTAAGTTATTATTGTGACACACAGTCTCTTCTTATTTGGTTCTGGTTTAACTGTCAGTTGTGTTCCAAAGTCTTCTTGAAGTGCTCTTCCGAGAAGGAAAATATTCCTAGGAACTAGAAACTGGCGAAAAGAAACAAATTTCATCGACCTACCATCACATATTTGTATGGTAAAAACAGTAAATTAAAGTGTTCTCGGAGGCCTCTACCACCCTTTTGAGATGAATTGTTAAAAAATTATTATCATAGTTTAAACAAATACAGCTAAAATGATTTTAAAGCTGTTGCATTACAATAGGGTGATAGTGCAAGTCTAGACTCGATATAATAACTTACAAAAAAAAATTGTAAACCAAGAACCTGTGCTTATCACCCAAGATATCCAGTATTTGAGAACCAATGTAATTAATGAAATAATGTATCTGTAGATCTTATTTTTAATTGCATTAACATTTATAAGTTTACTTAGTTACTTATGTGAATTGATTCCGTCGAACCTAGAACTGCTTGCTCTAAACACAGTACTTGAAGGGACAGGGCTGAGCCATTTAACATAATATTAACCCTTGACTATTACTTTTACAGAATTCAATAAGGCACAATTTATCGTTAAACAAATGCTTCATGAAAGTGGCTCGAAGTAAGGATGATCCGGGAAAAGGTTCTTACTGGGCGATGGACAGTAGCTACAAGATGGCGGAGGTCACACCGCGTCGTCGACGAAGCTTAAGAGTAAGTACAACCCTTTTATATCTAAATAAATACAAGTGTGATTTCTTCTATATCCACTTTTGTATATATAAGTAGTATACTTCGAATCATTGTATTATACTTAATAGACAAGAGAAATTCAGTGAATTATTATTTTCTCAGTAAAATCTGTATATTGTGCATGTTCTTCAGTACATGGTAGACATAGGTCATGCTGACAGGAGTTCTAACCCGAAACGTCGGCTCTTAGTTAAAATAGAACAAAATCATATTTAAGTTGTATATTTAGTGTTTTAAACTGTTAAAAGTGCTATTAAAACGTCTACTCAGGTAAACATAATACATATGTAAGAAACGGGATTGCCTAGAAGAAATTCTTTTATAGTGATAAGGCCATCCACACTCCATAGTTTTGTTTGGTTCATTGTACTTGCGTGTTTTTACATGGAACACTAAATCTAAGTATTTAATGATCGTTCTTGTCAACTTGCAGATGGCACCATACAGCCCAGAGTGCAGTTCGAACAGCAGTGGAGATACAAGTTTAGCACCTGGTATCAGCACCGTGCCCACACCACCAGCTACTCCGACTACCCCAACTGCTCCGAACACACCAACTTCCATTTCACCAGTTGCTGTTAAGGAGGAGAGTGTTATTAAAGAGGAGACAGGTTAGTTTTTACATTTAATAATAAAACTGAATATATTTATTATTACTTCATTACATTATTAGGTTTGAAGAATACAGTTTCGTAATAATTATATCGTATTTTAATTACTTGTTATCCTATATTTATCTTAACTGACTGGATAGTTCATTTAACTCTTATAGGGATATACGGAATCATCAACTAACACATGCGACTTGATTATGGTCGATAGTAGTATTGACATTTGACAAATTGTCAGACAAACGATAATTGACAACATGCTTTTGTAAATAAAACACTTTAAAGGTTGAAAACGCGATATATTAGTTAAACTTATATGAAAATGATTTTTAACTTCGGGCCAACGCTGCTATTAGTTTAACTAATATATCGCATTTTAAACCGTTAAAGTGTTTTATTTAAATGTGTACTACTCGTGTAAACTATAGACAGTATTTAATAGCTATGTTCTGGCGTTCGGGTAGGGATTTTTTGTTTAAATCGTGAAGCAATCGAATCTGGCCCAGAGTCAATATTAGTCACGGCCAGTTGCGTTATAGGTTACTGCCTCTGTATTGGACTTACCGCTTTTCCTAAAGTTATACTTTTGGATAGAGTAGTAGCGCATTTTTTGTGTAATCACATTTAAGTAGCGAAGTACCGGTGGTACTGAAAGTCTTTGGAGAAGGCCTATATCTAGCAATGACAACAAATAATCTAATAACGAAAAATACCTACTTATTTGCGTGTTTTTTCAGATTCGAAACACACAGATGATGCCCTTTCTGCTTTGATGAACGAAGAACTTATAGCTGATGTGGATGTGAGCAGAGGTAAATCATTTCTTTCTTATTCAAGAGCACATAGATTTATTTAGATTGACAATTAATTAAATGATGGTTGTACTTATTATTTAATAAATATTTATAAATGAGAACAGCAACATTTATAAATATATATATATATAGATTTAGCCTTTGCTACAAATTGGTATTCTATATTGTTTATCGTTATATGACTTTGGTCAAATACTATTTGTTTTGGCATTCATTGAATCCTGACATATCTAAGATTTTATCCTGATGAGAAAGAAGACGATGAAAAGAAATAGTCCTTTTCAATAGGCCTTTGTCAATATACAAACTGTTATTTATATTAATAACTGTACTTAAATGTTAGATGAGCAAACATATATGGGAACTTACAATATAACAGAAAATAATATCAAAGAATGAAAGATGGAACGAATAATTTTGCAGTAATACAGGTAGGTAGGTTTGTAGGGGGACTCAGTGACAGTTGGTTAGCCCAAAATGCTCTATAGGGAAGAAACAGGTGAAATGGTTAGCAGATAATGTGGACTGATCACCCAGCCTTCTCCGTCTTGAAAACAAAATAAATATAATAGATAATAAAAATAAAAAGTTTTATAATTATTATTATATAATCTCTTCTCTTATTATAGAGCGCTGGTGGTGGTCCGGAGCACGACGGCACGTTTGCGTCTTGCGTCACGCGACGCTAACGGACGACTACGGAAACTTCAGGGACGAGCGGGCCGACGACTGCGATTGCCCTGTTGACGATGCGCTTGCGCAGGCAGAGTCTATTCCGAACCCAGCATTATCAACACCTGGATCACTTTCCACCCAACTGACTATGGCAGGTACATTAGCCCAGGGACCGATGACTCCCCCAGCGCTTCCAACACAAAGCCTCATACAGGGAATAATATCCCCCACAACGATACAGGGGCAGTCCCTTCAACTACCCACACAGACACAAATGCCATTGACGATGATAAAGTCGGAGCCGCTGCCGCAGACGATAGGCATTGCCCGAGGGCAATTGTCAACACAGCCGATGCCCCAATCGCCGTTGTCAACTCCCCCGATACTCCCCACACAAGAAGTCGCTGCTGTCCCCACATGGCATATACCCTCTTTATAACGTCTCAATCTCGCCTTATATTAAGGTACATTTGAAGGAACGATGCATATAAACACACCTTCGATTTATCAAGGATTTTGTAAAAGCGAAGAATCGAATATTCGTTGTACTGTTGTGAATTTCAAAGGTGTGATTATGTGCTTGGCAACACTAATGGTCTACCTACGGACCGGATTTCAAGGATTATGTATTTGGATTCAATTTTTGAATCTGAGCCACAAATCATGGCTACATGGTGGTGTTGAGCTAAATTCTGGGTGTGAGCGGTTTTTATCAAACACCTAATGGTGGTATTACTGGCCCATAATTGTCATGCTGGCCACACAATCAAGTCTTATTTATTTTTGTAAATACATTCATAAAACAAAAGCACGGGGAAGAAACATAAGATTTTTATACATATACCATATTTAAATAAAACACATAATCTGTTTAAAACGCGATATTTATTAGTTAAACTTATTTGAAAATTATGTTAACTATGGCCAGACGTTTCGTACAAAAAGTACAAAAACTGCTACGCTAGCGCCACCTGTTCCGTCGAAGTTGGTATTTGGCGAAACTGGCCGGGTGCTTGCAGAATTGACTAACGTAGTTAAAATAATTTTTTAAATAAGTTTATCTAATGTATACGTTTTAAACCGTTAAAGTGTTTTTTTTATTTGTTCAGCAAAGTGAGTTATTATGGAATAAAGAAATACGTGGTTCACCATTCATTTGTTGTTGACGTTTAGTGATCGAATCTCTATAATAACTCAGATTTGTGAAAAAAAGAGAGAAATAAATACATCTTAAACCGCTCAGACCCAACGAGCTAGCGTAGAGCGCTTAAAACAGACGTGTTCATGACGACATATACCAAGTTTATACCAATTTTATTGTAACAAAGCGTTTTATACGAGTATTACTTGATATTGTTATTGCGGTATGGTCAATTTAATAGGCCAAATTTGATATTTAGATTTTGACAGTTTGTAGTACAGTAACATGTCAAATTGACACTTAAAAATACTTTTCATTGTCAGTACATGCGCATGACAGCTGATTAGTTGACGGCTTTAAATTATTATATAAGTTGGTCTATTCAATTGAACATGCAGTACGTTCTAGCGCAATGCTAGCATGCAAACGGTATTTTTACTGTATCATTATATACAGAGTGTTTTATATTCGTTTAAACGGATTTTTGCATAAATTAATCGAGTATTTTAAGTTTAATAACATTTGCGGACTAACGGCTTTCGCGTCTAGTTTTAACGAATTGTAGATAACCTGCGTGACCTACAGCTGATTATAAAGAGTTTTATTTATATTTGAATTGAACATAAATTATGGCATTATTATATAATTTAACGGTTTAAAACTCGATCTATAAAGGTAATCAGAAACGTCGTCATTTAAAGTTATATAAGCCCTCGTCGGCAATATTCGAGTATTATAAAAATGCGTGTTTTAAACCGTTAAAACGGGTTTTATTCCATGTACCACTCGCGTAAACTGCAACACTAAGTAATATTTCTAGACCGGGAAATAGAAACTTCGCGACCAGATCTCAGAATGACCAGTATATCTTAAAATAGTTCAGTTAACATTTAGTTGTATGAATATATGAATTAGTTTTACGAATTTATAGTTTTACAAACGTACGTAATCGCTTAGTTTAGCTTTCGTTTCGCTTGCCTTGCTTCTGGAATATTCCACAGTGATTGGACAACTGCATTTACACAATTCGAGGGCATTATATGACGTAGGTGTTTTAGGACAGTCCGATATGTGATCGGAAATTTTTATATCACATCGTTGAAAAGCTTTTATTGGTAGCTTTCAAGAGAAGTATTATTATATGTACCAAAACATTGGGCTTGGAAAACAGATTTAAAATTTTTTGGATGATAAAATATTCGTAATATTTTGTGTTTTGGAGACTTCGTTGAGCCGAAGTTCCAACATATTTGTAAATTTCCGGAGAACATTCCAGACATCTGGACTGGATAAAGAATGATTTCCGACGGAATTTTTCAGTGTTCACTATTGGAATAGCTGTAAAGTAGTTAATCAGCTTTTTGGGTTAAGTCTGGATTTTAGTCAAACATGATCATGTTTGACTATAGACTGCATCTCCATTACAAATGAAAACAAAATGGTTTTCCAAATATCCAAAGCCTAAATAGATCGACAGCATTTTGTTTTGATGTTAGTTTCATCTTCCATCAAGTCGACTCCATGCTTGTCTGTCACAAAAAATATAACACCTTTTCCGATGTGATATAGGCTTTTCCAAAACGTCACTGTGGTCTCTATAACTTGAATTCTGTGCCATACAGCGCGTACGTCCAAATCGTTCGCGCCAGATTACTAACAATCCCATATCTTATTGAATGTGTTCACAATTTACACGTATCTTGTATAGACGATAGAGGTAGCCTAGACTAGTCTATGTCTAATGTATATAAGATGTATATGAGCTGCGGTGGGCGGTCCTTTTTATATTCAACGGCGTTTAAGCCGAAATATATCAGTAATACACGAGTTCCTTTTACAATTGTCCAATTCAAATTGAACGCTTATTGACGGTTTAAAACGCGAAATGGAAACTTATTTACAATTTATTTTAACTACGGCATTGGATGCTCTGCAGCAGCCGTGGTCGCTTGCGCATCAGATTCGAGTGTAAACTCATACATTTCGCGTTTTAAACCGTTGTGTTTTATTCCAATGTGTATCAGTCCAATCAGATTCGTTTTTGTGTCCAGTTTTTATAAAATTAATAGCGAATATGAAATGGGCCGTCGGCCATTTTGGTTCAGCTCGATTCGAACCATTGTGGTTCTAGTGGTTTAAGATTTTTGTATGGTCAAACATTTATATTAGTTTAACGTATTAACGTCCAATGAACTAGCGATGGGATCTATATTTTTATTTATTACAAGCACACCTAGGGGCGAGGCCGAGTCGGCGACTGCGAAACGATAAGAAAATATTTTTGACATAACCTCTCCCTTGTCGATTCATGGCATTATTGGTTTAACGGTTCAAAATCGAACTATTACAAATCAGATACATCTGGTCATAGTTTGAAACTAGCTGACCTCGCATACGTTTACGATAAACACGATTTTTACGATGATAAAAGAACGTCCCGTTTACACATTTCGCACTGTTATTTCTTTTCTAACGGTCGCCTTATGTTTTAAAGGCCCTGGTCGGCTATATTCGACGATCTTATAAAAATCTTTAAATAAAACACTTTAACTTATTTTTAAATGATTTTGGCCCGACGTTTCATCATCATTTCATTACCACGTTCAAATAATTTTAAGTAATATATCGCGTTTTAAACCGTTAAAGATTTTTATTTAAATGTGTACTACTCGCGTAAACTATAGACAGTATTTCATAAAAACCTATTGACTTGGTACTCATTTTAAACCGTTAAAGGGCATTTTATTTAATGTGGGTTTACGTGTTTAAACAAAAGAGGTGTCGCAGAGCACGTTAGGCGCGGTTATCACAATTGCCTTAGTGACGGTAGTCGTAACATCCGCATACCCGCACGTTTTGGAACTTTGTTATCGTTTCGTAAACGTCAACTCGGCGAGAGCCCTAATGTACATTAGACTAACATCGTCACTAACATTCCCTCAGTTCGGCGAATTCGTGTTAAGTTAATTTTGGTACCTACGCGTGTAATATTCAGTATTTTGTAAGTATTGTTAAAAATGGTCGTTCTGTTCGATCGTGACGCTGTAGAGACGACGCGGTGCACCGTAAGTTGCCATTTTATCGTTTGATATTTTATTATTCTGTGATAAAGTTTATTTTCGAAGGTATATCGTTCGTGGGTGCGTGGATGCGAGGGTCTGGATGTCGATTTTTACAACGAGCAAAGCAATTCGAACATCCAAGATAGGCTATTTGAGGATAAATTTAGAGAGAGTAAAACAGTCACATATGTTAAAAAAAATTATATATTAAAATAAAACTTAACTTTTGGAAACAGTTGTCATGTGACACAAAACCCTCCTAATTGGTAGCGTTATGACGTCACTTGCTTATAAACAGTGCCATAAACCGCCTAGGGTGGCTGGTTTATTTAATAAATAAATAAATTTGTAACTAATTTATAACTTCAATCACTTTTAAAATGTAATTGTTAGGTACAAATGCATGTAGGTATGCATATGATCGACATACACCAATGGCCAATATAAGGTAGTGGCGTCACTTGCCATATTGCAGCGTTATTTCGCAAAATTAGCGTTTTGGCGCGCTGTCTCTGCAAATATGTATCAAGAGTTCAAAAATACCTAGCACTTACATTAGCATCTACTAAATGAAATGAGGAGAAAAATGCGCAATTAACTTAGGCCAAAATGAATTTGTACTATTATTTGTGTGAGAATTATGTTCACAAGTTTCGGTCGCTGTGCTCTTGTAGATATTGCAGTTAGGCTACTCTGTCTCTAGCGGCCTCATATGTTGTCAATTTAAACAATCTGTTAAATAGCCTTATTTTTGAAAAGGATTGAAAAGCTCTGCTCGTTGGGTTTCCAGTCCCCCCCCCCCATCTTGAGTACGAACAGGTGTATGCATAGTATTTCACTATAAAAAGAAATCTACCGATAGCGAGGATATTTGTGTATTGTTTTTCATATAATTCTATACACGACGGTTATTGTAGTTGTCAAGATGTCCGCCTATAGATTTTACCGGCAATTTGTATGAAATTATTTTATTTTGTATGTATCGTGCGTTAGCGGAATTTCTTTATACTTAAGAGTAGAATGTTCTACCTCTATACAAATAGTTGATGTACATTAAAACTTTTAACAGAATTGTGTGTTTTATTTTGTACTAGCTGTGGCTGCGACTTCGTTCGCGTGGAATTGTGACTTGGGGTAGAATTTTTAATTATTTAGGCTGTTTTTAATTTAAGTAAGGGCGCGTATAAGGCAGTCAAGCTATTTTGTAAGTAAGTAAGCCGCAACACTCTCACCTCACATCACTCCTACTCTAACTCCACTCCCACCTATTCCCAAAAAGCCAAAGAAGAAAGTTTCATTGTTCTAGCTTCAAAAGCCACGAATTTCCATACAAAGTTTCTTCCCCTTTTTCAACCTCTATCAACCCTTTTTTGGCATTAAAAATCTTTTTCAGGCTCTAAAATATCTGTGTACCAAATTTAATTTAAAACAGGTCAGTAGTTTCGGAGTTAAAGCCGGACAGACAGAGCTACTTTCGCATTTATAATATTAGTATAGATAATACTATATGATAGATACTGTATGCGCTCGTTCTAAATATATAAAAATTAAACACCGTTTCATTAGAGAATTAGAATCAATTTTTCAAGGGGAAATATGTATTCTAGAAAATGAAATCTCTGGTTGATACATAACCAATCAATATGGACAACAATCACAAAAGAAAGTTAATTAGATCTTAGAAAAAGGACTCACCGAACCTCGATGTCGATATCCTGCGTAGATATCCTATTTAGATAGCTACAGGAGGGTGGGGCAAGGGGGAACACAAAACACGAACCTAGAGTGTTAGGTAAGCAATGATGTAATCTACCCTCATTGCGCGCTTAATGGACCAAACATAAAAAAAATCTTTGTGAAATTTAAAAACAATGTATAAATTGAATTAACGCACTAATAATCGTACTGGAAATTAATTTTTAATAAGTTATATAAAGAAGTTGATCTATTGAAAACAGTAGTGACAAACTATATCTTGCAGAGGGTCGTTTAATAAAACTTATTTCTATTTGTTGCTAAGAGATGGCGCTAACTGTTCAGTCGAGCCAACTTTTCTAAACATGCGCATCCTGTCGCTTTACATTACCTTCCATAAAATAGAGTACATATGAGGCTGCTAGAGGCAGAGTGGCCTAATAACCAAAACATGACTTTCAATAAGAAGGAATATAAAACTCACTGCGCTCTTGTAGATAGTACATTTTTAGACTATGAAAATATAAATCAGTCAAGTCATAAAATTGCAGTTAGGCTACTCTGGCTGACGGGCTCATATGATGCCCCGTTTGGATTTAACATAAGAGAAACAAGTTATCAATATCAACAATTTTAATGTTTGAATATATACAACAAACATAGTTACAATGATAGTTATTGTTAACAATATTTCTGTATCAGCGATTCGTCTATACAATACATGAAAGGCAATGATTACCAAGCGCTGTGCCGTTACAAACCGAATAAGTAATACAAAAATAAAAATAATACAATTAAACTTCCTAATGCACAAAAATTTCGCTCGCACTAACAAACAAACGGTTTGAAACGCGCGATATAGTTCATACGCAACAATTCGAGTTTCAAACAGTTTAACTCAATAAATTGTATAAGGCTTTAACGGCCACCGTTCAGCATATCGTTTTTCGGGCTGTTCTGCCGAAACGCACTATACAGCCCGAAAAACAAATGTATGCGTTTCTGCGTATCGGACTAGGGGGGATGGGATGGGGGTAAGAAAAGGTAACCTACGAATTAGTGTACTTCATTTCTGAGCATTACATAACTTAACGCAATTTCGATTACAAACTGGATATAAGCCGATTCTAACTAGAACGAAAAAGGGTAAGTTACGAACGAGATAAAAATAATTTATTAATCGCTACACTAGCGCCGTCACGCGGCTCGTGTCACAGCCCTACTTAACGATTTCGTATTTACACATCTATTTGTCTCTCTCTACGCCGCACGTGCGACAGGGACAGCGATATACACCGAGCGAGTTGAGTTCAACTCGGCCCTGTCATCGTAAATCCGTATCAGAGATCAATAGAATCAAATTTATATCTACAACAAACACCTTCCCGTCTGAGGACATAAAGCCCGAATACATACAATAAAGAAAATTCATTTTCGATCAATATGAAACACTTTGACAGTTTAAAACGCGAAACATTAGTTAAACAAAGTCCGAAACGCGGACGCAGCGGCCAGCAAATTAATACATTTAGCGTTTTAAACCGTTGAAGTGCTCGAATTTAAACCCGCGTAAACTACAGACAGCAATATAAATAGTATTTACAGGCTACCAATGACTAACTTCAACAATTTCTTTTCGTATCGGCGAAACGAAACAAACATTGGTTATGAGGCACTTGACAATAATTGCACGAAATAAATAATATGTTAATCACTATTCAAGTTGCGCCGATGCGCCGGCGCAGCTAGTCCTAGTAGAGCGATCGAACAAGCTAGAACACAGTCGGTAAGAGGACGCAGCGGTCGGCGCCGGTCCGGGGCGATGTCAACCTGGAAATATTGAAGTTAGTTGTGTTTTAAACCGTTTAAGTTTAGAGTAATACAGGGAAATCCCGTTTCCCCTGTAGTGTAACGAGTGAACACATTTCTGATCGGATCTTCTCTGCCGTGCCCGACCGAAAAAAAAAAAATATTCGGATTTCAAACCTCTCGTACTAAGCTACTTTTATTAACTATTTCGTTATAAAGGCGGACGATCACGCAAGCTTTGCTTATTAACAATTAGACCAACGAGCGCGTCGTATTTGACAGTATTAATCACTGGAGCGAGTTATTACGTCTATTTATCTGTTAACTCATTTTTGTGAATCGCTTATAGTAAATTTGAAGCTTTATTAATAGTCGGCGATTTCGTCCGTCCGTTCGTCTTAATCTTTACAAATTTAAGCAACGGAACCTCTAAAAGAAGAACAATTTTCCCCGTTTTTTCCACATCACTTGCGGTTTTTTCGCTTCTATTGATAAAATCTAAAAAGCCGTCCTCGATAAATGCTCTAAGCAATGCAAAAAAATCCATTCGAACCAGTAGTTTCTGAGATACGCGTGTCCAAACAAAGAAACTCTTCAACTTTATATGTACATATTGTATAGATAGATATTCTCATACCGACCCGCTCCTCAGAGTGAATCCCGATGCCAGACCCAGGTCCTCTTGGTGTGATCGAAGCGGTGTGCCAACCACTGCGCTTGGAGAAGTTCCGCTCGGTCTTCACTTAAGTATAACGGCTTCCCGCGTCTAATGACCAAGGCAAATGCATGTAAGTAATGATTTAAATAAAACACTTCAACCGTTTAAAACGCAATATACATTAGTTAAACTTATTTGAAGTACGGCCCGACGTCTCGAATGCTTTGCAGCCGCCGTGGTTTTTACGTTTTGCGTTTAAAGCCGTTAAAGTGTGTTTTTTAATGTGTGTGTCAATAATAAAATAGAATAATACAAACTTTGTAGAAAACATAAAAACAAAGTAGATAACTCAATATGTATAAACAATCCCCCCCGTCCCGAAGATCTTAAATTTAACATTTTTTGGGCGGTTCCAGATAAAAGATGGCTACTATAAGTCGTAGTTAATTATTTCTGTCGAAATCATATTATTTACGGATTTTTTTGTTTGAAAACATTAATATTTTTCCCATAACGTAGATGAACGTAATTTAATTAAAATAAAATACAATTAAAAACCAAACTGAACAAAAAAACAAAAAAAACAAATTTTGATTAAATTATAAAGTTCCTCATTAAAATTAAAAAAGATGGCTCAACGTTATAAGATCGCTTCAAGTTTTTTTATTTGTCAAATCATTGACCTAATACGCAAGTGTTATTGAAATTCCCACACCCCGCGAGGGGGGATTTATACAAAAAGTTGAAAAATTCGACGATGAGGTGTAGGACTCGGTAGCTCTATTTGTTTAGAGTACACACAGCACAGTAATGACGATGCGGTTAAGTCCTGCCCGAGTCGAAAATTTTTTCAATTTATTTTCGATTCTTTTTTTGTGCAACACAGTAATTATGATAACATTTTGTTGATAAATATTAAATAAATAAATGAACTAGCTCACTTCAAATCCCTGTCCTCTTCGTCGTAGTCATCCAGATAGAGGCTCCCCCAAAGGCAGGCGCGTCGCCCACGAATCACGATGATGTAGGTGGAAGTCACCACCAGGAAAATGCCCGTGCCACCACCGCACTCCATCGCGTGCTGAAGTAATCAACATTTAGTATTAAAAGGGGTTACTCGCGTTCATTCTGAGTTTTAGAATCCCGAGAATGTTGCGATGTTGTTTGCCCCGTGTCCCGCAAAAATACATAATATTTCCAAAACTCTACTTGAAAGGGCAAATTTTTGTTGTAAATAACTGAAAAGAGATTCTAAATAAAATACAATAATTTGGTATTAAAATACACAAAAAGAAACAAGAAGCTAACGCAATAATAATATCTATAATAAAGGAAATTTTATACATGTTTATTACATTTTATTTTCACGCCATTTTTAATTTACACTAGACACAAAAAAAAAACATTACACATCTCATTTTTTCGACTCCATGGTAAAAACAAAAAGATTTTCTTTAAATACCTGGCTCGCTTCAGCGACTTGGTGTTGCCTGCAGCACGGCTGCTTCAGGCAGACCAGGGTTCCACAGAGCAAGCAAACTGATGCCTCTTTGGGGACCGCACCGCACTGGAGACACACTCGCTCGTGGTAGTACGTGAAGAGACGGTCGTACTCCCTCGGTAACTTCAGCAGCGTCGGCCCCGTCCACACCACATGCAGGCTCCGTACCACCCGGCCGATCTAGTAATAGACCAAGATTTTTTATTGCAGACAGACAAGGAAGAGATCCACTCGATGGGAAAGTACTTCAACTATATACCACCTGAGGAAGATACCTGATACAGACGGATTCGTATTTAGTTTCAGGATTTAAATAAAACGGTTTAACGGTTTAAAATGCGATATATTTTAGTTCAACTTGTCTGAAAATTGTTTTTAACTACGGCCCGATGTTCTGGATGCTTTGCAGCAGCCGTGGTCACGGGGAGACCATCGCGTTTTAAACCGTTAAAGTGTTTTATTTAAATGTATGCTACATGCGTAAACTAGAGACAGGTTTAACAGGATGTAATTTTTCAATGAAGGGGACCTAAATATGTTTAAGAATTAAATAAACAGAAACAAACTTTTACATATTTTTTTGCATATATAACAGAATTAAAATTGTTAAAATATATACAAAACAATATTAAATTTAGATTGGCTAAAAATATGCTATATGCACAAAGGTACTTTTTTTAAAAAATCAATAAAATATCTAAGAATAAATAAGAATTTACATATAATACTGTTAGTATTTACTGAATAAATCGACACCTGCCAATCGAAAACCTGAGGCAGATATGCAATGGATTCAAAATGATCCTTCGAGCCGGACTCACCGCAAGTTGACCACCCGTGGCCGCTGTCGCTAGCTGTCTAGCCCAGGCGCGTGCCGCGACACCAGCGTTTGGTGGCAATCCGTCTGACGCCACAAGAATACCGTCCTCGTCCGCCAATTGCAGATATCTCAGGAGTGTTGGGAACTCCTCATTCGAGCTGGTGATGTGAGGCAACTCGCCACCATACACGTGTGCACGAATGAGCGATACTATCCTTAGATAGGGTAGAATTAATTCTTGTACCTGAAAATCAACGTTTTTCATATTTAAATCTATTAATGACATCTACACTAAAAAAAAAGGCGGAGGTGTTTGTTTGTTTGAACGCGCTAATCGCAGGAACTACGGGTTCGAATTGAAAAATATTTTTGAATTATACGTTTATCAACAGGCTATAAAACATCGCTCTGTGACTTAAGGGAAACAGCGCGAAATGTGCAGGGGCCCAGGCCAGGCGTACGTGCAATAACTTCATACCAAAAAAATAACCCTCTTTAAATGATCTAAAAAAACTTTTTTACACATATGTCTATGTATGCGGACAGACATATATGTGTGTCTTTTAAGATAAACAAGCAGGAACGATGGGACGCGACCGACGTCGTGGGTAACAGCTTAAGTTTATAAAGAAGTTTAGAAAAACCCCCTCAGGGTTTGCAAAAACTTAGCGAATTTGGATGCTCAAAATAACTATTCTACGCGGACGAAGTCACTGGCACAGCTAGTAGTCAATACAGTGCATATGAATCAAAATATCTAACATTTTTTTGCTACGGCAGCTTACTAAATTTAATAAATCTAAATGAAACGCTTTTAACGGATTAAAATGCTATATCTATTTGCTTATTTTTAACTACGACGCGATAAATTCGAAGAAGTGATCCTCAACATTCGTTCATACATAAAAAAATAAACTATAATATGTTTAGCATTTCGTACCGTTAAGTATAAAAGTGTACCGTTAGTATAACTTGTATAACAGTGTTTTGTGTAACGCTTTAACGGGAACGTTGGTTTGACAGTAACAATGTATGGTTTATTTTTCTGAAATATGTTAGTCTTTTTCTAGAAACCTGGATAAATGGTTAGGAATGCCAAAATTCCGTTGGGGTCACGAACCCCCGTCCATAGATGAAAACGTAACGGCGTAAAAGCGTTTGCGAATATGTCCAAAGCCAATATAGGCCGACAGCGCATCTTGTTTAGATGTTATAACACCTACCATCAAATGAACACCATTTCTTCTGTCCTCCTCTATCATAATAAAAATGTAAATATGTTTTTTTTAATTAAAACTCCGTCATAAACTACCTCTTCTTCAGCCTTGTTTATATCGAACTGCTGGTTCGCACTAGTGGTAGTGGCGTCATCGTCCAGCAAATGCTCTCCAGCAAGCGCTGTAAGCAGCAACTGCGCGGCTTCGATCAGGCCTCGAGAACGACCTTCTGCGCGGACGTGCTGCGCCGGCGCAAGTCTGCCTAGTGCGCACAGCTGGTTCACTACTTGGTAATATGTGAGCGCGTACATCGTCCGGACTATACAGGTGAAGTGCTCTGAAATCATTTTTTTTAGACTATCATAATATTGGTAGCTAACGATGTTAGCCACTTGAAAAAAGTTATAAATACTGTCTATAGTTTACGCGAGTAGTAACATTTAAAAAAAACTTTAACGGTTTAAAACGCGATATATTAGTTAAACTTATTTGAAAATGGTTTTTAATTGCCCGACGTTTCGGATGCTTTGAGCAGCAGTTTATACTAAATAGTGTAACAAGTAACTATCCACATCGCTAGTATTTATATTACGAAAAATAGATATATCTTTAAATACTTCAAGCTCAAGCTTGAAGAAAATGTACCATATTGTGGTAAATGCGCAAATATAAAACACTTTAAACGATTTCAAACGCAAATTGAATAAATAAACTTTTTTTTTTTTCAATTGACCCGACATTTCGGTTTGCATCCATAGTCAGGGGGTGGGGGGGGGGAGGAATTCGAATGGATGGTTTCCGTAATATCAAACTCAAATCTGCTACACTAGCGCCACTTGCTCCGTCGTCGAAACGTCGGACCGTAGTTATAATAAATTCAAAATACTACTTAGTAAATAATAAATTTAACGTTTCAAACCATTTAAAGTGTTTTATATGAATACCTACAGGCTATTTTTATTTTGTGTTGATTTGACTTAATAAATTAATACTTGTAATCTAAAAAAATGTTTATCTGAAACGTAAAATCGATTTTTAACTTACATAATGCCATCATGTGCATCAATCATCAATAACATGTGAAAAATATTAAAGCTTTGAAACACTTACGTATATCTAGATGCGGTGTCTCATCCGGCGCGAGGAGCAATACGTGTAACAGCAACGCCGTCGGATCACGTAGCAGCAGTGGTACAGGTCGGGACGCCGTCGGAGCTGGAACAGCTGCACCACTACCTCCGCCCTCGTCGGCAGCATCGAGGGCGTCTGGTACCAGAGAGCGCCACGTGCTTGCCACGCCCAGCGACGCCCCCGCCACGACTAGCGCGCGCGCATGTGTACCAGCAACGGACATTAGGGGTACTGTGGAAGATTTTTAAGGAAATATAATAATTAATATACAATCAATGTTGTTGTCCTGCGCGGTGTGTCCTTTTATTAAATTTTAAGTATGTTTGATTTCATTTGTGGTAAATATGTTACATTTCTTTTCTTTTATTAATTAATAAAACAATTTTTCTTCTTATATATACAATGTATATTGAAAAAAAGCGAGTAAGTAAGAGTTAGTGAAAAAGCCTCATCCCTGCCTCGATCGTCATTACGTGTATTCCCCCCCCCTCCTAGACGTCTACGAGATCAATTAATTTAATAACAAAATTAAAAAGTTTTATATAAAACTCAAACACACGTAACTATAAAAGCTTTGTATTACCAATGCATTCTTCTCTGGGCTTGTATCTGGGTGTGGGTTGCACCACCAGCGTGTTGTTCCGTTGCACCAGCTCGCATTCCAGGTTGGTCCGCACCAGGGACGCTACGAAAGTGAAGATGGCAGCAGGTGAAGACCCATACCGCTGCTTCAACTTGCCACCAGCCATCGCAGTCATATCTGTCATCGCTTTGCCCATCGCCTCTGACAGCTGGCTTTTCACCTGTAATGATCATTCATCATCATCAATAAAGCCTCTATTAATTTTCTTCGTTTTTTCCATATTTCCCACAGTTCCCCCACTCCTATTAGTCGCAACGCGATGTATTATAGCCTAAAACCGTCCTTGATAAATGCTCGAACCAGCGTAAAACTTAATTTTTCTCAATCAGTTCCTGAGATTAACGCGTTTAATAAACCAACAAACATACAAATTCTTCAGCTCTATAATATTAGTATAGATATTATATAGAGTTTTTTGTATTTCAAAATTCGAACTAACCGGCGTCGATATATCCCTCTCCAGCATATCCGTGACATCCCTGGCCAATTGGGTGTAAGCGGCTTGGGGGGGAGGTCTGAGCGGTGGCTGTATGGGTTCTGGTGCGAGCGGTAGCACGCTGTTCGCGAGCTGACGGCACAGAGGACATAGGAACTCGCCGCGCTCCACGTTCAAGTTCGGAGGTCGTTGGGAGGCTGTTAAGGAACGTAGATAGGCCCGCAAGCATCGTAAGTGTACGTGGTGTCCACACGACTGGGACATCACCCCCCCTTCCCAACCGACGCTTACGCTGAGAACCCAGGATTCCTGGAATGAGATAACAATATTTAATCTATATGAAATTTCGAAAAATATCTACAAAATTAAGTAATATAATAAAATAAAATTAAATACTCTCTGTAGTTTAGGAAAGTAGTACACATTGAAATAAAACACTTTAACGGTTTAAAACGCGATATAGATTCGTTAAAATTATTTGAAAATACGGAATGACGTTTCGAATGCTTTGAAGCAGCCGTGGTCAGGGGGAGTTGGTTTAACTAATATATTTCGCGTTTTAAGCCGTTAAAGCGTTTTCCCCCATGAATTATTGTATATAATAACTGGGTACTTATCAATGAGTTTTCGTAGTTAATTTTTCATACCTGATCGAAGTGCTGATGCAGGTCGTCATGCAGTCGGTAGTGGTGTGCTGCCGCTGTGCTGTACTGATGAGCAGCAAGCCGCGCCCTTTCGCTCTCGGACAGAGCTAGCACTCCTTCCGAAGAGCCAGCACGACGTCGGTGACCCAAGACGGATGTCGACTGAAAATCAGTATTGACTTAGTTTTTTTTTATGAAAGAGGACAGAGCGACTGTAGGATTCACTTGATGGAAGGTGAATTACCCCAGTTACATAACATCTCAACAAGATGCGCTGTTGGCCTATTTTGGCTTTGGATATTCTGTTATCAACAGACCGAAACCAAAACGCGATTGAAGTAGTCGGCTGTTTCGTGTGTGGAATGGTTCATGACCCGGGCGGAATTTTGGATATTTCTACCAAATAATAAATAGATTAGAAAAATGCTGGATCCGGTGGGAATCGAGTCTAAGACCCGAGATGTTAACACCTTAGGGCGTTAATCAGGAGAGTGCTTAGGTTCGTATTTTTGGAAAACAATCGATTTAAAAATCGAAAATAAATTGAAAAAATTTTCGACTCGGGCAGGACTTGAACCTTAGTAAATTACACTGCGCGAGAGGTGCATGTATCAATAAGTAGAAAAAATACGACGATGAGGTGCAGGACTCGGTAGCTCAGTTGGTAGAGCAACAGCACGGAAAGCTGACGAAGCCGGTTCAAGTCCACCCCGAGTCGAAAAAATTTTTTCAATTTATTTTCGATTTTTAAATTATATAGTGCCTTCATGTGCAATAACATGTGAAAAATATTAATGTTTTCAAACAATCGATTGTTTCAGAGCTACATGCCTAAAAAAACCGACCAGTAAAACGGACACACACATTTTGTCGCCGCAAGTCCCACGTGGGAGGGGGACGATATTAGTGGGGGGGCACTATTGAAGTATAAATAAGCACTGAGAACTACCTGTAACAGTACAACAAGACCAATGGGATCGTGCAACGCCGCCGGCGCTGTCGTGTTGCAGATGACGCAGTCGTAGTCCCGCGCCACCATCTCCTCGTCCCACTCCATGTCCTCCCCCTCCAGCTGCCGGACAGCCGAGAGGAACTGCTGCTGCTTCCTCGCGAAGTCGCGCATCACCTGCGCCTGTCGTTCGCGCGCGCGTCGCGTTCGTTCTTCTTTTTCACGGCGCTCTCTGAAAATTTTTATGAAAAGTTGTTTTACTGTTATCTTTTTCATATATGTAGATAACTTTTTTGAGGGTTTATTAGGTACTGTTGGAGAGGGCGGTGTTGTTAATAACCGGACGTCAATATAAATAACAAAGTTCCAATAATCGACTCGTTCCGGAGGACTGTAACTAGCTTTATTTAAAATTTTTCTCGGTCTTCCCGAGACCACCCTGCTTGAAAGCATCCGAAACGTCGTGCTGGAGTTAAGAATAAATTCCAAATAAATTTAAATAATATATATCGCGTTTTAAAACGTTAAAGTGTTTTATTTAAATGTGTACTACTCGCGTAAACTACAGACTACTTTAATATATTACTTTAATACTGTTTATATCCATAGGCACTATTCGCGTAAGCCACAGATACATCTTAGGTTTATAATAGGCATGAAAAAATTTGAAGGTTGTACCTCGCCCTTTGCTCAGCTTGTCGTTCGCGTTGGTTAGGCCACATGGTCCTTCGAACCAGTTGAATGGTTTCAGCACACCGTGAATCCAGCGCAGCCAACTTGTGAAGCAATATTCCTATGAAATGTGGTCCGTCACCTGAAAACGACGTTTTCGTGGTACATTCGTTACAATTTAATTTAAAAGATAGACATATCGCGCACATATTTTTAGATCATTTAAAGAGGAATCATTCTTTCACATTGGCCCACAAGAATAAACAAAATCCCGGCTTTTTCCACAACTTCGCTGTGTCTTCGATCCTATTTATCGCAGCGTGATGTTACGTTGATGAATGCTCTAACACAAAGAGAAATTTTCAATTCGAACGAGAATTTCCCTTCAATTTTTTAATATTCGTATAATTATATATAAAAAGCAATTATACCAAAAATTATATTTAGGCTTCATTCAAGTCATAAAAGTTTGTATACACCTAAATGAATTAGAGATAAAATGTGTCATAACCAGTAGTCGAACCCACAATATTTAGCGCACTCACCGATAGGTTCCTGCGTAGACGGCGGGGGTTCATCCAAGGAGAAAGAATCAAGCCGACCAGAGAGTTGTGAATGCAGCTTCAGCAATAGGGAGATTAGCGATTCGTTAATCGGGATGTGATCACCGATCACGTCTGACAGACACTCGTGGGTGCTTTGGGCTTCTGGTGCCTCCAGCGGGAACCTGGCATCGGTTTCGGGGGGCGTGTCTGGTTGCCCATCGAGCGTCGGGTCCAGTGGGGCGGGGAGCGCGCGCGGTCCGACCCCCCACTCCAATTCGCTCACGTCTGTTCAAAACAAAATAATTTTCATTTTTAAGAAATATTGTTTAATTAAGTATTAAATATAAAGAAAACAATAATTTGCAATTTAAAAATCGAAATAAATTGAAAAAATGCAAGTGTTAAGGTAGAAATTAATTGCGCGAGAGGTCATGTATCAATAGTTGAATTCGACGATGAGGTGTAGGACTCGGTACTAATTGGTAGAGCAAAGAGAAATGACATCGTTCAGTCCGTCGAAAATTTTTTCAATTTATTTTCGATTTTTAAAAAAGGCCTTCATGTGCAATAATTAAAATATTAATGTTTTCAAATAATTTGCAATTTAAACACTACTCGCGTAAACTATAGACACAGCAGCCGTCTCCCCGTGACCACACTGCAAAGCATCCGAAACGTCGAGCCGAAGATAAAAATCATTTCCAATAAGTTTAACTAATATATCGCGCTTTAAACCGTGAAAGTGTTTTCTTTAAATACGACTATAAACTTCGAGAAGTTTTAACAACCGTGGCTCCATATTGTTTGGTGACAGACAATGAATTGTGGGATTTACTTGTTGGAAGGTAAAATACCTCGGCCACACAATATCTAGTAAGATTCGCTGTCGACCTTTACAGCTTTAAAAATCTACAGACTGCAACCGAAACGCGATCACACACTACAGTACTTCTATAGTCGATTGAATTTCGTGGCTTGGACGGAATTTCTATAATCCTACCAGCGATATTATATTCTGATTTTAGCACCTTCTTGAAACTGGCGAGAATCGAACCCGCTGTAATAATTATCATACATAACAATTCCCTTTAAAAATCCGTCTAACAAACTGTACATACAAGTCACCGTTTACGTACCATAACCGTATCTCGGCCCCGTATCCGAACCCGTCAGAGCCAACGTCATGTCCTGTCCACCTTCCACGCTCGATGCGCCTGCGTCACTTTGCATATCCGCGCTCGTCGCTCCGACGTTCTGAACAACCAGGTCCCGATCTTGCACCGCCAGCCCCATGTCTTGGACAACTAGCGCTCCGCTCTCGCCGCCCTGTACAAGGATTTAGGTATAGTCTATTTTTTTCTAACTTGGCAAAAGACCACAGATATTAAATTGTGTATTTTCGGTAATTCAATTGTTAGATTGGTTATCATCTATACTAATATATCAAGCTGATGAGTTTGTTTGAACTCCGTAATTTCATGATACCCAAAACGACGCGACTCAGCTAGTTATATATATCTATTGTATCGTCATTTTCTCACAATCTTTATATTGATTTACACTTAAACCCTATAAACATTGACAAAATGACGATTAAATACTGTCTATAGTTTACAGTAGTACACATTTAAATAAAACACTTTAACGGTTTAAAACGCGATATATTAGTTAAACTTATTTGAAAATGATTTTTAACTTCGGCCCGACGTTTCGGATGCTTTGCAGCAGCCGTGGTCACAGGGAGACTAAAGATGGAGGATGTCTCTGACGTCAAAGTAAAGAATTGCTACGCTAGCGCCATTTGTTCCGTCGAAGTTGGTATTTGGCGAAACTGGCCGGGTCCTTACAGAATTGACTAACGGTGTCTTCGCGTTTGCTGGTATGTGTTTATTGGGATCCAGAGTCTTTAATATGGGATCCCAGGTGTTAGTTTTTATTTAAAAAATGACGATTACTAGAAATTCGATTTTATACCGAATCAATATATCTGTAATAAGATGCGCTGTTTTGTCTTTTGATATGAATCCGAAGGGCGGCCCATTTTCACTTTCGGATATAGTGGCTTCTTTAACATTGTTTTTTTTTTAATTTGACAGAAAAATATAAAATGTAATTTTTATAGTATGTTTATTATTTAATTTAAATAAAAAATGTTCGTAGGGGTGAAGAGTAGTGATTAAATTTACCTCCAAAGCCCTCAACTCCGGCGCATCACCTCCCGCGTCAGACTGGTCATCTGGTACCGAGTTGTTTCTCACCATCTGAAGTAAATGTTGACTAACATTTTACTGTCTGCAGTATAGTAGCACACATTTTAATAAAACACTTTAACGGTTTAAAACGCGATGTATTTAGTGCTTTGCAGCAGCCGTGGTCGCGGAGAGTCTCCCCGTCATGCGGAACGTCGGGCCGTAGTTACATATATTTTTTAAACAAGTTTAACTAAAATATATCGCGTTTTAAACGGTTAAATGTGAATCTTCTTTTTCACTATTTTTAATTACGCTCTGTAACTACTATTGTTCAAATTAAAATAAACATTTTTGAGTTACTTGGACCATATATCGAGAAAGGCTATAAAACATCAGGCTGCGACCAATACTAGCGAAGAAACACAGATGCGTGGAAAAAAAAGGGGGGGGGGGGGACTTTTCAAGAACTGAAAAACTATGTATGTCTTGTATTTTAAGATTAACTCGCATGCCGGACGTCGTCATTGGTAACAGCCAGTTTATCTATATAAAAACACTACCTCAGTCACCGACTTCGTCCGCGTAAATTTGTTATCTTGACCGTCGTTCTTGCGAGTTCATGTTAAGAGATAGACATATACCGCCGCGGACATTTTTTTTGATAATTGAAAGAAGAATCATTCCCTCATACATATTTTTTGAGTATTTAGAACCGTTTTCGCAGCGTACGCGTCTGAAACCCGCAGAGATGAAAAATTTCCCCCGTTTTGTTCACATTTCCCGCTGTATCTTCGCGTCTATTAGTCACAGCGCGATGTTTTATAGCCAACCATCCTCATAAATGCTCTTAACGACACAAAATAACTAAGATTAGCGCGTTCAAACATATTAGTAAGACTACAAGTAACGTACTTGCATGGGTTGAGGCACAGCCAAAGCGGTGGATCCCCGTTGAAGCGAGTGTGGCTTAATGTGGGGCCCGGGTCCAGCATGCTGCCCCATGTCATTGTTCTCCCATTCTGGATCGCCTGGAAATGTTTCAATTGCAGAATTACACCTAAAACTCAGGCTACGTATATCCCAGACATATAACACCTAAACAAGATAAGTCGACCTATTTCGGCTTTGCATATTCGGAGAAACTTCAAAGTATAATTCTCATCATTTCATAAATTGTGTAAAGCTTTCACGGCCATCGTTCAGCATATCATTGTCTTTCGGGATGTTCGGCCGATGTGAGCGAGAAGAGGTTCTCGACGTTTCGCCATCACGTGTGGACGGCATCATCAAGAGATGTTAACTCCTCGATAGCTTGAAGAGTCACATCGGCCAAACAGCCCGAAAGACAATGATATGCTGAACGATGGCTGTGAAAGCCTTACACAATTTATAACTCTCATGTCCCAAATGTTTGTTTGCACAGTTCCCCGCAACTGATTTTCATGAAAATATAAGTTTTCAGTTGTAATTACAACCGGCTTAAGTTTTTCACAAGCCAAATGATAATTATTTAGACGTAAAGAAACATTTTTAACAACTTCTTTATATTTAAATAATGTATCAAAAACAAACAAAATGTATTGTTTCAAACCTATCTCATCCTTAGTTTTTTTTTATTTCCACATACTTTAGCAGCAGCATGCCTGCCACACACAATTTTTTACACTTATATATTCAGAACGTAACCTTTTTTTGCAAACATAGATCGATAGCATATCTGACTTAGATGCTATATTTCACCATCAAGTGACATCAACTTTGTCTATCCTCCTATATCACAGTCTACTCACTGTCGGAATAATACGGCTCCGGATAGTCAAACTCCGAGTAGTAGACCGGTGGTACGTGCGCTATCAGCGTACACGCATTCGTCGTGATCTCGTCCGTATCGAAGACGCACAGCATCGGAACGCCTGCCGTGCCGCGGCGGCTCAGCCCGCTACCGCCCAGCACGCATACGGAACTCTGTGGGGAAAGCAAAATAATTCACTTTAAACGGTTTAAAACACTGGCAAACGCCAGGAGCCAGCCAATATCGCCAGATACTAACGATGGAACAGATGGCGCTAGCCGTATCCGTTTTTACCGGGACCACAGTTGCAGCAAAGTATCCGATAGGTCGGGTCGTAATTAAAATAATTTGTTAAATCGGTTTTAAACCGTTTTATTTAAATGTGTAGTTCTGGCGTAACAAGAAATATTTTAGAGTCGCGAGAGTTGTGTATAACACAATTAAAACGGTTTAAAACGTTTTTAGTTATTTATCCCTGTCATTACGTAACGAAGTGTAACTAAAGAGTTCACTAGTGCGTGTGTCAAAACATTCGAAACGTCGGGCCGTAGTTAAAATAATTTTCAAAACAATTTCAACTAATATGTATCGCGTTTTAAACCGTTAAAGTGTTTTATTTTAATAGTGCGTGTGTGTTGGATACTGACGTCCGCCCGCGATCTATCCCGCTGCAGGTCAGCAGCCGCGTCCAACAAGTACACGGCCAGCGCGAGAACGTGGTCGGGCGGTGCAGCAACACCTCCGCAGCACAAATCCCTTCTCCTCACGCCGCGGTGAAGGACAGCTAGTATCGCCGCTTGCAGCACGCCTAAAAGACACATTTCACACAATGAACAAAGTGTGTATGTCTACAGACAGTTTGTCTATATGACATAACACAGACAAGTGATTCAGGCTTGATACGAATGATTGAATTGATACCCTCACCTACGTCTAAACCAGATGTGAAGTCGACCTATGTGTATTTGACTTATTTAGAATCCTCAGACTGAAACCGAACCGCGATTAAACTTCACCAATTTCTCATATGTGGACGCTGTTTCGTTACCCGGACGGAATTTCGATATCCCCACCATTTAATATCCAGATATCATGTTCGAACCGGTATCGATTCCATGACCCGTTGATTACCAGCGTTACGCAACGTTACAGCGTTACGTAAGCGTTACAGCAGATACGTTGCTATCATTAGACCAACTAGCCCGTCTTAACTTACAAAAATTTTGGAAACTATTTGCAAGGCTAGAAATATCCATTATAAATATATCTATAGTGTACGCGAGTAGTACACATTTAAATAAAACACTTTAACGGTTTAAAACGCGATATATATCAGTTAAACTTATTTGGAAATGATTTTTATCTTCGGCCCGACGTTTCGTATGCTTTGCAGAAACTGTGGCCCCGGGAACACTAAACATGGAGGGTTGTTAAAGTAAAAACGGAACGGCTTCGCGTTTTAAACCGTTGAAGTGTTTGATTTAAATATCCATTATACCTGAAGCACAAATCTGTCTTGGATCCCCACTCAGTTCTACGTCCGGTGGTGGTACTGCAGGTCGGAGTGGTGGCCACAGATTACCAGTGTTGGTGGTGGCGTTGCTGCTGCCGTCTTCGGCTTTGCGTTTCTCCGCCACACTGCAATATTTATTGTTGTGTTGTTAATTAAATGTATATAAAAATTAAAATGACACAAAGTTTTGTAGTATGTAGTGTGTGAATGTTATTGTGTGTAATTTTTTCTTACTTGGCATTTTTTGTAAACAGACTCAATATTTACTTCGTGTAAATCGTGATTTTCACACAACACGATTCTAAACCAATTCAAATTCACTTAGTAAAAATCACGATTTCATAATAAAATCAAAAAACATCTTAAAAATGAATTCACGCAAATGCAAAGGTTAAAATTTCTTCAATTTGACATTTACATAAGGATGGAATAATGGGTAAGCTAAGACGAAAAAAAGTCCCACTCATACACGATCGTTGAAAAGCGCTGCAAAAGTCGAGTAAGTAATAAATATATAAAAAATAAAAAAAAGGTCGTCCTAAAAGTGTTTTTCATTATTGTCCATCTATAATCAATATTTATTTCTCCCTGTATCGTCTGCGGCAACAACTTCACTTCATGAAATGTCATCACTAGTTCTCTATGGTTTGCAATCGGCCATATTTGTTGTGGTCTTTCGCCAAGTTAGAAAAAATACAATGTACTTACTAGGCGGTGAATCTATCCATGGAGGCGTGGAAATCTCGTCGGTGGACGGCGCGTCTCAGCACGTGCAGGGGGTCGTAGTAGCGCTCCCAGACCACGGGCTTCGGCACGAAGAGGCCTTGCTCCAGGCTTTCGGAGCCTTTAGGGGGCGCGCGGTACACTGACAGCTGAAACACACACATTTTCAGGTTATATTCAAGTAATAGATTTGACAGGCTCATTTGTGGAATGGTAGCGATGTATGGCTAATAATCAACGGGTCGTGGTTTTCGATCCCCGCCAAGTCCAAAATTTTCTGAACACGTTGGACTTCGTCTCGAAATCGGTATGTTAATTTGTGGTAGGCATATCGAAATTCAGTTTTTATTCCCCAAGTCTCCAATCGAATTTATTCTTGAAGTTTCGCCATTAGTCGATGAAGGTATCATCAGTAGATAATCGAGAAACTGAACTGAACTTAATATGACTCTGAAACATCGAAGTTACGTTTTTATACCTTTAAACTAGTTTTATCACAATAAATAGGTACTCGTAATTAACGAAATTTATCAGTAAACTTATTTGCATTTTTTTAAACGATCTGACGTTCTCCTGCGACCATAGCTACTAATGCAAAGCATCGGAAACTTCAGGTAATATATTTCGTGTTTTAAACCGTCAAGTGATGTATTTAAATGGCCAATACTCGCGTAGACTACAGACGTGTCGTTGGCAAATGTGTTTCACGGGCCCCAGTCCCAAGTGTGGGAACTGATAATGGTTCTGATGAAGCTTACCTCGCTAAGCACAGCTTCGAAGTTTCTGGTGTGCGCGTTTCCAGATCGTTCTGGCATCAGCTCAAGTAATTGAGAGTGAGTTTTATCACCAGCTGCTAGAAGAGTCGCCACTTCTACACGAGACTGCAGCACTTCGTCATTACCTGAAATGTGAAGGATAACATGAGCCACAATTCTGTGTCTGTCTCGCTTTGATTTGGAAACAGGAACAGAAAAACTTATCTATTTAGTAAATAAATAAAGCTGTCATCAATTATTATTAACAATCAAGCCAACTATCTCAGGAAATCCTCTTGGTCCTTCGAGCCAGATAAAAACGTTAACTTAAATATTCAGCGCCAGATCCGTAATCATTGTACAGAACCGTTCATTCAAGGGTAAAAAAATAAATTTAGAGATTGTCGTGTATTAACAGCGACGTCGTGTTAGTATACTATGTCAATATCGTACTTAGTTCTCAGGCATACCTAGATTGGTCCTGGAGCTAACTAGGATGGCTAGGAAGGTCAGGAGTCCCTCCACCATCGCGTCCTGTTCCGCAGCCTGGGATGCCGACATGGGCGTCATACTCAACCACTCTCTCACTCCAAATCTGTAAAATCATTTATGTTTGACGAGCTCATTGGGTATTGACAATGACCAATAGACTTGTGGTTCTTATAGTAGCAATTTTTGGGTATTGATCAGCGGGCCCCAGCAGGTCCAAATTATTTCTCATCAACTTATAATAGCAGTAGCTCAATTGGTTAGACCAACAGCACGGAACGCTGAGGATACCGGTTCGTCCTGCCCGATTTTCAATTTATACAATTTATATTTTTTCAGACACATGTTGGAGTTCGGAAATCTGGAGATATCGTCTACCGATAAAAAACCGTGAAGCTTAATTGCGTTTCGGCTTCCGTCTATGCAATTCCACTTTTCAATCACCAAAAATACCTATTTCACATACAAAATTCATAACACTTTTGATCACACAGATCCCCTTACGATTCTAAGTGAAAACGAAATGAGAACTATAACGACCAAGAAACCAATCAGTATTTAGGTCCTTGTTTTTAACGATACAGAAGGACAGACAAGTATGGTTCACTTGATGGTACAAGATGCACTGTCGACCTATTCTCGCTTTGGATATTCGGAAATCCACAGACTGAAACCGAAACGCGATTAGCTTCGCGGCTTTTTTACCTGTTGACGCTGGTTCGTGACCCGGACGAAATTTTGATATTCCTACCGCCCATTTAACATCCATATTTCCAGAGGAAATCCGATAGGTTTCAGATAAATTATATAGAAAAATATTAGTCCCGATGCAGATCGAACCCACGACCCGTGAATTAATTAGCCGTACTTTGCGACCATTACACCAACGAGCCAGTCGACATTTCATTCGGACAAGAAATATTGTCATCAACTACTTCACAGTAGTAGAATCAGTAAGTAAACCGGACACAAAAATGTGTCCGTCCAATGCCCTACAACACAACACTGCACTACACTACTACAACTACAATAACGCAATTCCACTATTCATATCTCACTTACGTATCAATGCACATTCGCACAAAGTCGTTGGGAGGAAGATGGGCAGCGCAGATCTGCAACCAGTAGATGTCCATATCGACCATGGAGTTGCAGAAGTTCGCCTGGATATAAGTCATGGCTTGGCCCTTGATCTGGAGACCGTTCCGTACCCACACACCAGCCAGGATCTCGTAGAACAGACTCTGAAAAGAGAGAGAAACGTTAAATGTAATACTGTCTGTAGCTTACGCGAGTTTAAAATAAAACACTTTAACGGTTTTAAACGCGATATATATTCGTTAAACTTATTTGAAAATTAATTTAACGGCGGCCCGACGTTTCGGATGCTTTGCAGCAGCAGGTCACGGGGAGACTATAACGTTGAAGTGTTTTATTTAAACAATAAGTCTGTAAATTAATAAGTAAAAATAGGTGCATGTGTCAATGAGTTAAAAAAAATCGACATTGACGTGTAACAGCTCCATTGGTTAGAGCAACAGTGCGCTATGAATGCCGGTTCAAGTCTCGCCCGTGTTAAAATTATTTTCAATCTAAAATCTATTTTTAATTAGCAGTAAAAACACTTGTTACCACGCCTGCTTTACATTCAGAACGTCTCGTTCTAGTTGAAAGTAAAATAATATTATGGAAATATATCTCGTTTCAATCCGTTAAATGTGTTTTATTAAACACTTTAAACTGGTCCTCTGCCTCCCCCCCCTCCAGATACAATACTGGTAGAGGTACAAAAGTACTAATTAGAACAAATAGTGGACAATTAGGACAACATAACAATAATAATTCATGTTCAAATATTGTTTCATCATTAGAAAACATTAAGTCAAACAAACAAGACAAAGGGCGAACGTCGAACATGTGTTCCTGTCCCATGTTATCGTGAATCTATTATAAAAACCGGGAAACAGTCACAAAAAGCTTTGTTTGTAGATAATAGCGCGGTTTTGATACTTTGTTTTGAGCTTTGAGTGTTGCCAGTTGTAAGGAACTCGCCATAATTTGGATTTTTTTTAATTCGATTCTTTTTCTCTCATTGTTTACTAAATTAATTTTTCTTTCCATTTGTTTTCTGTAAGAAACAGCGTCTTAGCGATCTGGTCGCGATATTAGTAAGTTATATTTGACATTATGTGATAATTTTAGAAGATGTTAATAAATAAATATATGCTTTTATCTATACTAATATATAGGGCTGAAGAGTTTGTGTGTTTGTTTGAACGCGCTAATCTCAGGAAGTACGAGTTCAAATTAAAAATATATTTTTGTGTTAATTAGAACATTTATCGAGAAAGGCTAGGCTATAAAACATCGCCATGTGGCTAATACCAGCGAAGATACAGCGAGAAATGTGAAAAATATTGTAAAAATAATTAATCACTATGGATATCCGAGGCGTACGCTGCAAAAACAGTTCAAGGTTCAAAAAGAGAGTAGGTTCAACTAAAAGTAACATTTCTAATTCGAGTGGTAGATGGCGCTAGTATATAAAATAACAATAATAGTATATTAATAGTATTTTGTTCTCAAACAAAGTATTAATAATTTGAGGCAAAATCATTACCCCTCTTTATCGTTTCGCCACCGTCGGATAAAAACGTTTTATCACTTAGCACTAACGTACTTAGTATCAGAATTACTCATAATATAAATACAAGCTTTTGAATTGCAAACGGCAACCGGTTTAAACCGCCCACTACTCGTACCGGTTCTACGAGCTGCGCGCGCGCATGTCATAACAGTGACGTAGTTTAAAACAGCAATATCCGCTATATTGTAGCAAAAAATCCCGAGGTTTCGCTTGCATTAAAATATTTTAATTGTCCACTTGCTTCTTATTCCCCAATGTGTATAAAATTTTACAAAAATAATGGCGGCTCAAGCTCCCCTATGAAGTAAATTTCTAGATTGGGAAATTTATTCATTATTATGGATTTCCGATGCGTACGCTGCGAAAACGGTTCAAGATACCCAATAAATACGTATGAAAGAATGAATCCTCTAAAAAAGGCCGCAACAATATAATATGTCTATCTAATAAGATCAACTTGCAAGAACGTCGGGACGCGACCGACGACGTTGGTAACAGCTTAGATTTATAGAGTTGAACAAAAGGTTTGCAATAACTAACGTTGATGCCCGAAAAATATGGACTAAGTCGCTGACACAACTAGTTATAATATATACCTATAGTCAACGCTGTGCATACTACATTATAAGTTAGGTAAATAAGAATTATTCTCACTACAATTAGCTTACAGCATGTTTGTGAACTTAGTTTGTGAGCCTTATTAACTAAATAAATAAATGTCGTTATTGTGTGCAAGTTTTTAACCGCGAGCTGTACACCCCGTGTTGGTAGACCCGCCATAAGTTAAGTAACACAAAGCCTCAGTCGGAGTCCGGACGCGATCATGGGCGGTCTTGTGCATGCGCTTTTAACGCTCGTCGCGGTCGCTTCAACGCACGCGTTCGTTGACGAAGCCCTCGACGTGTTGCATCTTAGCACTCAAATCGGCGAAGAGGTGCTCAACTCCTGGGATGTGATCGGTAAACCCTTCAACGCCACGGGGGGCGTGGAATTGCCGTTTGTGAGGCGACGAGAGAGGCAGGTCCTGGCGAGGCTCTCGTCGATATCTCGGGCGATACAGAAGCTGGAATTGGATGTGGAGAAGTCGCAGGCGGTTGCGGTGATGCTGGCCAAGACTGTGGGCAGGGATGCCAGGTTGGAGTTAAAGCTGAACGAGATAGCTGACTTGCTGGGTCGAGTCGAGTCCGCTGACCGGGAGATGAGGGAGTACGTGAAGCTGCAGCAGGAGCTGGAAAGACGCACCCTGGAGGACTTTGCGGATTGGTGCGTGTCGCACGACCGTGGGGCATTGGCTGGGCTGTTGGAGAGGATACACGCTTTGGTGGTACCACCACATAAGCACCTACTCGGCCGCGGTCTTCTGGGCATCGTTGTGAGCGATTTGCAGGTGGGTTTTCGTGAGTCAACTGACGATATGCTTCTATTTGAATGGAGGTCAACGGACCGTTACAATTCATTCAAGTTGGCTCTGTGACGTCACAAGGAAGGTCATGTGAATACCGGCTTTTGCTGAAGTGATAACCCACACTTATTAAAACACATACTTATTTAAACAAAACGCTTTAACGGTTTAAAACGTTAAGTGTTTTATTTAAATTACGTTCGTTAAAATTATTTTCAAGTATGTTTAACTGATATATATCGCGATTTAAACCGTTAAAGTGTTTATTTACATGTGTACTCTCGTAAACTACAGACAGTACTTAAATCAAGACTGTTAGAACCAGTAAAGGTAAAATTACCGTTTGTTCTACGTTGACGAAAATCCCTATAAACACGACATTCTTTTATCGTATTCCACGAAGTGTACTGTGTATCAATTCGCACATCCGCTCCGGGATATTGTTGCGAATAACTGGTCTTTTCATAACTGTGCCACACAACTCTAATTACATCTTTGAGACGATACAAAAATACGTTCAACTCAATTTGGGTAAAAGTCATATATTTCTCACATAAAACATGCATATTATATTTACGTATAAGTCATATATTTGACGGGCTCGTGGTATTGGACCATGGTAGCAATGTAATACCACCAGGTCCATCATGTTAACAATTTTTCTGAAACATGCTGGATTTCGTCTGGAAATCTGGATATTAATTTGGTGGTAGGTATGTCGAAGTCCGTGCGTCACGAGCCACCGTCCACAGATGAAAGCCGTGAAGCTTAATTGCGTTACGGTCCTCCGAATATCCGAAGCCAAAATAGGTCGATAGCCCATCTTGTTTAGATGCTATAGGCTGGTGGATATCACCTACCATCATGTACACCCCATGCTTGTCTATCTGTCCTTCTCTAACATCGAAAAAAACATAACACTGAGAGACTGGACAGTTTAAAAATAATAAAAGGTCAATGAACTGTACGCTTATCTCTTCATTTGTTTTAATTTAAAATAAAAACTGGGCAAGTTACATTCATAATTTGATACTGCTATGATACATACTTCACGGTTTAAAACGTGAAATATATATAGGTATTACTTTTTTACATTCAACTACGCTTTGACGCACGCTACGTCCAATTTAATTAAAGTTAAATATTAATAAAAAGTATATAAAAGTTGGTATGAGGCGGTAATCGAACCCGCTGTCTGTGTCATAAACTTAAACTTCCCATTTCTTTTTCAATAAGCTTGACTAAAGTCAAAGTTTAAAACCTCAAAGTAAAATGTACTGTCTCTGGTTTACGCAAGTAATACACATTCAAACAAACATCTTTTAACGGTCTAAAACGAGAAAAGTATTAGTCGACTAATTTATTTTAACTACAGACCGACGTCTCCGGATGCTTTGCGGCAGCCGTGCCCCCCTGTGACCGGGGCTAGATAAAATATGAAAAATATAAATTGTACATAAGTTAATTATTGTGTTTCGCGTCTTGAACCGTCAGAAATATTTTATTTAAAATCATAGATCTAATCGACGGGATTCGAACTCACGACCACGGCGTTCCCTACGTCGGGTATGTGTTGAGCAACATCTGGTATCACGTAAGTATTACATTTTGAGTGGTTTTGTTTCCGATATTACATATTTAATACTTTGTCTTGACGCATTTTAAAATATGTACAGTTAAGTGGCACTAAAAGCAACGGAAAAAACATTAAACACATCAATAATATGTCCTCTTACAAATATTATACTTCACATAAGCAGGGAACCGAAGCGTGAAGATAAAAGGACATCAATTATACTAAATTATAAGCCGAAGAGTTTTTGTTTTAATTCGATTGTCTCAGGAACTACTATAGTTTACGCGAGTGGTACAATTAAATAAAACACTTAATGCGGTAAACTAATTTTGAAAATGATTAAAAAAAATCATTTTCAAATAAGTTTAACTAATATATCGCGTTTTAAACTGTTAAAGTGTTTTATTTAAAATCTTTTTGTGTTGGGAGGAAGAATAGGAGAGAAATAACAGTGGGAAATGTGGAAAAAAACGGGGAAAGATTAATCTTTGAGAGTTTCCCTTACGCGCGCCGCGAGAACGGTTCAAGATAACCAAAATATATGTACAAAAGACGATCTTTTAAGATGGCAAGAGCGACGGGACGCAAGCGACGTCGCGGGTAACAGCTATAACTTGAAATGGTGAGGAGATTTGCAAAAACTTTTGACGCCCAAAATAACTATACGCGGACAAAGTCGCCGGCGCAGCTAGTCAACAATATGTGTTCTAGCACATATTAAACTTCATATAGGCAGGGGACCGAAGCGTGAAGATTAAAGGACATTAAATATATTATGACCTTTGCTATGCTTCTAGTTGAAATTGTTGATAAGGTACACCGTTATAGTGAGTCTCATCGTGCGTTGTTGCGGTTGGAGCTTAAATTTAAACTAGCTATGGCCGCGACTTCGTCCGCGTTAATTTGCCGGTTAAAATTTGTGTCTGCAAGCCTCGTGATCTTTATAAGTTATAGTCGTTATAATATTTAGTGTTTTAACCCTCTCAACGTGTTTTATTTAGTAGAATTGTAACGGTTTCAAACGCATAATATTTTTTTTTCTTTAATAAATTAATAATAAGTATATACGAAAAAAATATGTTAAAAATTTCGCGGTTTTAACCGTTAAAATTGTTTCATTTAAATAAATTTAGACGGTTTAAAACACGAAATATATTAGTTAACAAATGACGTCAGTTTCGGATGCAGCAATAGTGGTCAAGAGACCAGTGGTAGGTCTAACTTGAAAACGAATAAAACACTTTCAACGGTTTTAAACGCGAAATATACATATTAGTTAACGAATAACGGTAGGTCTTAGCGTAAAAACTAATAAAACACTTTTAACGGTTTTAAACGCGAAATATATTAGTTAATCAATTTTGTAATAGGATTATAAAATAGTTATTTCGTGAGTCACGAATGCCCCCAATTATACTTCGATCGCAAGTAGCGCCATCTACACTCCGCTAGGATAACTAACGACCTAGGAGCACAAAGAAACGCGGACACAATATTTATTTGCAATGAGTCACTGAGGGTCAAACGCCCTATATCTATCCTTCAGGGCCGGATACAAATTTACTCAGAATATTAGTTAATTGTTGACAACAAAAAGCTCTCGAGTTTAATCAAATACGGAGTATCTACTTATATTATGAAGCTGGAGAGTTTCGTATTAAAACAGTCAAATATTGTAAAAACACAAAAAAATATATATTTTTTCTTATGTTTTTTTTAATAGCTTTAAGATAAAATAAAATCTATTTTATATTACAATAACGCAAATAAAATAGATCACTAAAACAGACACAGAATATCTCGTCTGCCTCGCGTCACGATAATCACGTTTTAATCAGTTATAAAAATATGTAGTTATACATATCGGATTGTAGTTTTTTTGCACTTCAAGATAAAATCGATGACACGGGTAGGACTCGAACTCACAACCGCATCGATTTCTACACAACACTTTTCTCTGTAATTTAAGAGAGTGGTAAACTTTTAACGGTTAAAAACACGAAATATACAAGTTTCATTATTTACGATGTATTAAAACTACCGTCTGACGTGTCGCAAGCTATACAGAAACATCACGAGTATGCGAAAGGTCCGTAGGTGAAATAAATTGTAAGTAAAATAGTTCGCGTTTTAAACCGTTAAAGTGTTTCCTCTGTTTACTTATATTTACGCAGTTGTACTTGTATATTTTCTACCTAACTTAACTTAACCAAGAATATGTTAATACACAATCAAATGTCTCATTCTATACCGTGTATAGATAAACGTATTATTAAAAGTTGCGCATGCGCACGTACGACACATTGCTCATCAGGTTTAGTATTACGCTTCCCTTTGATAAAGAGCATCTCGGGTTTCATTCCGCTGATCACTAATCACGTAGTGCGATTCGGAGAAATCATTGTTAATATAAATAACCATACAAACATACATATGTACATACAAAAGCTAGCTTTTGCACGGTACCTTTAAGTATTACAATTATAATCGATACGTTCACCACGCACCAATTATCCAGATACCCAGACAAAGTCCAACGTTCGCAAAAAAATATAAGAAGCACGGTTGCCTCTTTGGAATCGAACCAAAGACCCCTTGATTAAGACATATATGCCGGCCAAACACTTTCGGATACCTCCTCCTCAGTACATCTTTACTAATATTATAAAGCCGAAGGGTTTGTTTGTTCGTGGTAATCTTAGGAGATACTAGATCGAATTGATTTTTTGTGTTGGTTGGATCACTTAGGGGAAAGGTTTTAGGCTCTACTACATCACGAGGGTAGAAAAAGAGGGAAAAGTGGAAAAACACAGGAAAAATAATATATATATATAGTATATGTCTATCTTTTAAGATTCACTCGCAAGAACCACGCACGCGGACGACGTTGTGGGTATCAACTATCACTGCATAGCATAAAACAAAGTCACTTTTGTTTTATAAAAATAAAAATTCAAAATGAAGGTTTTTTTTATATACAACATTAACAGTTTGTCCGTGGTGTATTATTATTTTTAAAGCTGTCGACGTTTACAAAAATAAATGTTGATGCCCAAAAATTCTATTCCATGCGGACAAACCCGCGGGCGCAGCTATCTTTGTTATACATATGAACTAATAATTACGTTACTTTCGATACATGAGGCGTAAATTTTGTGAACCGTAAACGTGGGGTAGTGTCGGGTGTTGGTTTGGAGTCAGGGGGGCGAGTCAGTGGCAGAGGAAACTTTAATTTAAATCAATCAATGATGCACTTTTCGTGACCCGCATCGGGGCGCGTCGGTTTCTGTCCCTTACGTACAATAAATCAACAACACATCGTTTGACCGAAATTCGCATCGCAGTTTTAAATAAAACATTTTTTCGGTTAAAAATGCGATGTATAATAGTTAAACTTATTTTTAAAATATTTTGACTAGGGCCCGACGTTTCGCATGCTTTGCCGACCGCGACGTCGGGCCTTAGTAAGACCGGGGGTCTTCCAGCGTTTTATTTATATGTGTAGGTACTACTTGCGTAAACCTAGACATAATTCGTATCGCACTTACAAATACCTACAACTTTTCAACTTGCACTTAGGTAATTTTAACTGGTAATAAGATGCATCAGAACTTTAATATTCTTTACACATGACGGCATTATATAAATTAAAAAACCGATTTTATATTTTAAAAAATACGATACGGGTGCACCTTAATTCACTAATGTTAAGGTTGAAATTACACTGCGCGGGAGGTGCACGTATCTATAGGTTGAAAAAATTAGACGATGACGTGTAGCCCAATTGGTTAGAGAAACAACACGGCTGTCGATGTCGATCAAAGTTCCGCTAAAACGAAAAAGAAACCAATAAATATGTGTGAAATGATTCCTGTTTAAAAGACCTTTAAAATGTCCGCAAAACATGTCTATCTTTTAAAATAAGCAAGAACCTTTTTCACGGTAATCTAATTTGTTCAAAATTAAAAAGTCAAATCCCGTTTCCCCCATGGGGCATGGGGCGAACACATTTCTGTGTCCGTTTCACTGATCCGTTCTTTTTAAGAGGCAAGTAGTTGATCACACTTGTGCCCTACTTGACCGGGATTCGAACCTAGGACCTCTCGCGCATAAGGCAACACGCTTAACCATTTGGCTACAGAGGCGGTCAAAATTAAGGCATTCATTACCAATTATTTGTTTAAGTTGTATCAAATAAATCTTGTAAACAACAAAACATTTGCCGGATCAGCTAGTTATTTTAAACTAGCTGTGCCAGCGACTTCGTCCGCGTAGAATCATATTTTTTTCAAACTCATCTTTATAAACTGTAGCCGTTACCCACATCGATTCGAACCAGTAGTTCCCGAGATTAGCGCGTTCAAACAAGGAAACAAACAAACTTAATAATATTAGTAACGATTTGTCACTGCGTACTAGATATGACGTCATAACCGCGTCATTAACATTACGAACCTAGCCAAGAACAAACACTTTCTCCTAACGAATGCGTTGCCCACGATTATGTCCTCTATGGGGACGGTACAAAAAGTCCGTTGCGTGTACCACGTGCCATCGATTTCCCGAATCATTCAACTCCAACAATACAAATACGTCCCGCGACGTCACCTGACAGACGACGGGCGAATAATAAGTGAATTAAAATGTTCTCCAATGCACAAAGAAATATAAACCTTATTTCAAAGCGATACGAACTATATTAACAAAAACCTTAGGCAAAACGCGCTAACCAAATTAATATGCTCGCTAGTGGTGTGCGGATGTTACCTGTTTATCGATATATGGTTATTTAGTTAGGAAAAAAAGGACTTTTCACCATTATTAAATAAATAAACAGTCAAAGTTAAATATTGTCTGTAGTTCACGCTAGTCGTATGCATTAAAAATAAAACACTTGTAAGTCTTAATACCGCGAAACATCCATCCACTTTCACTGTCCCGATGTTCCGCCCAACGTGACCTCGAAATTAACATGCTGAACCGGTTATAAAATACCGTTAACTTATCTTTTTTGCACTATAAAAGCTTGTATTTGTAGTTTTAAGCGAATAGCACATTATAATAATATGTATTTTAAATGAATGTAAAAACGTATTTAATAAAAATGTAGTACACTTAAATACGTGAAGGCTGTAAAACGAAAGTTGGCGATAGAAGGAGTGGCGGCGAGTTTCATGCCAATCCTTCTCGTTCGTTGACGTCATTGATTTGAGAACTGGTAGTAAGCTGGTAGTTTTTATTTTTATTTAAGAAAATGCAAATTTCGATTTATAAGTTGTAACGTTAATAAGTGTACTCAATTACCTACAGGTATACATTATTTTTCCCTTTAATTCTTTATGGTACTTTGTTAAAAGGTTTTTTTTTTTTAATTTCGATAATCATGTTCGAGTTAAGTTTTTTTTATTCAATACACAATACAAATAAAAGATAAATGAAAACACCCATTTGGATAAAAAAAAAGAAAAAGATAAAACTGATTATCGATCGTGGCATCGCACAGCACTAACACAAGAGCCCCACTCCAAACCGGCCGTCCCCACCCGCGCGCTCGCCAGTGCGTTGCAAACAGCGGCCTCAGTCGCTCCTACAAAATGAAATACGCGGCGTTAATCGCGTTTCTCGCGGCCACCAGCGCCGCCAGCCCAACAGCCGTGGACTACGTGCGCTACAACTTCTTCACCTTCGAGAACCAGCTATGGAAGAACGTGACCGACCCGGAGTGGACGCAGGGGGGCCTCGCCGGTGACATCGAGCTGACAAAGGCCTTTGTCGCTTTCGACGAGCAGATAGCGTCGGTGCCGCGTCCGCCGCGTCCACCGCTCGACTCCTGGCTGTGGATCAAGGCGGTGGAGAGGCTGCAAGTGATAGATGGCTTCTACAAGAGCTTCTTGGACTTCGTGCACCGGCAGTCAAAGCCGGGGGGTGTTGCGGCGCCGAGTCGCGAGTGGCTGGACCTGGCTGAGAGTGTGCTGATGGATCCCAGTACGTCTGTCGCCCAGGCTGTGAGGAAACTGCACGATCTTTTGGAGCACGGGGATATGTTCCGTTCCGTTTTGCAGGTATACGAGACTTAAATTACGAGTCGTAGAAAGTTGGGATTTGAAAACTTCTTAATACAGACAAGCATGGGGGTTCAACCGAGATGTGCCGTCGACCTTTTTGGCTTTGGATATTCAGAAATCCACAGACGAACCGAAACGCGATCAAACTTAACGGCTTTTTTTATCTGTGGACGGTGGTTCGTGAATTTCGATTCCCACCATCCATTTAAATATCGAGACAAAGTCTAACATGTTTTAGTAACATGATAAAAATTCTTAGTTTACGCGATTCGTTCATAATTAAATAAAACACTTTAACGGTTTAAAACCGTTATATCATTAACTAAAAGGCGTGACCACGGCTGCTGCATGCCTAATCTCCAATATATATTATTGCGTTTTAAACCGTTAAATGTCTTATTTGAACATTATATATTGTCATATATGTTGGACCGTTTTGCCATATTTAGCCATAGCATTAGAACCCGTCGATTAGACTATTCTTTTCGATTCAGTTTACGTTTGGAGCCGTCTTAAGGAGATTGTTATTATAGCGAATATTCCGCGAGATACAAAACAAAAGTGCGCGCGAGTGTTTTGTAAATGTCAGCGACCCGGTGTTCAACATTCGGCCGGTACTTGCGCGAATGTTGAGTAATAAAAACATCGACATCGATAATTGTGTCAGGCGTTAGGAAGCGAAATTGTCAAGGCGAGCCGATAAACAATGCGTATTCAGTATTCAAGCTGGGTCAAATCGTTCTAGAACTTTGACTTTCAAACTAATTTTTTCTTCGCTTAATCAAATTTCTATTGACTAAGCTAAGAAAATATAAAATAAAGGTGATAAAATTTAATAGACAGATTGATGAAAGAATAAAATTTAATAAACAGACTGAGTAAAGAGGGATATTTTTAAATGAAGGTCCATAATTTTTCTGTAGTATTTAGTATCAGCATTCCCTCGCCGGGGCGGATCACTAGTATCTACATATAAAATGAACGCCTACGAAACTCAAAAGCTAATAAATGTTTAATTAAGTCAAAACAAGACTAACGTAAAAAACTATAATTACAACGTCGATGTGTAGATAACATTTAAATAAGCAATATTAACGTTTTAATGACAACTTATTTTTAACGGATTCAAACTCGAAATATATCGTAACCTTGGGCTATCGCATCCGATACGTTTGCAAACAAGATGTTTACTTCTTATATTGTAAATAAATAAATTAAACAAATTTACGACTCGGACTTGAACCGGCATCGTCTGCGTTTCGCGCTGTTTTGCTCTAACCAATTAAGCTACCGAGTCCTACCCTTACAAGCTTATACTCACTACTAAGGCATTAAACACTACTTGTATTGTGTTATAATCAGTTAAAGCGAAAACCAACCGAGCCCCCCTTTTTCCCCCCTTCCCCCCTCCCCTCGGCCTTTTCAAACAATACACTTTAACGGTTTCAAACGCGATATATATTAGTTAAACTTATTTGAAAATTATTTTAAACATCGGCCCAGCGGGTCGGATGCTTTGCATCAGCCATGGTCACGGGGAGACTAAGTTTAAATAAGTCAAATAAGTTTAACTAATATATATTAGTTAAACTTCAAATGATTTTCAAATAAGTTTAACTAATATATATTAGTTAAACTTATTTGAAAATCATTTAAACTACAGCCGGACGTTTCGGATGCTTTGCAGACGTGGTAAACCTCGCTCCGTGTTATATAGCCTAAAAGCTTTTCTCGATAAATGACCTAACTTACACAAAATAATTTTCCAATTCGAACGAGTAGTTCCTAAGATTAGCGCGTTTAAACAAACTCTTCAGCTTTATAACATTAATACAGATTGGCATAAACAAAGTAACTACAGACTCATGCGGTTTTAATTTCATACCTACATAACAATAATATCACATATATTGTATGTAAACATCGCCATTAATAATTATGAGTAAGCAACAACAGGTAAACTTCCTGTGGACTTTATTAATTCCATAATAACAGTCGATAAGGTATATAAGTCTACCAGAGGCAGAGTGGTCCTATAAAAAACATGACTTTCAATAAGAAAATAAAAATGCGCAATTACTTAGGCCAAAATTAAATTGATATTAAAAAAAAAAAAAAAAAAAGGGAAAAAAAGGGGAAATTTTAGTAAAACTTTTTTGAAAATGTCTCCCCGTGACCACGGCTGCTGCAAAGCATCCCCCTTGAAACTTAGGCGAAAATGATTTTTTTCAAATAAGACTATTATTCGCGTTTTAAACCGTTAAAGTGTTTTATTTAAATGTGTACTACTCGCGTAAACTATAGACAGTGTTCTATTACTTGTTTAAGAATTATGTTAACAATTTTCGGTCACTGTGCTCTTGTAAATTGACATTTTTAGACTGTAAGCTTTTGGTTCTTTCTGGTAACTTTTGGTTCACTTAGATATCTCAATAAGATACGCTGTCGTCCTATTTTGGCTGCTTGGATTGGATTCGGAAATTCAAAACGGAGTAAAACTTGATTTTTTCTTTTTCTAGTTCCCCAGTAGTTGACCCGACTGGAATTTCGATATTCCTAACACCCATTTAATATCCAGATTTCCAGACGAAGTCCTAACATTGTGACAACATAATACACTTAGATGGCGTACGGACGGACACAATTATGTGTCTGTTTCGTCCGATTCGTAGCTAGGCCACGGGTATTTTTAGTGAAGAAGCGATTTATATCTTTCACCATCACTACTCATAAAATACATTATATCTTGTAGATATGTTAGAGAACGAGATATGTTACGAGGTCAACATACTTAAGCAAAATATATATACATCATCTAATACAGAGGAAAACATATAAGTCTATTCGCAAAAGTAAAAAAATAAGGATTTAAATATATTAATTAGTTCCTCGCGCAGTAATTGTGGCTTTATCATTTCCTTTGAATTATAATTATGTAATAATTATTAATGTATTGTTGTTAATTAATTATTAATATTAAATATTTATAGTTTCTAATCTATACTAATATATAAAGCTGAAGCATTTCTTTGAACGCGCTAATCTCAGGAACTAGAGGTTCGAATTGAAATAATATTTTTGTGTTGGTTAGAGCATTTATATGCTATACAACATCGCTGTGACTAATACAAGCGAAGATACAGCGAGAGATATGAAGATATTTGGAATTATTATTCCTCATTATGGGACGCGACCGACGTCGTGGGTAACAGCTTATAACTACTCTACGCGCACGAATTCGCCACAAATTATATTAGTTAAATCATTTTTACATAAGTTAGCTAGTATATATCGCGTTGTGAACCGTAAAAAGTGGTTTTTTATATGTGTAATACTCGCGTAAACAGACAATACTTGAAATGCTATTTAATTTCCTTATAACTTTTTTTTGTGTTTCTCCACGGTCGTGACAATTACAGTATAGATACCTACTAAGCACAAAAGTTCAATACTTTAAATTACACTTAGTTTATTATGTGTAAAATTAGTTATTTACAGATATTAAATTTTAGTCGTTAGATCTTGACTGACGCACAGTGTGTTAGAATTTGGATCCTCGTGTAGATTGTGATATGCCTTATCACGACATTGGTTATTAATACAAAGTTCTTTAAAACGAAAAAAAAAAATCGCCAGACTCAAACCCACGACCACAGATCACATCATAAAAATGTATTTAAAAAATTTAAATCCTTGCGAAATCTTTTTCAGGAGAAACACCCAGACGTGTGCGACCTTCAGCTGTCTCCCCACCAGCTCATCTACGATATGTACAACACCATTGCCCTGACTGAAATCAAGGGTTACGCCATGATGCAGTTCTCCTGGATGTTGCTAAGGATATATGGAAAAGGTAGCTAAAAAGGGGGGGTTAACCCCCTTTTTATAAGTGATTGTGAGACCGCCCACGGGCATTTTTGACGCGGTAAATCGCACTATACCCTGCATGTTCGAGCTGGTGCTACCAACAGTGCCAGAACCACTAAACACACCAACAGCGCGCTACGGTGCTTACAAAGAAAACCTCGCAATACGTTTGAATTCCAAAGCTCCCACCAGCAAAGCTATGTAATGTTTATGCTAAATGTTTGTTTACTACATCCGTTGCTCAAGGGAAGTAGAGGTTCTAGGCCCAAAAACTTTGATCGCGGAAAAATAAACTGTTTTAGTTGGAAAGAAATACGTTAAGAAGTAAACGGACACATGAGTGCTCGCACACTGGTCAACCAGGCTTTTCAAAACAACCTTCGACGTGGTTAGGTTATTTTTATCATATTAATAAAAAACACGCCTTATAATCATCTAAGAATGATGAGTTGATACATGGCAGTCGACTCGTGCGCCGATGTTGCGTTGTCAAGGCTGAACAACTGGATCTACTTGCATTGAATTCGCGGAAGGCAATTGCCGTGCTCCCATTTTTGTACGATACGTTATTCTCTTCTTTGTTTGAATTCGTGCTTACACTGTTTTTGCTGCAGCTTTATTAATATTATCAACAACTGGTTAGAATTTAATTTCCGTTTAATAATTAGAACATATTATTCGTTTAAATAAAACACTTTAACGGTTTAAAACGCGATATATTAGTTAAACTTATTTGAAAATGAATGTCGGGCCGAAGTTAAAAATCATTTTCAAAATTTAAATGTGTACTACACGCGTAAACTATAGACAGTATTTACATATTATTCGTTTTAATGACGGTAGTCTGTAAATTTCTCACGAAGCATACCCTCTATATAAATGTGTTCGAGTTTTATCTACTCTCGCCTATACTTCAAAGCTTCTATAAAAATCTAATTGGATAACAGCTATTGATTTTCTTTACCAGAACGTTTCGTAATACTAGCGCACGTGTTATGCAATTATATTTTCTTTCCGTTTTTCTACTACTCTACCTACCTTCATGTATTTTAAATTTCTCTTCCTTTATCGACTGTTTGAATTAAAAAGGAAATAGACAAATTAAATATTTGGTTCGACGGCGAATCTTAAAACGATATAGAACTTACAGGCATATAAAAATAAGTTTTGGTAAAGATGTTTGACTTCTTTCGTGTTAAAACTTTTGAATTTGAAATTTCAGGAAAATTAAAAAAAAAATACGAAACGGTCATCCAATGAACCGGCATCCACAACGTTCCTCGCTGTTGCACCAACCAATTGAGCTACCGTGTTCAAACACTTTATCATCGAAAATCTTCACCTTATTGATCGCTTGTAATTTCAACTCTTGCGCATTGATTTCAGGCAACTTCACCCAAGAAGCCAGTCTGACGAGGCAGAGATACACAGAAAGAGTCGTCCGCACAGCTGTAGCCGCCAAAGACGCTCTCTCTATGGCCAAGCGGGATTTGTACAGGTGCGACCCAGCAGAACACGCCAAAGGTACAAAAATTGTTCGAATGACTAATTGTAATGTAGTTTTTATTTATTATCTGTTTGCTTGATTGTTGGGACCCCGTACTCATAGGGTAAACTCGAGACCCTGTTGTTTATCATGCTATTCGTACTGAACCTTTAGCAGGCGAGGCAAAAGAATTATAATTTGTTAACCATAGCTAAATGTATATTTTAGTAATGGTTTTATTAAGAAATATAGCTACAGAAGCTAAAAAATGTAGAATCAAACGATAATTATTCGTGTACACTTAACGTCAATACAGGTTGAAACGAACAATTAAACATTTACTACCATTTACTAAATCAAGAGGGTAGAACGAACAAGAACTGGCAAAAGACTCGCTACTTTTAAAGCTAAGCCATTTGCAAAGTCTTAACCATTTAAACAAGAAAGTGTGAAAGCCAATTTCCACCTCGCCTTCGGTTTATTAAATTAACCCTTTTAAAGTCTAACATAAATCCTCCGTTCTCTAACTTTAGGTGTAACCTACGAGGAGGTGACGAGACTCCTCCAGGGCTACATAGAGAACGAAGTCGACATGAACGAAGGCCAGTCGTGCAGTGGAAACTGCGCTTACTACACGGTCGCCAAGAATCATGGATGCTTTAAGGAGCAGTACTGCTCCAAGCAGCCAACTTGCAGGGGACGCATAATCAACTGCCAGTATATTGACTCTGATATGTGGATCTGCCCAGCGGTGAGTCTTCCTAGCAAATCATACGGGTTTTTTTATTACAGAAGGGCAGAGACACGCGTGGAGTTCACTTGATGATAGGTGAAATACTAATCAAGATGCGCTACCGACCTTTGGCTTTGGTTATTCGGAAGTCCGCGGACTGAACTTCACGGCTTTTGCATCTGAATTGATAAAAAAAATGTTGGACCCACTATTGATTATAGGCAAACAATCACAAATGGGATCTGAGGCCTTGCAAAATATCGAATACCCAATAACTTGGTCTTACGCGGTTGTCTTATGGGTTTAGCATAGAGTGACCATCATAAATTTTGCATTTACAGAGTAAAACCAGTACGCGACGCTACGAATGGATAGAATATGAGAACGGGCGCAAACTGGGACGAGGGGCATCCTGCTCAAGAGGAACAACAAAGGTACGGAAAGAGTTATGTTTATTAATTGTGTTCCGTTTTGTGGATTACCTAACTCGGCTACCGTGTCCAATAAGTCTTATAACCAATTTAAACGATGTGCGCTTGGAGCAGCGTGCTTAGAAAAGACACAAAAAATTACGATTTCTATGTACACTTGTTATTCTTCGAAACTACACTACGTTACTTTACGCTGTCGACCAATAGGTGATATTATATTTGAAGCAAACTCTATCGGATCGGATTATTGTTATCGGAATACAGGGAAAAAGTTACTATATCAAATTATGTTTTAAATGTCGAAGACAATTTTACATCCGCCGCGAATGTGAGGTAAAACCGAATATAAACCATGTTTACTTGTGTTGCATGAACAAGTGTTTGTATTAAAGATTACTACTTTAAATAAACACTCTTTAATAAGTTTTCTAGACAAAGACACGATCTAAAAGCTAGTATACAGTATAAAAATTAAGTATGAGCCGACTCACCGTGACCACGGTTAATTCTTAAATAAGTTTAACTATATATTTCGCGTTTTAGATAAAGTATCTTATTTAAGTGTACCATAATATAATTTTGTGTATTGAAATCTTCGTTCGGGAAGACTTCATAGACAATGTTGAAAAAAAAAAATTTGATGCAATTTGGAGGAGGACAGGCAAGCATAGAGATCACTTGATGGTAGGTGACCCCAGCCAATAGCATCTAAACAACATGCGCTTTCGACCTATTGGCTTTGGATATTCGGAAGTCCAAAGACTGTAACCGAAACGTGATTAAACTTTATCTTTTTCATCTGTAGACAGTAGTTCGATATTCCTACCACCAATTTAATAAGATGGAGATGTTCTCAGGTGGATTCTTGGTGGCGATGGTTATTCTGGCACTGCTCGTACTGTATGTGCCTTTGCGACGAGTCAGGTCCGACCTCAGACCGGTACTTCAGCCTATGGGACGCCACTTCCGATGTCAAGAACAATAAGTTAGTCTGACAATCACTGGGGCGCTCGCACACTTACAGACTTTCGTCGACGTAGATGTTAGGATATGAATTTGTCAAGTGTAAAGCCATAATAGAACATCTTGTTTTCAAGGTCGACTCCTGGTGGAAGTGGTACCTCGTCCACTGCTCCTACTGTTTCTGTATATGCGAAGATGATGTAAACGTCGCTGAGCGTTCGTTCAGTTTGCGCGAAGCAAGCGCAGCCATCGACAACAACAAGTCAGTTTAGGTTTCGAGGGGCTTAGTTCTGGACGCTTTATTTGTAAATATCTTCCTGGTGTAACCCTTGGTCGCTTATCTCGCTTCTTTACTCTTCTTCTTTAACTCTAATTCATTTGGAGGGGGGGGCAAGGTACGCGAAATTAAAAGCATGGGTGTGCGGGTGTCCACTATCGTTGTTTCTCGATGTCTCGGACGTATCCTAACGCGGCACTCTTGTAGAGTTGTCACCGGAGTGCGTCTGGTGAAGCACGGCCAGGTGTTCCACCTGCAAATCAGCGAGGGTAAGCTGGGCGAGCGTGGAACGGTGACGGCCGGCAGCTGGGTGCCGGTGCAGAAGTTCGACATCAATGATCCGGACGTGCGGGACGGCGTGGACTACCACACACTCTCGTACGAGAGACGTGCGGTGGATTTGGACGAGCTGGACTCACCGTACAGGCATATACTGACAGGTGTCAGGTACGAATTGGATCTTTGGGGAAATTGACGTGTCAACAATTAAAGCACTTATGTAAATTAACTTGACAGGTTCCGTATGATCGGGGCACATTTGCACTTCGAGATTCGGTCGACGCCCTTTAATTATACGACCGGCCGATTGTCGCCCGAGCGTAGCGTTTGGATCAGCAATGATAATACCGATGGGGCTGAAGTACCAAGGTAATTTTATTTGGTTTAGTTATTTGTCTGTGGTTGTTTTAAGACAGAGGAACCGTATAAAAACGGAAAAACCCGTGCAATTATACAATACTACAGATTAATAGATAATTATATAAAGGCATCAAAGTTATGAAATGCAAGAATCTTTCGGCTGTAACTTAAACAAGAATCTTTTTGCAGTTGGTTTCTTCTATTTAATAAAACTGTTTTATTTAAATTACTTATTGTACACTAGTTCAATATCAAATTATATGATAATATTATAAACGTTCCAGTCACATAACAAATTTAACGAGATACCCTGACCTAAAATCTTCGGGGCTGTTTTTTACAACTTCAATACGTTTAATTGCGATTAGATTTAATTTAATGCGCTAGAGGTGCACGTATCAAAAGCTTTGCCCATGACGTGTAGGACTCGGTAGCTCAATTGGTTAGGGCAACAGCACGGAATGGACGCCGGTGCTAGTCCTGCTCGAGTCGTAATTTTTATTTTTATTTTTATTTAATCGTAGGCGTTTTTCATTTTTCAGGAGCAGGATAAATTTATTCAGCCCGGACGTCCCGATACGCAGTAGCTCTCCCCTACCAGTGGACTCGACACACGATCAATTCATTGAGTTTACCAATAGCGATTTGGATGCAGACGCTGCGCAGAGTACTGTGCCTTTTATAGACATACAGCCAATCGAGCCATTGAAAGGTATGGCCATTGATGAGGACTTAAAAATACATAACATTTAATAATCTTTAGTACAAAAGTTTGGAGAATATTGTCGATTTGGTATCAAATACTTTTAGACGACCATTGTCAATTTTAAAGCTAAGCTAGTAAGCTATGACACCCAACACGCTAAGCTAAAAATTATCTGCACAAATAATTTCGACCATTTGAATTAGAAACTAGCGTTTCAAATAAATTTAATTGTGGTCGAATTACGACAAGCTCGATTGAGGTTTTATTTATAAGTGATTTGTTATCACTTTATCTAAGTTTACAATATTAACCCGTTTGAATGAACCACTTTTACGGTTTAAAACGTGATATGTAAGTTTAACTTATTTAGGAATTATTTTAACTAACGACGTTTCGACGGAAATAATTTTCAAATAAGTTTATCGAATATATTTCGCGTTTTAAACCGCAAAAAGTGGTTTATTTAAATGAGTACTACTCCCGTAAAGCTAACAGTATTTAATATTAAACTACTATCAAATTTGAACAGATTTAAGTGTGCGTGAATCGTATAGATGTCCTACTTTTTATGTATTTTTTTTATTATTGTTTTTTTATTTTAACTATTATTTCTTTTTTATTACGAGTTAATTCTTTGTCAACTTTCTTTCAGGTGGTTCATTGATTAGTGGTGCCGGCATGATACACCGTGGAGCCCGTGGCTCTGGAGGGTTCATCGCTCCAAAGCTCATCACCTACGACTACTCCCGCCACGTGAAAGCCGAGCTACCGATAGACATCTACGAGGGGGAATCCCCCGATTTCATGCCCGTAGCAGCCAACTAGTCTTAATTTAAATGCATTCATATACTCAGTGTTATATAAGTTTCGAATAATAAAGATAATATTAAGATTGACAATATTATTTTTTTTATCTAAATTAATTTCGTTATTTATGTAAGCACTCGTGCGCATGTGTAAAATATATTAGGTTTGATACTTGATCTATAGGAATATTATAAAGCTAAATGGTTTAAAATTAAAATTATGTGTATTGAACACATAATTTAAGGACCATGTATCGAGGAAGGCTTTACGCTATACATCATTAAGCCGCGAACAATAGGTGTGGAGAAACAGAGGGAAAAGTGGGAAAAAAAAACGGGGAAAATTAGTCATCTTTGAGGGTTTGCGTTACGTGCGCTGCGAAAACGGTAAAGATACCCAAAATATGCCGGAAAATTCCTTGTTTAATTCTCTAAAATGTCCGAACGACAGTATCTATATTTCTAAGATTAACTCGCAAGAACCACTTTCATGGGAATCCAATTTTTGTGGAAATACTTCTTAAAGCAAAAAAAACATTTGACACGTTAACTAGCTATTGAATAAAAGTATTTCTTTAAAAATCCTTCTAATCTTGACCCGACGATAATGCTTAACTGCTAGCGCGGTTGCTCTTAAACCGTTGGACGTTTAATATAAACCACTTGCCTCAATAATATCCTCTATTTTGCGCATATTTAAATAGAATAGTAAACAGGTTATTTGATAGGGTCAATGCTATCGTAGTGATTATAATTCATCTTTGACCTAATTCGATATCAATATGTTAGTTTTGCATACAAAAGATTTTCGGATTCACTTGATAGGAAGGTGAGATACCCTATCCATATAACATCTAGGCCAAGATGCGCTATCGAGCAATTTTGGATTTGGAAACGGAAATCCACAGACTGAAGCCGAGACGTGATTCAACTATTGGCCTTTCCGCCTGGTTCTTCTTAATACCCTCTTAGGCTAACCTTGTCGCAAAACCCTTCTCTTTACTACTCGTATGGATAAAATCGATCCTTAGTAATTACTTTAAGTAAAATTTTATAACATTATTATGGATCTAGCTCAATTTTTTTATCCTTCATTTGTCCTTCTTGTTAACGGTACGTAACGAGCTAACGTAAGAAAAAAAAGGACCTTTAATATTTACAGGTATGCGTGTTTAAATATTTTACACTCCAAGTCTTTTTTTTTTACTATAGTGTAAACTAGACGTATCGTTCCGTCAACGATACAACAAAAAAATCGAACTTGTTATCGATAAAAACCGACAATAAGTTAAACTAATATATGTCGAGTTTTAAACCGTTAAAAGTGTTTTAACGGTTATTTCGCTGTACCGAGCTACAAAATAATATAATCCTCTCCACTTCACAACTATGCAGAGTTTAAATATTGTTATGAGTTTTCACGTTAAAGGCACCGAATTCATCGTGAGAATTTCACTTAAATTTGAACTTGTTTGTTGTGCAACTATATTGTAGTATTAATTTTAATTCTTTATATAATTTTTGATATTGTTTCAAATAGATTTGATTTGTATCGGATTAAGTTTTAATTGTAAATGTTATTTCTGAAAAAAACTTATTCTATTCTATAAACATATTGACGCGTAAAAAGCGTTTCGTGCTTACCTGTACTCGTAGCGGATGCGCGGCGAGTAGAGCCAGCATTTCCGGCTGCGGGAGCAGGTCGGCGGCGCGCACGCGCATGCCGCGTACAGCCGCGCAGAGAAACGCGGCCAAGTACCGATGTAGGGGGAAATGAAACGACGCGTGGAGAGAGCGAGACTGCAAAGTATAACATTTTATTTTACTATCTCTGACTATCTATGTAATAAAAGATAAAGACAAACAAACATATGTTATTTATATATTTAACTTTATTTATTACTAGCTGTATCGGCGTAACTTCAAGTTTGTCTACAACCTCACTTTATAAATTTAAGCCACGACGCCGGTCGCAGCCCCTCGTTCTTACAAGTTAATCTTAAAAGATAGACATAGTGTCGCGGACAGTCTTTAATATCGTTTAAAGTGGAATCATTCTTTATAGATATTTTTTGTTATCTTGAACCATTTTCCCCTGTTTTCCCACATTTCTACTGTTTCTTCGCAACTATTAGTCAGTAGATAGACGCACACAACGACACAATAAAATCATTCAACAATTCGCACCAGTAGTTCCTCAAATTACCCAAAATAGCTATTCGCCTTTATATGCGCGGGCGAAATCTCTGACACAGCAAATTCCTAAATAAATACAGGCAAGACTTCCTCGTCAGCGTTTCGTGCCGTTGCTCTAGCCAAGTTACTCAAGTCTAACCAACAGCACGGAACGCTGTCGATGTCGGTACAAGTCCTGCCCAAGTAAATAATTTTCAAAAAAAAAAATATTAAAGTCTTCATAGACTTACCCTTGACGAGGGTTTAGTGCATCCGACAGCTGCCAGCCACTGCTGTAAGTAAGCGAGGGCCGCGTGCACGATGCGGCGCGCGCGCGGCGCATGCTCCGGCGCATTCAAGTGCGACAGCACGCTCCACATTGGGTACGCTGCTGCTTCCAATTCACAAGAAAAGGCCGCGTAGTAAGAAGACGGCTCAAACTCTATGTGACCGGCCGTTTCACGCACGTTGACATTCATGCCTACAAAAAGAAATAAATAAATTTATTTAATTACTACACTAGCGACCCGCCCCGGCTTCGCTCGGTTGCAATGCTGATGTTTGATACACAGCAGATAACTTGTGAACAATGTATTTAAGACCTTACACTCCAATCAACTGTGTAAAAATCCGTAGGGACAGAAAATGCCACTTTGTTTTATACTTATGTAGGAAAGCCCCAGAAGCCCTTTTACTACACAAATGCTTATTAACTCACTATGTATAGTTTAGGCGAGTAATACACATTTAAATCACACTTTAACGGTTTCAAACGCGATATATATTCGTTAAACGTGGGCTACGATGCAACCAGTTTTTACATAGACAGAAACACCTTCCATCTTTAGTCTCCCCGTGCCCATGGCTGCTCTGCAAATCATCCGAAATGTTGGGCCATAGTTTAAATCAATTAAATTTTAAAGTAAGATTATACACGGTTACAGATATTTACCTAAAGTAGACACAATTGTGTGTCTGCTTTAATGTCGATGTCATATATAGTATTCTTATTAGAAACAAACATAAACTTGTTTGAATAAAACGTTGCTGTTATGTTGGGTTGTAGTTAAAATAAATTGTAATCAAGTTAACTAATAAATTTCGCGCTTTAAACCGTTGAATGTAGTAGTTAAATGTGTACTACTCGAATAAAGTGCACGGGATTCGAACCCTCTTACTTCTTCAATGACCACAATGACCACAGAAATTCAAAAATGACACAGTCTATAAACTTAGGCACTATTAATACATACCTTGGAGCATAGACAGGAACTCGAACCACATGTTCACCAGCGCATCATCCTGGAGGAAGAGGAGAGCCACACTGCGGTGCGAGAGGACATTGTTAAAATCGGAGACCAGCGGCCAATAGCAGTGCTCCTTCATCACGCGCTTGGTACAATCGATGACCTGGTGGCGGTTTCTGTTTGGGTCGTGCAGCGTGTTCGGCACCAGGATCTTGCCCATCATCAGACGCAGGGAGAGCACCATCACGTGGAGTAGATGCAGGTGCTGGACGCAGCGCAACGCCAGCGCCTCGTTGGAGAACAGCTGGACGGACATGTGGACGACGCGGTTGGACAGCGTGTCCGGGTCCGCCGAGTTCTCGAGTACTAGGGGTATACGCGCGTAGTGGAGGACGAAGGTTCGCGTTAGGTGCTCCTGGAATAGAATAGAATTGTTAATTGCCCATCTTGTTTAGGTGTTATATAACTGGGGCATTATACCTTCAAATCAACCCCGTGCCTGTCTATCAAACTTAGTATCTTTTTTGGACACGAAAACGAATATTAAAGAAACCCAGTTTCTTAATATTCGTTTTCGAGTCCCACAATTTTAATTAAAAAGTATATTGGACTAACAATCACGGTGACTTCGGGGGGACGGGACAAAAGGACCGAGAACGAATATAAGGAACTGGGACACGACGCCCACAATTTTGAATTTATTAAAAAGTATATTGGACTAAAAATCACGGTGCCTTCCGGGGGGGGACGGGGACAAAAGGACCCCGATGGAGAACGAATATTAGGGACTGGGACACGACGCCCACAATTTTAATTAAAAATTATATTGGACTAACAATCACGGTGACTTGGGTCCAAAATTTTGTAATCCCTTACGAATACACAATCCCCCCCCCCCCCACATTATCAGATCCTTTCCCAGCTTAAGTTTATAAGAATTAATTTAAATTCAAAAAGTATATGATGACGCAACGCGCCAAGTACGACCGGAATCCACGAACTCTGCTTAAGTTAGAGATTGAGGGGAGCCACATTTCTTGTGATAGGTTTTATTTACATCGTGACAGCAAGTAGTCGTTTAGATGTTGTTTCCCAGGATTTGAACCTAGGAGTTCTCGAACACAATGCGTAAACGCAAGTGGTTTCCAATTAGCACATCCACTTTACCACATCGAAAGGGACCCTTTATTGTAGCAATGAAATTTATAAATGCGAAATTTTAGGGTTTCAAAAACCGATGGGAGTCATGGGTGTCAGCTTCAATTGAATAATGATGATGAAGAGGTGGTTTGTAAAAACAAAAAATACATGGATATGAATAACCCTGTGTCATCTGTGACGACACTATAAAAGGGCATCACTCGTTCTCTATGGTTTGAAATCAGCCATGTTTGTGGTTTTTGCCAAGTTAGAAAAAATACACTATAGTATTATAATGATAAAAAATAAAATCCTACACTCCTTGAGAGGTAATAGGCACAGACATTAGACATATCAGTTTTGTTCATCTGCAAGTAGTTGAACATTTTCCTGGGATTTGAACCTGGGAAATCTTTTAGTGGATTCCTGGATATAACAATGTTTATTTTTGAACTTTCCAATACCTTGTAATCTTGGTCCGGTAACATATTGAGCAGCAAACAGACAACATTCTGCGGGAACTCGTACTTAAAAGTCCAGAATATAAACTCCTCTAGTAAAGTCTTATGCTGCAACCTTGGAGATAGGGCAGGGAGGTGCCGATACCTGGAAGAAGAATAGTATTTTACGCAAATAGTACACACAGACATTTTGACGGTTTAAAACGCGAAATTCGTATAAAAAAGGAAACTTTAATGGCTTATCACGTTTTAAACTGTTAAAACAAATAAAAAAAATAATTAAAACATAGTTCGTCCATGAAATAAACATTTTTCAATTACATTAAAAGAATTATTTTTTAAGAATCATTTATTATGGGCAAAAAACACGCCTATAATATATATTTCTCATTTGTAACATGTAATATGAAAAATGAGATAACCAAGAGCGTCAAAGAGCAAGTAACAAATAAACAAATTTCAACATTTTTTCGCAACTAATAACTGCGACCATCTACTCACTCGTCAGGCGGCTCCGGCGCAGGGAAACTCTCGATCGCCTTCTCGTACATTCGATTGGAGTCCGCCATGTACCGTCCGTACTCCGTCTCCGGGAAGGGGCCTTCCACGAGGTTCCGGTACATCTGAAAAATACAACGACTATCAGTGACTTCGAATAAAAAAAAAATAGTATTTTTTGCACGTACATTGTACACATATGAAAGAGGCTTTTTAAAGAGTTTGAAACACCCAAGCCATTTAAAATGCAACAAATCACTTTTGACTGCATAAAACGTAAAATATATTTGAAGGAGGTACATTTTGCGAGAGATACTAAGAAGAGTCTTTGGGCCCGTCTGTGTTGACGGTGTTTGGCGACGCCAATATCGTCCCTAAAAGAAAAAAAAAAAAAGGGGGGGGAAAAAGAAAAAAGAAGGGGGAAAAAAAGGGACCCAGGGCCCTGGCGGAACTCCCAACCAGGTGGTACACAAAAGCCCGGGAGACCGAGGCTCGGGGGGGAGGAAATGGGAAAAATTTCAATCTTTGAGCGTTACCCTTACGTGCGCTGCGAAAACTGTCCAAGAGACTCAAGTAATATGTGTATCAAAGAATGATTTCTCTTGATCTAAAAAAAATGTCCCCGAAAATATATGTCTATATTTTAAGATTGTCTTGCAAGCGCGACGGAACGCAAACGATGTCGTGGTAACAGCTAGAATGACAAAGCCAATTAGTTTATCAGATTTCGGTGTCCTGTCTTCGCGAACCCATAGCACAATGGTATCATGATCAGCACAAGGGTATACCTGTGGGTTGATAAGCGCCTTTGTCATGGCGGACCGCATCAGGTCACCCATGTTGTTGAACTCCATCAACATTTGGACGTAGCCCTCGCACTCTTGCACCGCCACGCGATAATTGTCAGAGCTGCCGCCATCACTGTAAATTATAAAAACGGGGTTGTTTAAATAAAACACTTTTCTTTAACGATTTAAAACGCGAAGTGTATACATTTTTACAATTAATTTCAATAAAAACCCGACGTTTCGGATGCTTTGCAGTCGTGGTCACGAGATTATATATACCTATAAAGATTCTGTTGAAGGCCCAAAAAAAAAAACCGGGGGGGGGGGGGGGGGGGGGGGGGGGGGTTTTAAACCCCCCCCCTTATCCCCAATGGGGGAAAGGGGGTTTAAAAATTTAAAAAAAGTCACGTGATTAATGGACAACCCATAAAGTACAAACAATGCATTCGCGGTTTAAGCAGTTAAGTATTAACATGTAAATTTAAAAGTATATAAGCTTTCAGATACATCTAAAACAGGCATATAATTTTGTCTTAGCGCGTTTCTAAAACCAGCTCACCCACCTGTTTTCCCTAAAGTGCTGCAGCAACCGGAGTATGAGACGCGGCATCATAGCTTCAGCCACGCACATCAGCTCCGCTGGGGCTGTCCCGGGTCTTGGACATTTGTTGCCATGGTTACTGCAGAAGCTGTGAAATAACAATTTATTGCTTTCAACAAGTCCTATAGTTAATACTGTCTATAGTTGAATGATTTCTATAACACTCGATTAAAAAAAGGGAAAAAAGGGGGAGGGCAGCAGCGGGGGGCACGGGAAACCCGAAAAAAAACGCGTAAAACCGTAAAAGGGTTTTATTAAAAGTCCTATAGTTGTTAAATTATCTCTATAACAATTACTTATACTTAATCAATGATTTAATAAGAGAATGAATAAATCAATACATTTTAAATTTATTACAGGTTTCATGTACTAGCTGTAGCCGAGACTTCGTCCGCGTAGAATAGTTATTTTGGAGATCAAAATTTGTTTTTGCAAACATCTACCTCATCTTTATAAAATTTTGCTGTTATTGAAATCATTCATTGAATACTGTCTATAGTTTACGCGAGTAGTACATATTTAAATAAAACACTTTAACGGTTTAAAACGCGATATATTAGTTAAACTTATTTGGAAATGATGGAATGATTGTCTCCCCGTGACCACGGCTGCTGCAAACCATCCGAAACGTCGGGCCGAAGTTAAAAATCATTTCCAAATAAGTTTCACTAATATATCGCGTTTTAAACCGTTAAAGTGTTTTATTTAAAAGTTTTTAAGCTTTTCAATACAAACAATAAACAGCACTCATTGTGGCGATGTGAACGTAAAAAACACAATTCCTTATAACGGCCACGACGTCGAAATGTTACCATTAAAGACGAAAAAAATCAGCCAAGAAGAGTCGGAGTTCTGCATTTGGGTTCCGTATTATTGACTATTAATAAACAACAGTAGGTAGACAAATTGTTCCCTATTTGAATCACTCCAGTAAATACTTAACTATGTATTTTGCCAAAATTATTAGATTACATAATTATTCAGGTATAATTAAATTAAATAAAATCTTTAAAAAAATAAAATCAGGTATAAAAAATTAAAGGTTATAAATATTTCTTTAAATTAGTTATCACTTATTCATTTATATGTATAGATAGGAAGATTCATAGTTGTATAATATATATTTGTACTGTCTTTGTTACTGAAGTCTGAAATAGTTAATTACATATCATTTTTAGTTATATATGAACTTAATGTAGTGTTGTGTGAATTTTAATTAAATAAATAAAAAAGTATTTCTTAGCATTTATTTATATCAAAAAAGAAAAAAAATTGCGCTCTCAGTAAGACTTTTTAAATAATTATTTTATTCTAAGTAAGTGTGTATTGTAAGTATGTAGATGTATTTAAAATATTAAAAAGTCATTCAGTAGTCACAGTCAGTAAAAACTAGTCATAAGAACAAGGAATCTAATTTTCCATATTACTAATCTTCTTCTAATGAATGCACAATACAAGGCAATGAATATACATCTAATATGAAAGAATTTTTCGAGGAAGAATTGAAAAGAGCAACAGCACGGAACGCTAACGATGCCGGTTCAAGCCCTGCCCGAGTCGAAAATTTTTCAATTTATTTTCAATTAAAAAAAATAAATTAAAATTTGTAGTAAAAATTCCCTTTTAATATTTTTTTTATTGACGGCGAAGCTTAGAATAAACACCGTTTTTATCCTTTGACTACGGTACCCTAAAGACGGACACGCGTTCAAACATTCCGACGGCTTCTTAATGCCATCACAATCAATGTTCGCGTAGGTCAAGTTTACAATTTAATGTGAAACTACCAACATTCGCCATTTTAACTAGTTATGTTACAGTAAGTAATAATAAAAGGTCATTCTAAAAAGTATCTAGTAATAAAAAAGGAAACAACGTTCACGTGAGAACGTCTGTTCCTGTAGACCTGCTTATTTGTATGATAGAGGTGGACAGACGAGCATGGAGTTCACTCGATGGTGGGTAAAATACTCCAGACTTATAACATCGAGACCAGATTCGCTGTAGACCTTTTTTTCACAGACTGAAATTTACACAGATTAACACGGCTTCTTCATTTGTTGATGGCAGACAAAGTCACACGTGTTACAGAGAAATTATAAATTATTTAGAAAATGTTGAACCAGTCCACCCGCTGACCATTAGCCATACATTGCTTTGCTACCATTATACCAATGAGCCCTAAATACTGTGAAATACCGCACCGAGATCTGCAATGCTGTTACAAGTTCTCCGCTGCACGTACACTTGAGCCCGAAATAAATTTTAAATCCATAGTACGCGTCGAGTCGAAATATATAAAATTGAGTTTAAATAAAACATTTAACAGGTTAAAACGCGGAACATATAAATTAACTTAGTTTTAATTTAATTGCGGCCCAAAGTTTCGAATAAGTTGACTAATATATTTTCGCGTTTAAACCGTGAAAAAATGTTTTATTTAAATGTGAACTATGGGTTATACTAAAATTAAGATTGTAAACACAATTACTATTATTACAAAAAATGTACTAACTCTGAAACCTGGTTTAAACCCTAGTTTAATCGAAATCCCTATTACAAAACGACTTTTAACGTTTGTACTGGACTAAGTATGGTACTAACTTAGATTCATTTAAATAAAACACTTTAACGGTTTAAAACGCGATATATTACTTAAACTTATTTGGAAATGATTTTTAACTTCGGCCCGACGTTTCGGATGCTTTGCAGCAGCCGTAGTCACGGGGAGACATAAATAAATATCTCGCGTAAACTATAGACAGTATTTAACTTAGATTAACTTAGACTTTAGAGCATAGTTTAAGAGTTAAACGAAGACTCCGCAGTTCTGGTATAAATCTGGTTTAAGTATTTTTGTATGAGGAACCAAATCTTTAAACTTTTAAGTCCAAAATACAACAATAAATATTATCTCATTCTAATAAAAAAACGGAGCCAGTAAACGAAAATAATTAAAAAAAAATAATAAGTGCGTTAATAAGAAATAATGTGAAAGATTTGTGATGATTGATGTTGTCACTACAAGTGGAAATGTTGGTGTATACATACTATATAGGATAGGGTCATGAAAATGTCGTAAATATTTCGCGTTTTAAACCGTTCAAATTGTTTTATTTACACAACAAACGTTAATGTTCTTTTAATACATATTTTATTTGCCTCGTCCATAAAAATGCGTCGAATTACGGAATAACCAAAAATTATTCCAAACTGTAGCATAATGCAATTGTCACTTTGCCAGATGTTATGACGCTCTAGGCATCTAGAAGGGCGAAGGCCGAGGTTAAGGCGTCCGTAACGGGACGTAGCTTGGACGGTGACCCCTTGTGACTAGACTTTAACGGTTGTATGACTAGTAATTAGGGTGGACGAGGGTAGATTCTATTTATACTAGTATTATAAAGAAGAGTTTGTTTAAACGCGCTTATCTCACGAACTACTGTTGCGAATTGATTTTTTTTTGGATTGATGACACCATTTATCAAGGAAGGCTTTAGGCTGTAACTAATACGAGCGAAGAAACAAAAGAAAATGTAGAAAACCGGGAAAAATTATTAATATTTGAGGGTTTCCGAAAGTATAGCTATTTCTATCTTTTTACTGTCAAGAACGACATGGCGGGAAGCGGGCATAGCCATGGGTAACAGACATAATTTATAAAGCTGAAGAGGTTGTTAATTTAAGACTTAATAATATGATGCCCGAAATAACTTACCCACGCAGACGAAGTCGCAGGCACAACTAGTTACGTATAGCGGGTTACTAACCAATCTATACTAATATTATACATGCGAAAGTAACTCTGTCTGTCGGTCTGTCCGGATTTAACTCCGAAACTACTGAACTGATTTAAATGAAATTTGGAATAATTCCACGCGGACGACGGGCACAGCTAGTAATATATTTAAAGCCACCATGTGTGGAATAATGACACTGGCGGGACTTGAACTCACGATCGTCGTGCACTACCATTCGCATTACGATAACTCACACGTTACCAACTCATTTTAACATTAATAACTCGTCTACATTTGTGAAAAATGATTCCCATGAAAAGAAATATCTTTAATCCCAGATTGCCTATCTTTAATAAACATCTTAATTTATACCATATAACAGGCATTAAGAAGTAAAAATATCATCAGAACTCAGGATTAGCAGGGGATAAAACAGCTTATATCATAGAGGATATTAAAAGATCATTAGATAGGCGAGAACTCTCATAGATTAAGCTTACAGCTTGGCTACATCCAGCTAAACATATATACATAGATATAGATATAATAACATTTCAAGAACTTTATTAATACGTCACGTTTTAAACCGATACGTTAGTATTTTTTGTAGTTACAACGAACTATACATATTTTAATAAAACACTTTTACCGGTTCAAAACGAAATATAAGTTAAGTTCCCCCGTGACCACAGCCGTTGCAAAGCCGTAGTTGAAATAAATCCCAAATAAGTTTAACCAATGTCGCATTTTGAGCGGTTAAAGTGTTTTATATAGACCCATGATTTTTTAAATAAATGTTGATGATTTAATGCAATTTAAAAATCACCAAATAAATAAGCCGTTTCATTATTTTTTATCGTATTCAACTGTGTGTATGACGTCATTCATGATGCTAACATCGAAGCTATTTCGTTCGATCGCCAACTCGCAAGTGGAGGCTGCGTAGGCCACGGCCCTCGCGGCTTGCTAATGTCAAGTGACCACACCACCCACGCTTACTGGCGAAGATCACAGAGATCTTAAAACATGAAGATCGTCGAACGGCGACGCATAATTCATATTTACCTTTTTTTAAAAAAAACTAAAAATCGTTCCTCTCGCCATTCAACGAAAAGGGTATACATACATACTTAATTATGTATTCTGTCAACAATCATTTATTTTACTTTTTATTTTATTATATAGTTATATATATACATGGTTAGTTTTAATATTTTACACTATTTTTTTTTATTTCACCTTACACTCACACACGCACTCATATTTTTAATTTGTTACAAAACTTCGGCCAAAGGTTAGCGGATGAAAAACAGCGCTGGCGATCCCCTTCGTGCAGCATTTAGCTGAGTCTGTATCCCGATGTGCCACAAAAATTTTAGGAGAAAAACGGGAACCGAACGAAATAGGTAATAATTAAATTTATAATGATGCAACAACAAATTTGGATACCAAAAATAAGTCGATGACACAGCTAGTCGAAAATATGACGGATATCGGAACGGTGCGTGATTTTCAAATTAATTTAATCAATATTAAAATTGTGTTATTTAGCCGTTAAAGGTGTAAAAACATCGTAGAAATGAATTAAGAATCGTTTTACTGGGTTCGACACCCGGCCGTTAGTATTATCTATATACTGACCCGTTGTCGCACATTTAAATAAAACACTTTTAACGGTTTAAAACTTGGTTAATTTGTAAATAACTTATACATTTTGCGTTTTAAACCGTTGACCGTGTTTTATGTAAACATCGTAAAACCGAATTAAGAGCTGCTTTGCCCAAATTCGATACCCGGTCGTTATTATTATCTATATACTGACCCGTCCTCCTTCATGACGGAATTGTCTCCGCAGTCGCAAGCGCCACCGGCCTGCGACAGGAACATGTTGAAATCGTGCGTCGAGTGGTCGCCGCGGTGGAAACACTCACGACAGATGGACATGCACGGCGAAATGCCGCAGGTCCGACACCTGTACGCGACCACGCGAGGTATCCACACGAGGCCGCACTTGTCATGTTTGTCGTAGCTGCGCACTGAAATAATAGGAATAAATTAATTATTTAAAAAAAAAAAACTAATCAGCGCAGTCTCTTACGTTAAGTAAAACTAATAAAACAATTTCTGACAGACTAGTAAACTTTCGTAAAGAAATCTAAATCTATACAAATATATAAAGCCGAAGGGTTTGTTTGTTTGTTTGTTTCAACACGCTAATCTCAGTACTTCAAATTGAAAATTCATTTTAGTGTTGGTTAGAACATTCATTGGTTAAGGCTAAAGGCACAGCGCTGTGAAAAAGAACGGGCAAATTCCATTGCAAACGCTGCGAAAACGGTTCAAGATACAAAAAAAATATGTATAAAGGAATGATTCCTCTCTAAATGATCTAAAAAAAGTCCGCGGCAGGATATATGTCTATCTTGTAAGATTAACGTGTAAGAACGACGGGACGCGGACGTCGTGAGTAACAGGTTAAATTTGTAGAGTTGGTTTTGAATGTCCAAAATAACTATTCTACGCGGACGAAGTCGCTGACACAACTAGTATGTATGTATATACTCTAAAACAGTTCCTTAACAAGTTTCCCTGAAAACAATAGATATACATTGCGACAAATAAGTTAAAAATCGATTATAGACTGCAAACAACTATACGACACTGGCTTGAACCGGCATCCGCAGCGTTCCGTGCTGTTGCTTTTACCAATTGAGCTACCCTGTCATAGATTTTTCTTCATTCAAGTCAATTCTATTGTAAGATTGTTTTAACTAAAGTATATACATATTTACTATAATTAATATCTGTCACTGGTTAATTCAAATAGAAGTGTAATAATAAAATAACTTTGTTTGGCATTCAAAATAGTACAGTAAATAATAGAGATGCGCCGAGCGGTAGTTTTGCCGAGTAACTAGTACCGAGTTTTACTCGGCTCAATTTTTTTTAACCGAGTACTCGGCCGAGTGACCAGTCCTCGGCGAAAAACGTCACGAAGCCCCATTTGCGTGCGTAAAAGTACACGGTGGGTAGCTCGCTCTCATCTTCTCTTAACTTTGTCTCGTTACTACCTACTCATGCACTCCTAGTATAGTTTTGATTTTATTAATTGAGATTTTCAAAGATTTCCTAAATTACTACTAAATACTTTTGGAATAACACTGTTGTTTTAATTTTATCTACCTAAAAATATAAATATATAGCTTTTCTTAAACAACGTATACTCGTTATCAAATAACCGTGATATTCGGCCGAGTACGAGTATAAAAAAACGCCAAGAGGTACCGATTATCGATATCACCCGAGTACTCGGCCCATCTCTAATTATTAGCTAGAAATTGGACAAAAAATCTCGCTAAAAGAATTCTAGTGGAAGTCTTCCAATATACCTCCATAGTATGTACATACATATATGTCTGTAATATATGAATATTGTAAAGAATGAATCAGACTCGCGCAACTAAGATTAGCGTAGCGAATTGGCATCGCTTCAACAGCAAAAAAATCATATCGGGTTTAATTAAAAAAGCGATATTTGCTTCAAGTTCTGATATTGTGTTATATAGACCAACTTCTGCGACGAAGTATACCGAATCTATACTAATATTATGAAGCTGAAGAGTTTGTTTGTTCGTAATCTCAGGAACAGTGGTTCGAATCGAGAAATTATCTTTGTGTTAGTTAGAGCATTTATCGAGGAAATATTTACGCTATAATACATCAGGCCCGGATCTATAGGAGCGAAGAAACAGTGGGAGATGTGGAAAAAACGGGGATATAAATATATTCATTTTTGAGGGCTTCCTTTGCGCTGCTAAAACGGTTCAACTTACCCAAAAAATATTCCTTTTTACATGATCGCTTGAGATTAAGTTACATGAACGAAGGGTCACTAACGACGTTGTGGGTAACAGCTATTACTTATAAAGGTAAGGGGGAGGTTTAAAAAACAAATTTGCCTGCCCAAGTTAGCTATTCTACGCGGACGAAGTCGCTGTCTCAGCTTACTTCATGAGGCCAAAGATAGTTTGTCAAGTCAGCTAGTAATATAATTAGTTAACTAATATACTTCGCGTTTCAAACCGTTAAACATGTCTTATTTAAATATGAAATACTCGCGTAAGTCTAGTTAAAGTAAAATATACCTTACGCGAAAAAATTACAATAACATTATCTAAATTAAAAATCCATTGTAAACGTTCCGAAAAAAATGTCCGACTCGGAGCTCAGGATAGAACACGGCATCCGGGTTTCGGTTAGAGCACGAAACGCTGAGGATGCCGGTTCGAATCGATTTTTAAATTATATAGTGCCATCATGTTCAAAAACATGTGAAAAATATTGAAGTTTTCAAAATTACATTGTCGCTGTTGCTAGACAGATCGAAAGAGAATTAATGAGCAAGTAACTCGGCGCAGTTAATTACAGGTGGCGTGCGCAAGCGCAGAACGTCGCAGCCATTGCCCTGTGCGCAGTGACAGCGCGTCTATTCATATTTTGATACCAATTAATGGCATGCGACACGGCCCGTGTGGCTCCGAGCTGGCGAAATAGCTACTTCGTTTATAACTCACAATTTAACGCGAGTAGTACACATTTAAATAAAACACATTAACGGTTTAAACGCGATATATTAATTAAAATTATTTGAGAATGATTTTTAACTTCAGCCGACGTTTCGGATTCTTTTCGGGTCTCCCCGTTTAACTAATATTTCGCGCTTTAAATCGTGTTATTTAAATATTTAGCGTATTTTAACCCGTTAAAAGTGTTTTTTACTACATAATTCCTAAAGTTCTCGAACTCTACTACATATTATTAGTCAATGATTATCCTGTTTAACTATGCAAATACCATAAAAAAATTAAATCAAATAACATAGCCAATTTATTTAAATTTTTCCGAACACAGAGAGACCGCGGCTGTCTAAACTTGTTCAATAGTCATAAGCGATGTTTAAATTTATTTGCCTAATGATTTGAGCATTTAAAACAGGTACACACGACGTACATATACCCATATATATATATATATATATGTATATGACAAAGATAGGAGTGGGGAAAACCCAGTTTTAATCCACATAATTTATTATCTACACAATCTAGCTGGGTATACTGTAATAAAGCAATAGAAAATTTATTTACATATATAGTACACATTTAAATAGATTTTACAACATTTCAACGGTTTTAAACGTAGAATATAATAGTTAAAATAATGTTTAACTCATACATTTTGCATTTTAAAGCATTAATAGAACTTTAGAGAGGGGCATTGATGGACAAACGTGTGTAAGTCCATCCACGCCTTTCTCAAATAATGCGCGGAAAGTAAAAACTAAGTAGTACAACTCGTAACTTTAAAACCAATGACGAAGTCGACGAACAACTAATAACAAATCTTTTTCACTAAGGGGTTGTCCATTAATCAAGTGCCCTTTTTTAAAAAATTTTAAACCCCCCTCCCTCATTGGTGATACGTAGTGAGGTTTAAGACCACCCCCCTCCCCCTTCTCAACATCACGTGTATTTTTAGTACCTACAAAGAATCTTAAAATTTTCTGAATATTATCCTAATAGAAATACAGGTATAAACTATAATCTTATTTTATTCTGAAATTAAGGACCATAACAAAAATGTCTACATCATTTGTTTAAAAATCGCGCGTTTGACGAAAAAATAAATAGACGAGATATCTTACTATACTCCCCCCCCTTACTATACTTGAAGCCCCCCCCCCTCAAGCCTCACGTGATTAATGGACAACCCCTAAACAGCTTTCTATGTGCAAGCCAGTTTGAAATTTAAATTAAACCTTTGTTAAGTTACCTCTTCGGTCGCCATGTTGCGGTATAGAAGACCGTTCCATTTTTAAATCATACGACAAGTACAATTTCACACAGTATTTATTTAGGCGCTAAATACAACCGATGTCGATTTTCATACAACTATCGCCGGCGGCTGCTCGACCAGTACAGCAAATTCGATTTCTCTTGAAGAAGTTTGTTAAAAAAATAATGCTCACTGCCACAATAGAAATTCCCTAGAAATCTATACTACTATATAAAGCTGAAGAGTGTGTTTGTTTGCTTGAACGCACTAATCTCAGGAAATACTGGTTCGAATAGAAAAAATATTTTTTGTTGGTTAAAGCATTTATTGAGGCAAGCTATAGGCTATTGAATATATCACTGTGACTAATACAAGCGAAGATACAGCGAGAAATGTGAAAATAAATCGGAAAATTATTCATTATTATGGGTTTCCGAGGCGTACGCTGCAAAACGGTTCAAGATACCCAAAAAAAAGTACGAAAGAATGATTCATTTTTAAATGATCTGAAAAAAAATTCACGTCGCTGTAGTTTTAAGATTAACTTGCAGGAACGATGGGAAGGGACCCAACCAAAAGGGGAAGGGACTTCGTGGGTAACAGCTTATGTTTATAAAGATGGGGTTTGCAAAAACGAATTTGGATGCCCAAAATAACGATTCTCGCGGACGAAGTCGCTGACTGAGCTAATGGCAAAACAACGTTCGCCGAATACTGTCTATAGTTTACGCGAGTAGTACACATTTGAATAAAACACTTTAAAGGTTTAAAACGCCGCCTCGACCGATGTTAAAAATCATTTTCATATAAGTTTAACTAATATATCGCGTTTTAAAACCGTTAAAGTGTTTTATTTAAACGTTTGCCGAGACAGCTAGTCTTATTCTAGATACACCTTAGACGATACCGTCGTACACTTACCGCGTCGTTAATCTATACACTTCAAATCGTTATTAGTAACGGTCCAATGACTTGGACTGAACCAAGAAATCCATATTATGCTCGGGGTCTTATGAGCTTATGAGTAAACCCGTTTCCTCAGTGGGGATTGGGGCGAACACATTTTTATATCCGTTTCACTGATGGGTTTTTTATTTAGAAGACTTGTGCGCCACCAAAACAATTTATTATTTTATCGGGCTTCAAACCCACGAACTCTGGTGGTAGCATCTAACAAGTAATCTATTAAATAGTGTCTATAGTTTACGTGAGTAGTACACATTTAAATAAAACACTTTAACGGTTTAAAACGCGGTATATTAGTTAAACTTATTTGAAAATGATTATTAACTTCGGCCCTACTTTTCGGATGCTTGGCAGCAGCCGTGGTCACGGGGAGATGAAACGTCGGGCTGAAGTTAAAAATAATTTTCAAATAAGTTTAACAAAAATATATTGAGGAAAAACTTGGTGTCACTAAAGCAGAAGTAGTAACCCACAAGGGTTGTCCGTCGCGTTTCGGTAACCGGCTGTAACCGGCACGGCGAGTGCGTTGACAGGCGCAGTTTCCCGCGAGCAGCGTGCAGTGCGTTGACCCAACAGCTGATGGCCACGTGGTACTCCGGCTCAGCCCGTTCCGAGAAAACACCAAGTTTTTCCTCGCTCGAAGCTAATTGAATGCTTCTTCATCGTCCACAAGTGAGACCCCGCGACTTTTCCCGCACGCACTATACAATAACTACCGCACAAGAGGATAAAGATATTACGAAACACAACATATATTACTTAATTATGTTCAAGAATTTCTATGACAAAAAAAACATAACTCTACTTAAACTAAACGCTTTAACGGTTTAAAACGCGATATATTTTTGTTGAACTTGTTTGAAAACTCTTTAACTACGGCCCGACGTTTCGAATGCTTTGCAGCAGCCGTGGTCACGGGGAACCACGGGAGTTAAAAATAATTTTCAAACAAGTTTAACAAAAATATATCGCGTTTTAAACCGTGAAGTGTTTTATTTAAATGTGTACTTGTTTGATTTAACATAACTCTAAACATAATATACACTCCCTCGCTTATCCAACTCTGACGCTAAATGGTTATCCTAGCATTGAGTAAGGCGCGAGAGGTTCTGGGTTTGAATCCCGGAGAAACAATAAGGTGTTTCAATCGAGCAGGGCACAGAAGTCTAATCAACGACTTGCCAGGAAACACAAAAACCGACAACCAAATAAAACGGACACAGAAATGTATTCTCCACATCCCCACTTGAGGTAACGAACACCCCCCCAATTGTCGCCAAACTTAGAGTATTTGTACTATTTGTCTTAACAACTGCCTGTCCAACATTTTTATCTAGATTTTATAGGAATCTAGATTCTAGATTGAAGGTACTTCCAATGCATTCCTTGATTAAAGCCATTTTTTGCACGTTTGGAATAAATTATTCATGTTTTTATTAGCACAATTATACCGAGCTTTCTCCTGGCTGAACTGATAGTATTAATTACTAAGTAAGGAGGAAAAGAAGGGATCAATACACCATGCTGTTGGATTATAATACAAACGAGGTTTTATATTTTTCACATGTTATTGCACATGATGGAAAAATAACGACTCGGGCAGGACTTGAACCGGCATCCACGTTAGTGAAAGCTGAAATTACATTGCACGAGAGGTGCGTGTATCGTGTAGGTTGAAAAAAATTCGACGATGACGTGTAGGGCTTCGTAGCTTAATCGATTAGAGCAACGGCACGGAACGCTATGGATGGCCGTTCAAGTCCTGCCCGAGTCGTACATTTCTCCGGCGACCAATTTAATAAACTCAGTAGTTTCAGTAATAAGATTTCTTTATAGGTTTTAAGATTGACCTAACCTTGAGTTAAAAAAATAATGGTCCAATATCACACACTACGATTCCCCTCTTTGTGTGTAACTCGATAAATTTATTAGCCAAGTGAAATTTTCAGAAAAGAAGCAAGAATATATTTAAATAAAATACTTTAACGGTTTAAAAAGCGATATATTAGTTAAACTTATTTGAAAATTATTTTTAACTTCGGCCCGACGTTTCGGATGCTTTGCAGCAGCCGTGGTCACGGGGAGTCTCCCCGAAGTTTAAAATCATTTTCAAATAAGTTTTACTAATATATCGCGTTTTAAACCGTTAAAGTGTTTTATTTAAATATATTCTTGCTTCTTTTCTTATATTAATAATGGGAACTGAAACAGTAAATAGTGACAACAACTCGCTTGTGTTTTGAGTTCCATTTATAGTAATATTATAAAGCTGACGGGTTTGTTTATTTGTTCGAAAGAATTAATCTCAGAAACTAATGGTTCGAATTTAAAAGTTTTTTGTTGTTGGTTGCACCATTTATAGAGGCTTTAGGCTGTATATAGACAAAATGTCGAAACAACGGGGATTATTCATAATTGTGAGATTCCATTGCGTGCGCGGCGAAAACGGTTCGAAATAAGACAAACGTATAAACGAATAATCTAAAAAGTGTAGGCGACAGTGTACATCATTTAAGATTAACTTACAAGAAACGTCTTGAAAATACTTCATATGGCATAATAACGTTTGTAAGATCAGCCAGTAATAAAAATACAATTTAAACCGTGACTATTGTTGACATTTGACAGTAAACCCCTTACCCCTTCGTGCGAAAACCACTCAACTCGTACTTGACCAGTTCTATTTAAGACAAGCATGTGGTACCTACACTGCGTGGAAGATTCCACCTTGCACCTTCCATCTTCATGCCTTCCAATTAAGGTGCTAAGACCCATTTACATTAATATACATGCAATTAAATTATCTAGATTAAAACAAAGACCGCCTGTGACATTTAGGTCAAGACCAGCCAGGGCGATGACTTTGCCCATGTACCGAGCGAGACAGGTGGCAAAAAACCTACAAAACGTCGCGGCGTCGCTCTCTGTGGACTTAACTGGGCACATCATGCGCATACGACGGCCGATGTGGAAGTATGCGGTTGGGGAATATACGACAAACTACTAAGCGCGCGCAGACGGAGAGCACGCAAAGGGAACAACAACTAGTTGGGACATTTCCCACAGCTGGAAGTGGCTCGATGGATGTTTGTTGAAACAGTAGGCTTATAAGGACTCAATCTATAATACAGGCTAAGTCAAACGTGCACAATGACAAATGTTTTTGGTGCACAAGCAGGCATCGAACCTTACAATTCAAATACCCATAGAACAATGTAGTGTATGATAATAAAATGTTTTTAATTATATACTACTAGCTGGTGCCCGCGACTTCCTCTACGCAGGATTAGGATTACGTAGTATAGCGCATTTAAACTAAATGATGTCTATCATATCATACATTACATAATTATGTGTAACTAACGTTTATGGCAGCGCACGCCAGAATATCTCGCAGAAATGTAGGTTCTTTTACTAGTTACTTGACACTTAATGTCATATTTTTAACAGCTCACACAATATCTTTATAAATTGTAGCCTATGTGTTATTCTGGTGTATAAGCTATATTATTTGAAAGTTTAATTGAAATCCATTCATTAGTTTTTGCGTAAAAGCGTAACAAACATCCATCCACACATACAAACTTTCACGTTTATAACATTAGTAGGAGTACTTAACAGTAGCACTTAGATTGGACTTATATTGTGATGGAGAACATCGGACATGACAGAAAAGCAAGGGGCTCACTTGATGAGAAGTGAAATAACCTAGCCACATAAAATCTAAACAAGATGCGCCGTCGGCCTATTTTGTCTTTGGATATTCAGCAATTCACAAGCTGAAACCGAGATGCGAGTAAACTTAACGGGTTTTTCATCTGTCGATATTTCTACCATCCATTTAATATCCAGAATTCCAAACAAATTATAACATATTTCAGGAAAAATATAGGTTGATTAGAAACATAATGGACGATGGATTGTCAAAATAAGATCAGGTTTAGATTAACACCATCAAAGACTAAAACTAACAGAATGGTTTAATAGCAGGGAAAAAAACATAGTTAAATATTATCTATAGTTTACGCAAATACGCATTTAACGGGGATACCCTCCCCGTGGCCACGGCTGCTGCGAAGCATCCGAAACGTCGGGCCGAAGTTAAAAATCATTTTCAAATAAGTTTATCGCGTTTTAAACCGTTAAATTGTTGTATTTAAAAAGAGCCTAGTTTTCATTGGTTATTAACTTAAGGCAAAGTATTATGCGCAAGAGGAAAATGGTTCATAATTATATAATTCAACTGCGATCATATAAGCCCTTTGATATTGTCACCTTACACAGCTGCTGGATAGCATCCAGACTGTCAGATTATAGTTAAACAAACGTTGTTTTCAAAACGTTATAACTTTGTAATTTCATCTTTAATGATTTCTTAAGCTGCAAAGCATAAGACATTGAACCTTAGTACGCAAGTGTTAAGGTTGAAATTACACTGCGCGAGAGGTGCATGTATCAATAAGTTGAAAAAAATCGACGGTGAGGTGTAGGACTCGGTAGCTCAATTGGTAGAGCAACAGCACGGAAAGCTGACGATGCCGGTTCAAGTCCTGCCCGAGTCGAGAATTTTTTCAATTTATTTTCGATTTTTAAATTATATAGTGCCTTCATGTGCAATAACATGTGAAAAATATTAATGTTTTCAAAACAAGGAGTGCTTGTAAAATGGGAGAAAAAAGTATGAAATAAGTATGTGCTTTATAACTTTAATAAAACTTTAGTAAAAAAAAATTGCGTTCCGATTTATCAGAGCACATTTATGTGTCAATGGTTAATGGCATGTTCTAGGATCGTTATATGATCGTAAGGTTCTATGTTTGAAACCCATTCAAACATGATAATATACTGTTGGTGTTAGGCTAGACATTGAAAGGCTTCACAACAGTAACTCTGACATATATACATAAAGAAACGAGATTATAATAACTTCAGTTAATGATATTTTCTATTAGCGACTAGGAGACTATGATATCAGTTCATGCTACCTGCTGACGATTTCACCTATTTCCTCCTGGGGAGAACTTTAGGTTAATTTTAAAAACGAAAATAAATTGAAAAAAAAAATTCGACTCAGGCAGGACTTGAACCGGCATCGTCAGCGTTCAGTGCTGTTGCTCTAACCAATTGAGCGACCGACTCCTGTCCTGGAGCAACAGCAATATATATATATGAGGCTGCTAGAGGCAGAATAGCCTAACTGCAATTCTATGAAAATTCAATTCATGAAAATTAATTTTAAATTTCAATATTAATCTACACAAGCACAGTGACTGAAAATTGATTCATTTTCGCATAAATTAATTGGCAGGAAAATGGGTGAAATGGTCTGCGGATAACGTGGACCGATCACCCGTCCTGCCAAGGGTGTCCGATAGATAATAATTATAATAATACATTAATTGGTGGAATTTGCATATTCCTCCTTATTGACAATCACGTTTTTTATTATTAGGTCACTGTATATACTGTATAAATCAAAACAAGATAAGTTGCTAAAACAAAAGGGTATCTACACTCTGTAGCATGTTGTACTTATATACTAGCGACCCACCCTGGCATTGCTCGGGTGCAATGCTGATACTAAATACACTACAGAAAAAATGTGAACATTGTATGTAAAAAAAATTCTCTTGAATCACTGTATCTATTAAAAATGCATTAAAATCCGTTTGATAGTTTTAAATATTTAAGGGACAAAAAAAGCAACTTTGTTCTATACTATATATAGTGAAGTTGAGGGCTTTTTGATGAGTCACAGTATAAGGACGTAACATCTGTTATGTGACATTGCCTCAGAAAGTTACTATGTGTGATAAATCAGTATATGTTACCCTTGATCACCTCCAATTACATGTATATACTACTATTATTATTATTTTCTATTATTTTCTCTCGGGGACACCTTCGGCAGGACGGGTGATCAGTCCACGTTGTCCGCTGACTATTTCACCCATTTCCCCATTTATATACTACTATTAATACGCAATTATAATTTATGAGTGATAGTTACTGTTCGTTATTGTGGATTAAAAGACCAATTTTAAATATTGTACTACCTCCAACTTAACTGTAAGAACTCTACTTGGTTCTTAAGGGAAAAACCCCTGGATAGGCATGATCATTATGATGTTGATCAGAAATGCTTGTTGGATATACTTTTTTTCTGTATATGTATGTCTCTTAGTAAACGACCAAGAATTAAAACGTGATGATCTCTTTATTATTATGACAAACATGAGCCAGTATTTGTTATAGCTTGCTGATTACACCAGACCTGAGTTTTGTGTTTGAGACAGATGCGTCTAGCGGTGGGATGTCATTATTATTTCAATGGTATATCTCTTATGATAATAATCTCAAACTTCTTTCCAATAGTGATGTTAAAATACACAACCAGAACCAGACTTTTTCGATTCAAGCAGAAATTTTTTAATTCAACTATATGGTATTATCGAAATGACGACCAAGAGAGCATAATAGAAGAATTTTAGTTAGTAAATTTGTAAAGTGTATGAATTTTTTTTGGAGAGTTTTTTACTTTGAAAACACTTTATTGTGTTTATATGTGTACAGTTGTGAAGTTAATATCTATTTTATGTATATTTCCAAAGGTCGTTCCTTTATAGTCTATAGTATTTATAGGAATATTTTTAAGGTTATATATAATTGTCCATTTAGTTTAAATAACTGCTAGGTATATCTATCAGATTTAATACATATATGTAGAAATAAAAATAAAAGCAAAGACTAATATACATACAAAGTAAAGGTTTAAACAACTATAAATATGCTATTTCCAAAACTTAGTATCTGCATCAACTTTTTTTAAAGAACTACCTAGTAACTAATACAATTATGAAAAATAACTTCTCCTTGAAACTATATAGCAATATTATTTATTGTAATAACACTTACATTAACATTTCAAGAAAATTAAGTATGACCTTGTAATGAGGCAGATTATGACCTCAATAAGTAAACAATAAACTGTCTATACTTTATGGTAATGCAAAATATATATTACATTAATTGTAATGTCTCTATCATCTTCAACTTTTTGTCCAATTTTATTAATATTATTGCACAAGAATAATGTCTCTTCAATATTCGTTGGTAATTATTGTATTATAACCTACAAAGAACTACAATACAGAATTTAGATACTTCTAGAGACGATTAACAAATAAATATGACTGGCTGGAATTTACTAACGTAATTAGATGATATGTATTTTTTTTTGTTTTTACTCACCAACTGCTGCAAATTCATCAGGAGTTCTGCCTCCAGCTAAAAGCCACCTACACCAATCAATGGTTTCCCACTCGTCTATGGCTTTACTCGGGTTTAGGAGGACGTCCAGCAGTGGGCCCAGGTGTTGTGGTGAACCACTCGCGCAATCCGCATGGATATACGCAGCTGCACCTCGCTTGCCCTTTTTCATTAAAACTTGCACCGTCGAATTAGACATTGTAGCGGTAATTATCTAATTTCTGAATTGCACGAGAACACTAACACTAAACATAGGTCACTCTATATTTCGGTCACTCACGGAAGAAACACCATTTCCAGTTTTACATAAGCCAATGAACTGCGGCTCAAAACGCATCCACGGTCAGTCATGATCGTAAGCACTGAGCACCGAGGTACATAAGACTATTATAATTCCTACCGTTAACACATCGATTTTGTAAACTTCGATCAATTCAATAATAATTTCAATAAAATTCACAGTTAAAAATAATAAGGCTAATGCAGAATTCCGAAACAACTCGAGTAACCGTCTGGGTTGCCATAACCATTAAATCAGTAAATGTCGTTAATAATTCATTTTGCATAGTCATGAATATATTCTGATAATTTTAGTACTAAAATTGTATATATGAATTATTAACCTGCTCTCAATCACTCAGATGTAATATGAAAAATATATATTTCTGAACAAGACATTATAAAGTGATGACATATAATTGTCGACAATCATTAAACAAGGTTAAATTTATTTTAGTACTCGAAATAAACAAATTTTAAATCAGATTTTATGCTATTATTAAATGTAATGTAGGCTAATATAACTTTGAATATAGCAACATATCTGAGATTAGACGATATTTAGCTACAGAGTGTTAAAATTGTACTGTATTTTGTATAGTCTATTCACAATTTATGTCTACTTGACAAATGTACAGTCTGTCCTTTTTGTATCAACTCTAAATAAAACGCATGTGTACCAATGTGTAATATGATTAAAAGACATTCTAAATAAAATGGACATTGTGCTTTTGAGGACAAATATTATATAATAATTATACGAACAAGACATTCGTGTAAACTGTGTATTGAGATAAGTGACAAATTAAAGCTATAAAATGGGCGATGAAAAGAAGGTTATGTTTCATGAAATGGAGTTAGACGATCGATTACTCAAGGTATTTCTACATACTCACATTATATTTACGAATACAATGATTATTTTAAGATATGAAATTACTAGAATATCCATGTGCTATAGCTTACTAAAGCAATGACGCGGCTGTGATATTTACCATGATCTGCATGGTCAATATTTTTCCATGTTTATATAGTAATTAATATATATGATAATAGTTATACCTTTTTAGAGATCTTGATTTGGCTTAGTCCCTACCACGCGTTACCTTGTAGTAGTAAGTAGTATTGTAATAGTGTTTTTCAGGCTATATCACAGCTAGGTTGGTCTACTCCGACATTGATTCAAGAAACAGCGATACCGTTACTTTTGGAGGGCAAAGATGTTCTAATGAGGGCGAGGACAGGCTCCGGTAAAACTGCTGCCTTTACCATTCCAGTTATCCAAAAGATTTTGAATTTGAAGAACACCAGCACACATCAATGTATAAGATGCTTGATATTATCACCGAGCAAGGAACTGTGTGGCCAGGTGTGTTCTTAGTAAGGTTATTTTCTTAACTTGACAAAAAATTGTAGAATTTATTTTAACATACACAAACACATGTTGTTGTATATTTGTATTGTTCCGGACAGCTCGCGTTAGGTTTAAAGCATAGTAATATTATTGAGAGCATATAAATAAATAAATATTCATTATACTTAAACATTAGAAATGCGTTGTACGGCCATAAATTGTAACAGTAAATAGACCCTTTGTTTTGTATCCACTTTAGAAAGGTACAATTTATTGACTGCGTTATTGGATAAGTTACGTTAGTTTAAGCGTTGACAAACGTAAGAAATCGTCACGCATTAGTTTAAGTATTTGCTCTAAAACAATAAAGTGTTTGTTTCCCATGAATCCGACCCCACGCTACACTCAATACCTGCAACCCATTTCTCTCTCTTATGACTGGAATAATGTACCATAAAAGAGGGCTCTGGGAGCAAGCCAAACTAGTTCACTTCTAACATCGACACGGCACGCATCGCGAGTACTTTGCCCATAGACGCCGCTCCTCTCACGGTTCGCGTCGCAAGTACTTCGCATTGTATTGATAGATAGTTTACGCGGCCGTTTAGACTTTTCGTTTCCATACCTTGTGCGCACTATATAGGCGCGTAACAGCAGCGTGGCAATCGGATGTCGTGGCATAGCGACATATTCGTTAGCGGCAACGTACTGGTAGTTTTATTTCCAAACCATCAAGACAACCGGTTATAATATAGTTTAGTGTACGCTATACAGTCCCGTACATGTATTATTTAAAAATAATAATTTTACATTTAATGCAATTAAACAAATAACCAATTTAATATTTTTCACATATTATTGCACATGATGGTACTACTGATGAATTCAAAATCAATAACAAATTTATTTTTTTTATTGCCGGAAATTTAATGATGATGTGTAAAAGTCGGCAGCTCAATTCCTATCCGAGTTGTTTTAATTTAATAATAAATATATATATATATATATATATATAATATATATATTTTAATTTGTTATCGATTCTCTTAATTCACATTTTACCAATGCACACAAATTAGGGTATTAGGTAACATTGTTATAAATGCTGACTTACTGTCTTAATTGATAGAGCTGAAAAAGGTTACTCTTCTTTTGGGTTCAAGATTAGATAAGTGACTAGATTTTTGCTTCATACAAGGAAGCCATCACAAATTGTATTATACATCAATATAACTACAGCCCAACGTTTCAGATACTTTGCAGCAACCTTCTCTGTGACCACTTTTTATTTAAATACACTAAATATAGCTCTAATTTATAATGGCTTGGTAATAGAACATGTTACCTAAGTTCTTATCATTATGCTGCTGATTCGATCTGAAAAGGTTTTTATTTACATATTATAATGGTTTTTGCAGATAACTGCAGTAATAACAGAGCTCACAATCAAATGTTCAAGAGAAGTCCGCTGCATAGATGTCTCATCGAACACAAATACACAGATACAAAAGTCACTCTTGGCAGACAAACCAGATATAGTGGTGGCGACACCGGCTAGGGCTTTAGCGCACTTGAAAGCTGGCAATATGAAACTAAAGGAAGATCTAGCGATGATGATTGTTGATGAAGCCGATTTGGTGTTTTCATTCGGCTATGAAGATGAGGTGAAAGAGCTCCTAGGGTAATATTTATTTTCTAATGTAGTTTGACATAATTTGAAAACATAGGCTGTTAGTAACATTGTCTTGAAATGGTATTTCATAAATTTTTCCATAATGTTATATGTATATACTCAAATAGATAACTACATGTTTCATTAAGTTACAATGTATGTTAAATGATTGCCTCTGTCGTTAAATGGTTAAACATTGTGAAATGTGTCATAGGTACCGGGTTGGAATCCCTGGTGAACAATAGATTGTTTTGGTCTAGTATGTCACAGAAAAAGTGATCAACTACTTTTCTGTAAATAAGACAAACTAATGAAACTGTGTCTGTTGTTTGATAACCCCATACCCCACCGGGGGAAAGGGAATTTCACTTTATTGTTGTGTGAATTTTTTTACGAGCAAAGCAGGTTATATTTTTTTTAAGGTACATGTCTAAAGTTACAAAAGAAAGTTGATAAGTGGAAGGTGTTCAAGATCTTCTTGTGTTATGACTATTTTTTTCTATTAAAATTATTGCTTTACAGATATCTACCAAAAATATATCAAGCGGTACTAGCTTCTGCCACACTCTCCGATGACGTGATCAACTTGAAGAAGATTGTTCTTCGTAACCCGGTGACACTGAAGCTGGAGGAACCGGAACTGGCACCCTCTTCACAGTTGCAACATTATCATCTGTTTGCTGAAGAGGATGATAAAGCGGCAATACTTTATGCTTTACTCAAACTTAATTTAATCAGAGGAAAGAGTATAATCTTCGTGAGAACTGTGGATAGATGTTACAAGTAAGTCTTTATGACATTTGAAAAAATGTATGTACTACTTAATGTACGGTGAAATACCTCAGCCATATAACATCTATTAAATGTGCTGTGGGCCTATTTTGGCATAGTTTGAGATGTACAAAAAAGATTTTTCATGGATTTCCATGTTCCTTTAGTTTTCGAATATAAATAAGTGAATTAGAATACAGTTGAACCCGGAAGAAATCAAACCTTTGACTTATAAAATTACTATAATCAAATACTCTAAATAAATAAGCAAAGATTACGGTGTTGCGAGGTCCTGAGAGGATATACCAAGTTACAATGGAATACTGTCTGTAGTTGACGCGAGTAGTACATATTTAAATAAAACACTTTGACGGTTTAAAACGCGATATACTTTAGTTAAACTAGTGACCACGGCTGCTGCAAAGCGGAAACGTCGTTCCGTAGTTAAAAATAATTTTCAAACAAGTTTTAAATATATCGCGTTTTAAAACGTTAAAGTGTTTTGTTTAAAAGTTACAATGGATTAGAAATACAGCTGAATACTTTTTATGCGAGACAGACTTACTGAATTCCAACTAGCTGTGCCAGCGACTTCGTCCGCGTAGAACAGTCATTTTGGGCATCATAATTTGTTGCAAACCTTTATAAATAGATGTTACCCGCGACGAAATTATTTTTAAAAGAGACATTTCCCATCGTGGTCACTTTTTTAGATCATTTAAAGAGGAATCATTCTTAAATTCAAATTTTTTGAGCCATTTTGAAACGCAACGGAAAACCTCAAAGGTGACTAATTTTCCCCGTTTGTACTCTCCTGTTGGATACAATATAATGTCTTAAGCCCTTCCTCAATAAGTGCTCTAACCGACACAAATAGAATTTTTCAATTCGAACCAGTAGTCCTTAAGATTAGCGCTTTCAACAAACTCTTCAACTTCATAATATTAGTATAGATGTCTGGTATTATTGCAGATTAAAATTGTACCTAGAACAATTCAAGATCGGTTCGTGTGTGCTGAATTCAGAGCTCCCAGCAGCCATCCGATGCTTATCTGTGGATCAATTCAACAAGGGTCGCTTTCAAATCATTGTCGCTTCAGATGAAAAGGCACTCGAGAAACCTGATGGTGGCTTGCTGGCGGGAGAGGAAATAATTAAAAAGAATAAGGTACAATATAGTAAAAATGAGTTTATACCGTTACCCTGTTGTCTTTTGTTAGATTTTATTTACAGGTAAATAGTTGGTACTTCTGTGCCCTGTCCGACCGAAAGATCTTTTGCAGTATTAGGCAATGTGCCTAATATAAGTAAGCTAGTATATATATATATACTAGCAGACCCGGCCACGCGTTGCTTTGGCTGAACTTATTGTTTATAGCAGTGCCATCTATTGAATTGTAGCTTATACGACACGTTTGTCGGTTTGCCATAGCAGTGCCATCTATTGTTTACTTACTCAAGCCATTGTAACTGTCAATTATTTATAGACAAATAATTTGCAATAAAATAAAATTGCGACTGTAATTAAAGATCTAAACTATCCTATGTCTCAAGTAGGACCAGACTGCTCACGGTGTGCCAATTTAATTTAAAATCGGTTCAGTAGTTTAGGAGTCCAAAGCGGACAAACATCGTGACAGAAGATTTATATATATAAAGATATATTATATAATATTATAAATGCGAAAGTAACTCTGTCTATCTGTCTGTCTGTTACTCTTTCACTCCAAAACTACTGAACTGATTTGAATGAAATTTTGTACACATATGGTCTAGACCTTGAGAAAGGACATAGGACTACTTTTTATTGCGAAAAGGGGGTTGTAAGGGTTAAAGGGGGGGGGGGGGTGAAAGTTTGTATGGAAATTCGTTGTTTTTGAAGCTAGAACAATAAAACTTTCTTTTTTGGCTCTTTGGGAATAGGAGTGGGCGTGGGAGTGAGAGTGGGAGTTATAGTAGGAGTGATACGAGATGAGAGTGTTGCGGCAAAGTAGCACTTACAACATAGATTGGCTGCCTTAAATACGCCCTTACATAAATTAATAAACAGCCTCAATAATTAAAAATTTTACCCCAAGTCACTATTCCACGCGGACGAAATCGCGGGCACAGCTAGTTATTGATAAAAATTAGAATATGTATGATTTTTTTTACATTATCTTATCTAGTAGGACTTCTGAGAAAGAACTTAACAAAGTATTGACATATTTTATACCCTATTTAATACAGCTGTGTCTTAAGTACCCATGGTACGCGAGTACATATCTAAATATAACACTTTTGACAGATAAAAACGTGAAATTTAACGTGCCGTATGCATTGCAGCAGCCGTGATAACCACAGAACGTGATGGGCGTACCTAATGTCTTAGATAAATATGCTACACTAGCGCCATCTGTTTCTTTCTGTTTAATCTTGACAGTAGTTTACATATAATTTACGTTTTAAATTGTCCTTTTTCCGTGATAATTTAGTCCATAGTAGTAACCTTCTATAAAATGTGATCTCTTTCAGCAAAAGTCGAAACGCAAGAAAGACAAAGAGTCCGGAGTCTCGCGCGGCATCGATTTCCAGCACGTGGCGAACGTGATCAACTTTGACTTTCCTCTGGACGTGACGTCATACGTGCACCGAGCTGGCCGGACTGCGCGTGGGCTCAATCAGGTACTGCCTTGACAAATTTTTGAGGGTACTTCGTTATTGTATTATAAAGAAAATTTGAGAACTACCTTCATTCTTAATAACTTACACTGAACAAATAAAAAGAAGCTAAATTGAAGCTAACCAATATGAAATGGGTATTCTATGATAATATTATCGTAATTCTGTCGGGTCCCGAATTAACGTCCACAGGTGAAAAGCTGTGAAGTGTATTGGCTTTTTGGTTTTAGTGTGAATTTTAGAATACCCAATGCCAAAATAAGTGGACAGTCCATCTTCTTTAGATGTTATTTGTATAAACTTAGATTGAAAAATTTCGACGCAAAGGCAAGCCTCGAACCGACATCGACATCGTTTGATTTATAATTTATATAACGCAACTCTGCAACATATATATCAAGATACATTTATCTTTTCAAATGTCAAACTGCAAAGCATAAGATTTTCGACCGTAAAACGCAGTCGTTAAGGTCGAAATTACATTGCGCGAGAGGATGCTTTGCAGCGGCCATGGTTACGGGAAGATTCCGGAGACATCGAGCCGTTGTTAAAATAATTTACAAATAAGTTGTAACTAAAATATATCGCGTTTGAAACCGTTTAACTGTTTTTAATAAAAATTTAATATCACAGGGTTCCGTGCTGTCCTTCGTATCGATCAGAGAAAAGCCATTACTTGAAGAAGTCGAGGCACACTTATCCAAAGGGTTCAACGGACAAAAAGTTTTGCAGTAAGTAAATTTAATAATTAAAATACCATTAAACGTCGTGGTATCATCACCTTACCACCCATTTTACATTTTATATCCAGATTTACAAACGAACTTACATGTTCTAGAAGAATTATAAAGCCATGAGAAACTTGTTGCCTTCGGTGAGGATGGAATCCATGACCCGTTGATTGTGACCCAGTTCTAACTACGACCCAACGTTTTAGATGCCAACAGCCATGGTCATGGCGGATCCCAGAACGTTAGGTCGTTATGAAAAACAAGTTACGCATCATTAAAAAAATTAAATACTTGTATATCTTAGATCGCCGATAGATTGACCGCCTCTGTAGCCAAATGGTTAAACGTATTGCCTAGCGTTGCGTTAAGCGCGAGAGGTCCTGGGTTCGAAACCCATGTTTCGGTCGGGCAGGGCACAGAAGTCTGATCAACTACTTGCCCCTTAAAAGAACGGATCAGTGAAACGGACACAGAAATGTGTTCGCCCCATGCCCCACGAGGGGGAAACGGGCTCAGACTTCACACTATCTTGAGCTGGGACAAGCGGTTGATCAAACTTCTGTTCCTCTACCCTTTTTAGTTTCACCAGGACTTCACGACAGGTCTTAAAGTTATTGTTAGCCAACACACTTAACAATACAGAGAGTACATCAAGAAAACCAGTTTAACGGCTTAAAACTCGAACTATATGAGCTTCAGATCCCTCTTAGAGAGTTTTGTAAAGTATCCGAAACAATTTGGAAACCCCACCTTAGAGATAAGCTTTAGCAACCTTTGCTGTGGGGCATGGGGTCAACATTTTTTTTAAAAATAGAGGAACACAGACAAGTGAACCATAGTTCACTTGATGGGAGGTGAAATACCCCGGCCATATCAAATATACATGATGACATATAATGCGCTGTTGACCCATTTTGAATTTGATGATTGATTTTTTGTTTGATGAGCACATCAGTTTTATTTGATTTTTCTGTAAATAGGAAGTATTCCTTCGCACTGGAGGAGGTGGAGGGGTTCAGGTACCGTTCCCGGGACGCTTGGCGGGCCGTGACAAGGATTGCGGTTCGCGAAGCCAGGCTACAAGAGATTAAGCGGGAACTTCTCAATTGTAACAAACTTAAGGTAAATATAAGTTTAATTATGCGATTTAAATAAATTTTCGAATTAATCTTTTTTACGATAAATGGTGAAATACCCCAGCGTTGTATAATCTAACTACGATCGCCTTTTTTTCCGTCCGGTTCTTGAACCACCATCAGGAAGTTAAATACCTGTGAAGTTTAATCTCGTTTCGGTTTCAGTTTGTAGATTTTCGAGTCTATTTCATTTTAACTTATAAGAATTTAAATAAAACACCTTTAACTGTTTAAAACGCGAAACATTTCAGGGAATTTAATTATTTCATTGTAAACGCCAAGTTTAGGGTGCTTGCTATAGTCGCGGGGACTGAAGACCGAAGGTGTATAAATTATAATAACTAAATTAAAAATAAAACCACTAATATTTTTCTCGTTTTGAACCGTTAAATATGTACTACTCACGTAAACAACAGACAATCCTTCCGATGAACTTTCCACACCAATATGATGAAAACCACTGTCCATATCACTTTGATGAACGACTAATCTTCTCCCTGATATCATTAATCTAAAACCCCCACCTCCCATGGTTTAAACCATCTCTAAACCAGCTCTTGCTTCCAGGGCTTCTTCGAGGACAATCCAACAGAATTGGCAGCCATCAAACGTGATAAGGCCCTCCATACTGTTCGGCTGCAGGAGCAACTGGCTCATGTACCGGATTACTTACTGCCGGATGCTCTAAGGAATGACACTCAAGAAGCCACCACAGAGGCACCAGCAGCACCCCAGCCGGAGAGCAGAAAGAGAAAGCAAAAGAACAACTTTGGTAGCATCAAGCGGCATAAGTATCAGGTTAGTTGGAGTTTTATACTCTTGAAAACTTAAATATTTTCACATGTTATTTCACATGATGACATATTTTTCACATGTTATTTGCACATAATGAGACTATGTAAATGAAAAATAGATTATTAATTGAAAAAAATCAATACGCAAGCGTTAAGGTTGACATTGCGTGAGAGATGCATGTATTAATTGTTTGAAAAATTTCGATGACGGTAGGTAGGACTCGGTAGCTCAATTGGTTAGAGCACGGAACGCTGTAGATGCCGGTTCAAGTCCTGCCCAAAGCGTAAATGGCTTCATACTGTTATTATGTTCATAGCTAAATAGTCAGCTTCTTGCCTGCTTGCCCGTGTCTTGCATTGCGTTAAACAATAGAGGTCCTGGATTCAGAACGCGGGGAAATAATATTTTTCGGCTGGCAAGACCTAGAAGTTTTGATAAACGCACTCGTTCACTTTTGAATAGACCGTTAAATGTGGTTTATTTCAAATATATTCCACACCAACGTAATATACATGTTGAACCCTGTGGGAATCGAACCCACGAGCCGGTCAAAATTGTTTTAAATTACATTTTTATTTTTAGGCCCGACACAGCAACCCATTGCGGAGCTTCGACCTTAAATCACTGAAGAAGACCAGCGATACGTAGCGTCTAGTCTCTTGTTAGTATTTCGGATATAATGAAATCTGACAATTTACCTTAAAATATTTTTCCAACAACAAATTTTTGCACGTGACAATTCCAAAAACAACTCATGCTCATGAAACAACAAAAGATTTATAATTAAAACTTATAATTTATATTTAAATTAAATTTAAACTAACATTCCGTGGTCCAATCACAACACACACACATTTTGTCCACTATACACAAATAATTATTTATACACTTATATACATTGAAATTGTAAAGAATAACACTACGAATACAAAAGAAAAAATATAATCAGTACAAGTGTGTTATTAAAAAAAATAACTGATTTTTTGTTGTATTTTTTCAAACAAAAAAAGAAAATAACCATCTTAAAACAAATTATTATAATTTATGTACTTTCTTCAAAGATAAATACCAAAAAAAGCTATAGAAATATACAATTATAAAATATTAAACTTATCGCAAGTCAAACATAGTTAACTGTGTGAATCACAAAGTATTTAGGTAATTAATTAATTGAACACAACTCCAACGACCAAGTCAGGTGTAGGGCATCCGAAGTGTCAAGCCAGAGTCGATATATTCCGCGTTTCGAACCGATAAAATATCACGTTCACACACAGATTAACAATTTTAAATCGTATATTTGTCGAAAATTTATTTTTGAAAGAAAAAAACTAAATTAGTACACACACACTTTTTACGAGGCTCTATTACATCTTTATTAAGTTAAATCTTTAAACATGTTTATGAGGGTAGTTGTCTTTTGGAATTTGGAAACCTGGATTTTTATCTGTATTTTGATACCAGATGATGTAAAATGGAAATAAAAAATGTCTGATGTTGTGTTTTTTTTCCTCGCAGCGCGCCGCCAGCTCGACCAGCATAGGTTAGTACTTTATTTGGCCAAACCCAATTGAAATACACTGTTATACCTATCCCTGCTTTTATTCAGTAGATTAAGAAAATGTTTGTGCTATATGAAACTAGCTGTGCCAGCGACTTCGTCCGCTTATATGTTATTTTAGGCATAAAGATGTGTGTTTGCAAACCTCTATAAATTAAGAGCTGTCCCGTCGTCCTTGCAAGTTAATGTTAAGAGATAGAGATATATTGAGGAGGACATGTTTTTAAATCGTTCAGACAGGAATCATTTTTCATACATATTCTTAGATAGCTTTAACCGTTTTCTCAGCGCACGAAACGGAAGCATTCAAAGTTAAATGATTTCTCTTTTCACATAGCCTAAAGCCTTCATTTTTTAAATTCGAACCAGTAGTGCCTTAGTGCGGTCAAACTCTTTATATTGTATAGATTGAATTAATGAACAATACACGTAAACGACTCTGTGATTTTGAACATCCCAACATTTTTTTATTATTCTACTAAATTACTTTTTATGTTCATTATAAAGATTTTGTACCATAGAAAAATTGCACTGGGTCGATTGGTTGTTTAATAGTATTTAGGGGCAATAGTGTCCGAATCCTCAAGTTATAAGATTTTGTTGTGATTGTCATAAGAAAGCTCTTTGTAGGCAATAGCGAGTTTATAGTTTACGCAAGTAGTACACATTTAAATAAAACACTTTAACGGTTTAAAACGCGATGAGACGGGGATTTAAGTGACCACAGCTGCTGTAATAGTACCAAACGTCGGGCCGAAGTTGAATGTCGAGTTTCCAAATAAGGTTTAACTAATATATCGCCGTTTTGAATCCCTTAAAGTGTTTTATTTAAAAGATTTTGTGGCAAATATGGAACGGGGTTGATTGGTTGTTTTAAAAATGGTTGTAATAGTGTCCGAATATCAGTAGAAGTTTTATATTGTGATTTTAAAAGAAAAGCTCTTTGAAGGCACTAACGAGTCTTATGTGTAAGTAAATGAATATAAATAAAACCCTTTACACGGTTTAAAACGCGATATATTAGATATATTTGACAGTATTTAAGTAGACTGTTGTATTAGTAAACTGTGATCGAATTACAGTTCCCTTGCTATATATTTTTTTTGTTAGAGATTACAATTAGCGATGTATGGCTAATAATTCACGGGCCGTAAGTTCGATTTCCGTAGGGTCCATTATGTTTCGAATCTAATGATAATTTTTGTAAGAAATCTCCATATTTTTTTATATCGAGTTGGTTGGAATATCGAATTTTCAGGGTCACCAACCACCTTCCGCATTTGAAAAAAAAATCGTGAATTTAAATCGCGTTTCGTTCCGAATCTATAGGTAAATTAGATCGACCACGCATCCTGCTTAGATGTTGGTTGTTGTATTTCACTTTTCATCATAAAAAAATCTTGAAGCAAATATCTACACTTTAAATTATTTCTGTCGATCTAACTACATACAAACGCGGCTGCTAGAGGCAGAGTGGCCTAATAATAAAAAATACGATTTTCTATAAGGCGAATAAAAATGTGCAACATGAATTTGTATTATATGTGTAAGAATTATGTTAACAATTTTAGGCCACTGTGCTCTTGTAGATTACCATTTTTATTATTAAAATATTGTAGTAACATTAAATTGCAGTTAGGCTATTCTGCCTCTAGCGGCCTCATCGTGGGTCTTTACTGTACAGAACCCACTCTATCTAATAGTCATGATTAAGGGGGACTGCGCAGTACGCAAGTCCCAACTACCAAAAATTGGACGTACAACATATCCCACTTGGGAGAGTCACAGACTGGCTCGTTCCAGTCGCAGTGCAATGACTGGCACCAGCCCGGGGCAACCGCCTTCGTGATCACGGTAAACCCTACGCAAGGTTAGTATGCCATGCGCTGATACGAAATGGCTTATATAGGTTACATGGGCGACATCATCACCGCGATTCAATTAGAATGTCAGTGACATCTTTTGACGAATTATTCAAATAAAAATGAGTTGCCATTTTATTGAGAATTAATGTACAGATTAAAAATTAAGTACAGATAAATTGCGTTTCTGACTGATCGTTGAAATGACTTCCTGATCCGTCGATTATTCTTGATTTAGTCCAAGTTATTCTGCACATCGATGTGATAATTCTAGACTTGACTTTTATTTATATTCTTTTGAGGTCACCAATATAAGGCCGAAAACTGAAACCACATACAATGCAGACCATTTCCCATCTACGGCGGATGGTAATTATAAATCATGTTATGTACGTACGTTACTTTTAACAAATCACTGTCCCCTCAAAGCCTTCGTTTTATGCAAAATTTTATCTATAGTGTAGTCGGCTAATAACTGATTTAATTCTAACTTAAATTGCTATAAAATATATTAATATAAAGATTATCGAAGTCACACTTGAAGCACATTACGTTAGTACAGATTAAAACCAATCTAACTCCTCATATAAAGGCAGTGCGGTTACTAAGAGTTAAGTTAAACATTTTTGGGATTTTATTCATGTAAAATTACGTGCCATATTGATAATAATAAAATATAGAAATCTTGTCCATACCACGAAGCTCCAAAGACCATAAATCAAACGTTTGTCTTCTATCTGCGAATGTCCGAAAAATGGGTCGATATCGTTTCTAATTTACTATTAAAGATCTCAGGAACTTCATTTTCCGTACTCTCTGTACACTTGTAGAGAGAGTACGGAAAATGGAGACCTATCTCTCATCACACATATAATTAAAAAATAACAGAAACATACAAGATCAACAAAGCCATATATTTGACGAAGCCAAAACTACACTGATTTTGAGTTCCTTCTCTTTTTGGGTGGTTCTTTTATTATAGTTCTAGAATCGCTGTAGGCTCTGCGCAGAGCTATGGCTTGTTCTCTAATTGTGGTTAGGGGGTTTTCCAGCGACGGGGGTCTGTGGAGATAGTAGCCATAGGGTCCCATCTCTCGGCGCTGCCAGGGGCTGGTGGTTATCCTGTAATTAGGGGGAAAGATAAAAAATTTACATTAAAACATATGCCACTAAATTCCCCGGTCTGCAAAAAACTCCGGTAATGTTGTGGTACCAAATAGGAGCCACGACGCTGTTATTCCACCAGCCCCAAATATTTGGTACCTGCATCCCAGGTCTCTTAACATAGGTACCATAAATAACCATTAAGTGTTTAAGAAGTCGAGTGTAGGAAATCGGGCTTAGACTTAGGCGTTTAAAGGTTTTCGTGACATTCCCTGTCCCCCTCCACTGTCCATGCAAAACTTTTATAAAATGTCTTGTTTCATAGTACCTAACATGGTCGACATTTATCTGAATTCCTTAGACAAGGCAAGAGAAGCGAATGCCTATTTTGGAATTCGGCTTGCTTCCCTACGACTCAAGACAACTGAATGCCTACATACGATACCTATGTGGAGACGTCTAGGAGCCATATAGACAGTACCGTGCTACCGAGAAGCCAGGCCAATTAACGGAATTGGATCCACGGCAACTACTAATAAATTGTTTACCATATCATTAGTGGTGGAGCTATCGGTCTCGGTCTAGTGTGATAGAATAGAGCAAGAGGTGAGATACCGCACAACCAAATGACGCATTGCTGCATGACCTTCCGACCTTCTATCTCCTCTCTTGACAGTACTACTGAGTCCTAAAAATGGAATTATAGGTGAAAACCTGAAGTGTACTACTGATTACATCATTCTGTGGCATTACTTACGTCGGCGTAGTAATAATCTATTGAGATTTTGATTATTTTAACAATTAACGTCCAGAAGTGAAGGCTGTATATTATCATCCAAATAAAGATGAGGTGCTGGAAAGAATAAACCTAGATGTAGATTGTCTAGTTGGTCAAATGGTACGAATGTATTGCCACCGACGTGTCATGGGTACGATTCCAGTTCCAATTAATTTATTGTTGTTCTGAAACATGTGAATTTCATTCATCTGGAAAATATAAATTGGATGGTAGTAATATCGAAATTCCGCCAGGGTGACGAATCGCGTTTATGTTGCGACCCGTGCAACAGCGCATTTGTCAGTTCGTAATGGCTTGAGTTCACCTTCCATGAAGAGAACCTCATGCTTGTTTTTCCTCTATCACAAAAAAGTAAACCTGTAAAATAATTTCCCATAGCGGTATCCGACGGAACATGAATCTTTTGAATATTGTGGAAACAACGCGATGCGCAAACGCAGCTGAACCTGCCGCCCATAAGAGTGTTGGTACTGCTGACAAAAAGTCCTCCCCGCAACGAGCCCACTCCAATAACTAGAACAAATGAAAACATGATTTTAATGTAATTACTGTTTGTACTGTGTGTACATTTCAATAAAACACTCGGTTTAAAACGCGAAATATATTAGTTAATTTATGTTTTTTTTTTAAACTTAGTGTTTTATTTTAATGTTACAAGCCTGTCCATTAACTGTCCTTAATCGTCGATGATGTCTTCTATTATAGTAAAGTAGTTTAAAAAAGTAACTTTTTAAAATGACCGCGAAAGCCTTACATAATTCCATGGTCCCGAGGAATGTTACATATTGTAGAATTTTGGTCGGATCTGGTACAATGTAATTAGTACCTGCATGTATTTATATAGAACTGAAGAGATTGTTTGTTTGAAGGCGCTAATCTCGGGAATTACTGGTTCCAATTAAAAAATGTGCTGTTGGTTAGAGCATTTATCAATGAAGGCTATAAAACATCACGATGCGATCAGTAGAAGGCAATAAACACTGGGAAATGTAGAAAAAGCGGGAAATTATAATCATCTTTGAGAGATTCCGTTGCGTGCCTTGTGAAGATATTATAATATTAACTTGCATTTACAAACAAGAGGAGGTTTAGAGGAACAAATGTTAATGCCCGAAATAACTATTATACGCGGACGATGTCGCTGGCACAGCTAGTTGGTAAATTAGCGAAGCAGACACAGATAATTGTCCGGTTTAAACCCCGCACAAGATAAACAATGTTAGACAAATGTAATATTTAAATACTGTCTATAGTTTACGCGAGTAGTACACATGCAGCAGCCGAAACGTCGGGTCGAAGTTAAAAATCATTCTCAAATAAGTTTAATTAATATATCGCGTTTTAAGCCGTTAAAGTGTTGAGATACCTATACAAGTACCATTAATACTTACTTGGATCAACTGAAAATTCATGTAATGCAGAGTGTGGACCATTATATAATGGTATTTTAGTATATATAATTAATATGGTGTCGTCATACTGGAATATTTTAATATATTTGTTGTTTGGTACATGTTGTCGTGTGCGTCATGTGTCATTATGACATTATATACACTCTGTTCTATATGAATTTGTAGAGAATAAACAATGTGGTCATTGAACTTTTCATTTTATGCAAAATCCCGTTTCCCCCTCGTGGGGCATGGGGCGAACACATTTCTGTGCATTTTAGCGTTTTCTGTTTCCGGTATCACTGCCCCCCCGGGGGTTTTTTTTTAACACCCTTTTACTTCCCCTAAATTATTTTTTTTATGATTTTTAACGCTTTAAAACGCGAAATATATTAGTTAAATTATATCCCGACCGAACCGACGTTTCGTTGTTTTGCAACAGGGGGGGGGGACTGATTATAGAGGTGTCTCTAATGCCAAAATCAAATCAGCTCTAGGAGATTACCTTTAGTCAACCGGTATGCTACTTTTTTGGGGATCCGCTATTTTAGTATAGGATCCCAGGTGTTTGGATATTGTGAGGCCATCCTCCTTATTAAACATTTGGGTGTTCATTCCATACTATTTTCAAAATAAATTGACGTGACTTCGTCATCAGGGCATCTTGTGTAGATGTCTTGTAGCTGGTGTAAATCTACCGCCAAGTAAAGTTGATTATCTACTATTCTTCATCATAAAAAGACTGTCATATTAAATATAATTTAATGTCAAAACAGTTTTTAATTTAATTCAAAAAGGTCGTTCTTCCAGGGTGGCTCCGACCGGGCGCGCCGCGGGCGCAGCGCTAGAAGCAGGGTCCCGGGGCTGCGGTGGACCGCCACACGGACATCTTGTTTTCTGTCAATAAAAGTTATATGTTAACAAACAAGTTATTTTAATTTACATCATCTTCAAGAGAATAGGAGTCTGGTCCCAATTGCGGGCTCTGGGATACCATTCTTATGAAGGTAACTAGGTAATGTGTCAACTAAACTGACTGGCATCGTTACATACTGATATGATTTTGTGTAAAACCTGACACTGAGACTGGTCCAGGGGTCCGACGATCGATTTTGATAGCGGGTTCGATTCCCACGGGTCTAATTATTTTATTTAAGAAAGTTCTACAAAATTACATATAATTTAAAAATTTATCGTTAACCACTTGAGCTACCGTGTTTTACACGTAATCGTTATTCGTATTTTTTTCAGTCTTTAGATACATGAAACAGACAAATTTTAAAGTATATAAAAAAAATGTTATTTGTAAGGCTTGAAAAGTAAAAAAAAATACGTAGCGACCCGACAAATACCCGACCGTCCGTAGCAGGATACACCCGCCTTTTTGTCATCTAAAACCCACACAAAACTATACCTTCGTACGCTAATTTTTATATTACACTTAGGTATTTAACACATACACAATGAGAAAAAAACTAAATGAGTGAAATCGACAAACTGACCGTTACATCAACAAACCCGTAAACTACTGAATTAAACCATAATGTCTTATACCTATTTAAATATTTGATTAAATAATGTAACACCGTAAATGGCAAATAAAAATTATATATATACAACCGAAACATATGCTCGGAGTTTGTCGAGTATCTCAGCCGTAGTCTCGCTAGCCGTGCTGACGAGTCTGGCGCCGATCTCTCTGCGCAGCGCCTGCCCCACAGACGACTCGCTGGCTGCGCGCGCGCCGACCGCGAACGACACGCGGCTACCGGCGCCGCTGACCTCCACCGAGACCGCGCCGCTCGCCAACCCGCTTCTCTAGTTGACAACTTTGTGTCTGAGCTATCATTACTGACTAAGTATACCCTGTCTCAAATACAATGACCAATTTGACAGCACCTAAAACCCCCCAAAGTAATCACGGAACCATATGAGGGTGCTAGAGACAGAGTAGCCTAACTGCAATTTTAATACTTCAGTTATTTATATTTTAAGGATAATTATACTATTGCTATTTAATCGGAGTGTCGCCTCATTATGTAACGCGTTACGCCGTTCATATACCCACCTCATTTCTTCCAATTCAAAGTTCAATAGTAGAAATTACATATAGTTCAAGCGTTTTAACCGGCCGCGGCGCACGCGCAGCATCGTTTCTTTATTTTGTTTGGGACATAGCTCTTAAAAGGGTGACTGTGGTACATTTAAAACCTGGACGAAGAGTGTAGTTACGTGTGGTTGTCAGCTGGTTGCGCCGGTTGCGTGTAGCCTCGGAGGCGGCTGTGCAGCGCTCCGACGAAACTGTTCACTTTCTGAATGGTTTGATGCACGCCGCGGGAGGCGCGGTCGTGAAGTTCTGCTTGCCTGGTACAAGAAAAATTACTATAGCAATGTCTGTAGTTTACACGACATATGAAATGAAACAATTTTAACGGTTTAAAACGCGAAATGTATTTTTTAGTTGTAGGGACACACACATTTGCAATGCACCGAATGCTAGGTCACGTAACCATAGTCGGGTCGTATTAAAAATAAATAAATTTGCATTATATACCGTTAAACGCGTTTTATTAAAAACACGTACGATATAATAATAATAAATCTCTTTATTTTACATTCATAAGTAGTAGTGGTATAAATAAATGTCATTACAATAAAATAATTACGCAAAGATTGACTTAAATTTGAATAAAAATGATGCCAAAAGGGTCTTGCGTCAGCATAAGTTATGGTACAACACTGATTTTCAGCAAAACCCTACTTATCGTCTGATAGACAGCGCTCATACAATTTGATATTTCATACAGTGACTTAAGCGGGAAACATTAACTAATGAATTAGTAAATATTGCAATTATTAGCGTAAAAATAAATACTGTCAATAGTTTACGAGAGTAGTACACATTTAAACAAAACACCTTAACGGTTTAAAACGCGATATATTATTATTTATTTGACAGGGTCACGTTTCAAATAAGTTAAACTAATACCCGTGACCACGGCTGCTGTAAAGCATCCGAAACGTCGGGCCGAAGTTAAAAATAATTTTCAAATAAGGTTAACTAATATATCGCGTTTTAAACCGTTACAGTGTTTTATTTAAATGTGTACTTCTCGCGTAAACTATAGACAGTATTTAACAATACACTGCTACCATTACACCACGAGCTCGTCAAGAACTCATGCTAAACGCAACACGTTCTACCATTAAGCTACCGTGGTAACAAATATTCAATCCATCAATATTTTCAAATCCCAGCTCTTTACCAACCACTGCTCCAAGTAAGGCATGTTGAAACGAGTGCAGTAGTGCTTCCGCACATAGTCCGCGTAGCACAGCGCGAGGAACCAGCACATCGTGATGTGGATCTGGGGCTGCTGCGTCTTCAGGAAGCGGGTCAGCGGGCCCAGAGGCACCAGCTCCGACTTACCGAGGAAGCCGGCGGTGGTCATCTCCAGCAGAATGTTCGGGCTCTGTTGCATACGTTTTTGATTTAAGTTGTTTATTTTACGTAAAAATGACTTGGCTGATTCTAAGAATGTACTTTATATCATTGGGTAGATGTTAAGGAACCCCAAATAGTATTTTTAAATACTGATACATATTTGCTGAAATTTGATCATTTTTGTGAAATAACGCCGCAATATGGCAAGTGACGTCACTACCTGATATTGACCATTGGTGTATGTCGATCATATGATCAACAGTGCTTGAAGTAAAGTAGTTACAAATTTAAATACTGTTTGTAGTTTACGCGAGTAGTACACATTTAAATGCAACACTTTAACGGTTTAAAACGCGATGTGTTTTAGTTAAAATTCTTTCAAAATTATTTTTAACTACGGCCTGACGTAATGCCGTGGTCACGGTGAGACCATTAAATGTGTTTTATAAAATAGACATTATTTATTAATCTTTCAATCAATCAATTTACCACACTGCCCACGTGACTATCGCCCGACGCGGACGTGGGCGAGCGTTAGACATTCACGCAATCAGATAAAAAAGGGGGGTAAAACTCACATCTCTAATAAGGGTTTCGAGATAGTACTGAAAGAAGCGCATGGAGCACACCCACAGGTGGACCATCAGGGCTAACATGCCGACCACCATTGAAAACTGGAACAACAATTGACAGTTAGATGGAAGATCAGATCTTGGCGAACTTCGGGTTTTAGAGCCGTACGGTTAATGGGGTGATCTATATTAAAGTCCATACAGATTTTTATTATCGATGAAAAAAACCCGGGATTAATAATATCGGATCTGAAACATCCACCAGGTGCAAATTTTTCGTCCGGAAATCTTGATTTGAAATGAGTGGTGGGAATATCGAAATTCCTTCCGGGACACAAATCACCGTCCACAGGTGACAAACTGTGAATTTCCAAATATTTAAAGCCAATACCTTGTTTGGTGTATATATGGCCGAGGTACTTCACCTACCATCAAGTAAACGCTTGTCTGTTCTCCTCTATAATAAAATACGTACAACCAGAGTTTTCTCTAAGTGCGACACGTGCGCGTGGTCGCCAGCGACAAATATGGTCGCCTGCAGCTCGTTGAATAAAAAGAGGGCGGCTGCGCTCGCGAACACGGCTGTCGGGCCCATCCCCCATACCTCCCCGTTGCAGCTCAGCCATCGCGCCACGCTCTCCAGCTGGGATTCTGACAGGTTCTGCCATATGTCAGAAATTATTATGATTCTGAGACAGTCAATACATAGATTGACTACATCTGAGATATGTCAGCGGTTCTTGAAAATTTATTTTTATCTTTACACATACAGTAGAGACGCTCTGCTGACTGTTGAGTTTTACATAAATACCCACTGTCTACTGTTTACGAGAGTAGCACAAATTTAAATAAACTTTCAATGGTTTAAAACGCGAAATATACTTCACTTATACGTATGTGCTAAGCGACAAACAAATGACTGAAAATACAAAATCAAATTTCTTTAGAGAATAACTTCGTGTAAAATAAGAAATAATGAAAAAAATTTGAAAAAAAAATATGATAAAACACATTGGATGGTTCATAACGCGAAATATGCAAACTTATACGTTTGGGCTAACCAACTTAGAACTATAACCTACCTAAGTACACATTTAAATAAAACACAGTCACACACAGGGAGACAGTCTCCCCTTGACCACGTAGTTAAAAATAATTTTGAAAGAAATTGGGCCGTAGCTAAAAATAATTTTGCAGTTTAAAATATATCGCTTTAAACCGTTAAAGTGTTTTATTTAAATTTATACTACTCGCGTAAACTAAAGACAGTATTTGAAATTATACAATCACAGATTTCGGATGCTTCGCTGGATAAGTAGTAATTAACTGAACGGGGAACACTTAACCAATAAATTTTGCGTTTTATACCGTAAACACACTTAAGCATTGCGTAAATTACAGACAAAATATTTAGAAAAGAAAATTAGCATATATTTGGCCGCTAGAGGTAGAGTAGCCTAACTGCTATGTATATGACTTGTGTTATTTATATTTTCATAGTCTTAAAATGTTTAATCTACAAAAGCACAGTGACCGAAAATTGTTAACATAATAGCGCATTTTTATTTCCCTCCATATTTTTTTTCAAGCCACTTTGCCTCTAGCAGCTTCACATATAAGTAACTTTAGCTGTCCAAAAGTAAATATTTTTGATTTCACTTACGCAGTGTGTATTGAAGCTTACAGTTTTTCCCGCCATGCGCGAGGTGCCTACAAACCGGGTCCGTGGTCATCATTTTCCCTAACGCATTGCTTTCTTCACGAGAATTTTCATTTTTATCCCATTTGTGGTTATGACAAATGTGTTATCTAGTTGGTAATGGTTGACACCCGCGTCTGTTGTCTGTATTTATATTTTTTATCTTGTCTATGGTTGCGAGAAAAAAGTTTACAAGACTATGCGATCTCTTTGCTCGTACTGTGTAAAGTTATGACGTCTGTTTTTTAAAACAATTTTATTTAGTTTGACCCGTACGGAATTTATTTATTTGGGTCAAAATTAAAAATTGAAATTAAAGCACCTTCCCGTTGTCAGATTGATCTAAAATTTGGTACACATATTTAATTTAGATGACAATACAATATAATAAAATCAATAACATCATAAATCAAAGATGGCCGCCGATACAAAATGACGGATTACATATTTTTCCTTAACTCAATATGGGTATAAAATGAAAGGGCTTTTTGTAATTTTCAGTGGACTCAAAAAATAACTAACTTAATTGTTTTTAAGTTGACCTTGTTATTAATTACTAAGATTAGAGTTATATAAAAGAAACCTGCTCATATCAGACAATGTCGCCTGGCAAACTTCACCATCCGAACTATTAAGTCTGACAAAATTTATTTACTTGTTCTTTGGAATCCATACGCAAAGTACATTATTTATGATAGAGAGGGTGATAGCCATATAACATCTCAACAAATTGCATTGTCGATTTGTATTATGGCTTAGGATATTTGCAAATCCACTCATTGTAAAATACGATACTTCACGACTTTTTATCTGTGGACGGTGGTTCGTGAGACTAAACATAGTCATGAACATCCAGAAAAATCATAAATCGATTAGAAACATGGTTTAGATGATTAGAAATTAGTTTCTTAGTACCTGATCAGTACATCCATAAAGGCCATCGCCCAATACTTATAAAAGTACGCTTTGCTAAAACGAATTTGTTAGGAAAAGCGTCCTGGACAAGAGCAATAGAGGTAGTAAACTTACTTAGGCAAAAATATTTTTTTTTTATGATGCATGGAGTGAGCTCGTGAAGTGTTTACAGGTAATGATTTCCTAGGGATTATAAAATAATAAGCTAATAATTACTAATAGTAACCTAATGATATTTAATATTGACCATGTACAAACTTGTATAAATACTAAAGTTTGCCTTTTTGAGGGTTTTCTAATTACAATAAAAGCCACATGAGAAACCTAGTTCATAATAAAACAACACTTAATTCTACAAGTGAACAAGGGGACCTGTTATGGCTGACACAGGTCGAGCTTGTCCATTTGTCTTTATTCAACTATTGTCACAACACACAGTCTAACACTACTTTATATACTTAGTGCAAAATTTCCCAAAAAAAAAACAAACAAATTAAATCTTAAATAGATGTATCTTCTAATTTCATTTGTATACATGGTGTTGCTAGAATTATCATGTTAAATTTATCTGTGCATTTTACTCACTATAATAAAACTATAAAAAAAAACACAATCAATTTGAAATAGATTTTAAAAGTTTTTTTCATACAAAATAAAACAGCGCAAGAGTCAAATACTGCCTGTAGTTTAAGGGTCGCCCCGTGACCACGGTTGCTGCAAAGCATCCGAATTGTCGGGCCGTAGTTAAAATATACTTCAATTAAGTTTAACTAATGTATATCGCGTTTTAAACTGTTAAAGTATTTTATTTAGAATCGCAAGAATCGTTTAATCAAACCCTGTGATATTTTTAAACAATTAGATGTAGAAATATAGAAAAAAAATGACAACGCGCCTCGTAGTTATCATTTACTGTCATTCGTTCAAGTGTTACACTTCCACTTTTAAAATCCGCAAAGAATTACCGCTTCAAACTACTAAGCCGATGTGAAATTTTTCGTCCTACCCACATTATTTTTAAATGTGATAATTCTGGCAGCACCTTTATAATATACACGTTATTAAAGTCCCATAGCTGGGAATAGGTCTTCTTTCTCACAGAAAAACAAATCCAAGCTGCTTCAGTGCGGGTACACATATTTTATAACTACCGCCATTTCATCAGTGAAGTGCCAGTGTACTTAACGTGCTTTCGGAGGGCCGAGAAGACCTATGTTCAAACTCCAGGGCTATAATTTAAATATTTAAGAAATGCCGGGTTATTTCGGCCGATTCGAACCGGCTATAACTAAATATATTACGGGACTAGTTTGCACTTACATGTATATAAGCTTTATATAGTTAAATACACATGATAACATTGAATTTGGTAAAACAATACAAAAATAATCTTTGTACAATGTGGGTATATAAACATTTTTTCACATATATTACAAATACACTTAAACATTTACTTTACGATGTAACTACGAAGACTTCTAATGCGTTCTACTAACGATAAGTAGTGGTAAACTACTTGAGAATAATAAGATACCACTTATTACATGGACACCAAACTATCTAATGTTGAGTAGATATAGCTTTGAATTTCCTCTAAAGTATATAATAATATAATAGTTAGAAGAATTATTAACTAATATTATTAGAACACTAAGTAAGTACCTACAATAGATAAGTAGTACACAACTCTAAAGAATTTGGTTTCTGCATTCATTGCCCTGGAATGTAGAAACAATATTCTTATATCTCCAATAAATAATACAATTTGCTTATGTCATAATGCTAAAAACATAATTTAAAACACGAAATGTTTGATACTGCTTCAAAGGATCTGAAGCGTAGGAGTTTACGTTTTGCACCGTTAAAATGGTTTGATTTATTGTGTACTAAGCTACTGAGTATTTGTTTAAGTTATCCTTAATTAATTTAAACGTTAACATGCGTAGAATAATAATAACCAGATTTTTATAATTACTATCCTAGTGTATGGGCTATGACCATTTCATAAACGAAGCGATTTTAAACAATTATAGTCCGTCCAGCAATTGTAGATAATGTACAGCGTACTTACGATTTAAATATTTACAATTTTACATTTAAAAAAACTCAAATACACCGCACAACGAACTACCACAGATTATAAATATTTGACAATTGTCAAGAAACGCGCTCTTTCGCGTTCCCGCCAAAAATATTATAGATAAATATTTTAATTTAAATAGTAATAAATACTTCTAGGTGTAACGTAACGCGTTACGACAAACTACAATTAGAGTAAGCTATCACTGTTCTAGTACGTTTTTATTAAGCCTTAAAAAATAGCTACATTTTTTATCTGTGGTGTTACAATACCGCGATAATATTTTCGTTGTCAACGTAAACAATAGTTATAACACTGAGATTATATTTTTAATCTACTAATGTATTTAATTCTACTTATTTTTATTAAATCTAAGATATGGGGTACTGATATTTCTAAGTTGTTCTTAAAGCTTACTTATAACCCGCTCGATTATTACTAAATGGAAATCAAATACCGTTTACCCATTTCGGGGTATGGTTTTAAATATTTACAAGCAAGGTAAAGGTTTGCCCTTTAAACATTATGCTCCCGCGGTTCAGAACCTAGGACCTCATAACGCGTAGTGTTTAACCATTATACTATAACCTAAAATTTCAGATTATACAGATAAAATTTGTTTAGTCCCTAAGGTTTACAAAGACAGATTTTTTGTTTAATATAAGTATCCTATATTCAATTACACGATATATATTGTATACTAGCTAGGGAGAGAAATCGTTCGCAAAAATCGTTATTTTGCGCGCGTGAGTTAAGCTGTTACCTACTGCGTACTTCGTCCTTGCAATAAATCGTTAGTTTTGCGCAGGAATCCAATGATATTAGTCATCGTATTTATTACTTTTCAGAATGGCAACACCAATTTTTAATGAAACTGTTTACGTACCAGGGGGGGGGGGGGAAAAAGTTGTGTTTTTTTTTGGTGACGAGGGGGGGGGGTAAATGTAGACATATAAGCATCGTAGTACTTTAAATAAGCATGTGACTTTAGTCTATAGTTTACGCGAGTAGTACACATTTAAATAAAACACTTTAACGGTTTAAAACGCGATATATTAGTTAAACTTTTTTAAAAATTATTTCTAACTTCTCACTGTAACGTTTCCACGGCTGCTGCAAAGCAACCGAAACGTCGGGCCGAAGTTAAAAATCATTTTTAAATAAGTTTAACTAATATATCGCGTTTTAAACCGTTAAAGTGTTTTATTTAAATCGTAGACTTTTTTCAGATCGTTTAAAGAGGATCATTCGCTCATACATATTTTTTGAGTAATATGAACCGTTTTTGCAGCAAACGCCTCGGAAACCCATAATGACAAATATTTTCCCCTATTTTGTCATTTCTTGCTGTATATTCGTTTGTATTAGTCACAGGGCGATGTTCTATAGCCTATAGCTAGCCTCGATAAATGCTCTAACCAACACAAAAATAATTTTTCAATTCGAACTCGTAGTTCCTGAGATTAGCGCGTTCAAACAAACTCTTCAGCTTTATATATTAGTATAGATTAAAGTTTACTTATTAAAAAAATTATAACAGTTCTTGCTTTGTTTTGATCAAATGTTTGATACTAGCGACCCGCCCCGGCTTCGCTCGGGTGCAATGCTGATACTAAATACACAACAGACTGTGAACGTTGTATATAAAAACCTTCCTCTTGAATCTCCATCTATTAAAAACCGCATCGAAATCGGTTGAGTAGTTTTAAAGATTTAAGCGCACATAGGGACAGAAAAAGCGACATCTATACTATATAGTAAAGAAATAGGAACATTCTTTTTAATTTGGGTTAACATTCATACAAGCCACTCAATGGTGTAAGCTTTGGTGTGTGGGCATGTGGATGTCTGGGTGTATGCTGTGTGTGGGGACTTAGGGGCACATTCGGTCTGCGGTCACAGCGAACACAGCGCGTGCTCGCCGGGGGGTATCGTAGTCACCAGGGGTCGTTTTATTGTTTTCAAACGCTGTAAGAAGAATATATTTAGGTAAATACTGTCTGTAGTTTACGCCAGTAGACCGCATTTCAATAAAACACAAGTTAAACTTATTTAAAATTTAATTTAACTACGGTCCAACGTTACGGCGCACACTCTCCCCGTGACCATGGTTGCTGCAAAGCATCAGAAACGTCGGGCCGTAGTTAAAATAAATTTCAAATATGTTTAACAAATATATATCGCGTTTTAAACCGTTGAAGTGCTTTACTTACATATTTAAGTACTAAGATTGAGAATATCTAACATGGGGGGGGGCCTTAATATCCCTACTATTTATTTAATTCAAAATAAAATAACACTTTAAACGGACTAAAACGCAAAATATATCAGTAAACTTAGAACTTAACACGGGAGTACAACTGTTCAGTGACTGTAGTAAAAATAGTTTAGTAGTTAAAATAAATTGTATTTTAGAATTCTAATATGTTTCACGTTTTAAACCGTTAAAAGTGGTTTTACTTAAATGTGTGCTACTTGCGTATACTACTAACAAACAGATATTAAACCAAAATCTAACATGTCTTAAAAAAAATAAAATATTAATTTTAAAACAATTTAGGACCTGGTGAGGATCGAACGCACGGCCTTTAAGATTTATAAGGCTTACATTACTAAGATATTATCAGCTTTTGGAATTATATAAAAACCTTACCGTAATACAATTTCCAGGTGTAATGATCAACATGTACAGTATATACAGCGGTATCAAGGACACAGTAGTAGCTGTCATTATCCAGCCAACGGTAATAGACCAGGGGGGGTAAGAGTACTCCCCTCCCAACATCTCCTGGTGGGCCAGTACCGAGAACACGAAGAGGACTAGCAGAAATACAGGACTGTGGAGACAAAACATGGTAGATATTTGATCATTTGGAAAAATCTACATACATATGTTAACAATGTCTGTAAACTTTGATGTATGTTATGGTGGCCACGGTACACTAAGCACGGATGATGTAGCTTATTTGGTAAAAGCAGAGAACGCTATGGAAGGCCAAGTCCATTGTCGTATTGTTTTTTTAATATAAATTGGTTTTTGAATTAATCAATCCGTTAAGAGGACGTTTTAAACAATTAAGACAATTTAAAACACGAAATAGATTATTTTACTTCATTAATAACTGTTACTAAAATGTTGATTAAGTAATATAGCTGTTTTGAACCGGTAAATGCGGTTTTATTTAAATTTACCTAAACTAGAAATATGACAGTTAAAACACCGCCTCTGTAGCCAAATGGTTAAATGTATTGCCCAGCATTGCGTTTCGCGCGAGAAGTCCATAAAAACCCCGTTCCATAAAAAAAAACCTTTAAAACCCCCCTACACCTAAGTAGAAATTACCTGATGTAAGACCAGCACGCCCTCCAGAACCATCCAGGCTTGTGACCCAGCATCGTGCGGACGTCTTCAGAGAAACGATCTACACCATAAACCCAGCACACACCAGCGGCTTCCGCGAATACCACGAAGAGAATCGCTAGACCTGGTCCGTATACGTTGAGAAGATCCACCAGGTACACTCCACCCTGTAGGATAAATAAATAGCTATACAATTCCACGATGACGTGTAGGACACGATGGCTCAATATAGCTTAAGGTGGCTCAAGATAGCTCAAATGGTTAGAGCAGCAGTAGGGAACAAGAGCAGTTCAAGTATCGCTCGTGACATTTTTTTTTCAATCTAATTATATTTTTAATTCATACCAATGTAGTCAATAAAATAACTAGATATGAAAAATTTGTATTATTCCATCTGTCCCTTGTGGGGTATTGGGCCCCTGGCCGTTTGTATTTTTATATGTCGATATTGAATATAATTGTAACAATGTATAAAACATAATAAATACATAAAAAAGCCGCTCGGTAGTTACAAATTAAATAAAATTATATCAAAAGCAGTTTAGCCGTTTAGACGTAAAAAACAAAACTATGCTGGTTGATTTAGCGATTTCTTTACAATCATCCTATAAGTAAATTAAGTTTCCAAATTATTTAAAACATAAGAAAACAATTATATATTTTTAAATAAGCGTATTTTTTCTACATTAGCAAATTACATCAAAAACAGTTCAGCCATTGCGACGTAAAAAGTAATGAAAAAAACTTATCATTTAAAAATAGGACAATAAAAAAATTTAAAGACAATTTTGTTAACATCACATTGACTGTATTTGTGTCGTTATTCTTTTAAACATAAATTTTGAATTTATATCACAATTTACATAAAATTATTATATATAAATATAAATAAACTATCTGAAGACACTCTTCACTACTGTCTATAGTTTACGCGAGTAGTGCACATTTAAATAAAACACTTTAACGGTTTAAAACGCGATATATTCTCCCCAGTCTCCCCGCGACCACGGCTGCTGCAAAGCATCCGAAGCGTCGGGCCTAAGTTAAAAATAATTTTCAAATAAGTTTAACTAATATATCGCGTTTTAAACCGTTAAAGTGTTTTATTTAAATGTGCACTACTCGCGTAAACTATAGACAGTGTGCAAGATAGATCTACCATCATCAATTCGCATCAAATTCAATGAAGACCCGCGTTAATAAACATGGGAGTTTTATCAGCGAATTCAGTTGCATTATTCATCAAAGGGAAGTAAGTTACTTAGATGACCGACCCCTTATCACTTGTCTTCGGCCACTTTTGTTAACTAACTTCTGGTTCGATTGTTTTTCTTTACTTGTTCCTCGAATTAAATACTGTCTATAGTTTACGCGAGTAGTACACATTTAAATAAAACACTTTAACGGTTTAAAACGCGATATATTAGTTAAACTTATTTGAAAGTGATTTTTAACTTCGGCCTGACGCTGGCATGCTTTGCAGCAGCCGTGGTCACGGGGAGACTAAACACGGTTGTCGACCTACTTTAGCTTTGACAATTTGGAAATTCCTAACGCGCTAAAAACGGGACTAAATTGCACGGCGGTTCACAGACAGATTTAGATTTCCAGACAAAGTCAAAAATATGTTACAGACAACTAATAAATTGAATCGAAAAATTTCGGACCCGGTAGGGGTCGTAACCGCGACCCGTTATAAGTAATTGTTAACATTAAACCAACGAGCTCATCACAATCTATTTATAACTTAACCTATTTATTTTCTTATATATTGCCCCCTTAATTTATTGAATGAGGCTTGAAATAAGGTTTCCAGACTGGCCTAACTGCAATTTTATGACTTATTTATATTTTCAGTCTAAAAATGTTAATCTACAAGAGCGCAGCGAACGAAAATTGTTTACGTACTTCTTACACAAATAATAGTACAAATTCATGAATTGCGCATTTTTATTCTCCTCCTTATTGAAAATCTTGTGTTTTGTTATTAGGCCACTGTGGCTCTAGCAGCCTCATACATGCCCTAATGATGATGACTCTGCTGACTCGACGAGCTGATCAATTCTCTGCTACGATAAATTCACTCCGGGCGCTATTAAATCTCGTACGGTACATTGGTTGTTACTCCGATAAGAAATATTATGTCTACCTTTTTTCGATCTCTATTTATAAGAAGAAAGTTTGATGTTTTTGCACACGACGGCACTACATAAATTAAGAATCGATCGAAATTAATACTTGGTAGCTCAATTGGTTGGAGCAACAGCACGGAACGCTGACGATGCAGGTTCAAGCCCTGCCCGAGTCATAATTTTTCAATTTTTAATTCGATCAAATTTGAATAATAAATGATTATAGGTAATCTTAAAATATAGACATATACTGTTAAGGATTTTCTTTGATAATTTAAAAAGTAATCATTATTACATTATTTTTTTTTCGTTTCTTAAACCGTTATCGCAACTTACGCAACGGCAGCAATCAAAGATAATATAACAAAAATATTTTTCCCTGCAGCGTGGCTTTATATAAAAATGACTAAATCTTTCCTGGATAAATACTGTAACCAACACAAACATATTTTTTCAAAACGAACTAGTAGTTCCTGATATTAGCGCATTCAAACAAACAAACTCTTCAGCTTTATATATTAGTACAGATAATGCTCGATTACGTACATATGTGGTCGTCGGCAAAGCACAGATGTAAATGAAGACCAGGAGACCAGCTACAAACAGTTCCCGATGTCGACCTAAAACCCGAGGGTATTCGTCGCAGAGCGCGGTGGTCACTGCTTCTAAACCTGTTCCAAAAAGTTATATTAAACCACACGATCGAGAATAAATAAAAATAATACACTTTTAATGGTCTAAAACATTAAATTTATTTACAATTTATTTTAACTATGTTAACGTTTAACAATGAAACGTTGAGTCACAATTAAAAATAAATTGTAAATAAGTTAACTAAGACATTTCTCGTGTCAAACCGTTAATAGTGTTTTATTTAATCCTTTTTTTCTTGCGGCGTGTACATGCATGCACACTACTAAACGCGGCAGTTAAAAAGATTTTTTAAATAATTGGAATAAATAAGACTGAAGATGGAGGGTGTACCTGACAAAGTCAAATCTGCTACGCTAGTGCCATCTATTGTTGGTATTTGGAGAAATTAATTATTCAACTATTTTATACTTTACCTCCGAACGTGCTGTCTAAACCCAGTGTGATCAGCATTAGAAAGAAGATGATAGCCCAGAAGACAGAACCGGTCATCGTCGCGATAGCTTCTGGGTACACGATGAACACGAGACCAGGACCTTCAAGACCCACTTCTTCAATGCTTTTGTTCTGAACGTGAGCCATATAGCTGCGAAGTGAAAATACGTTTTTACTCTAGATTTAGACTATAAGCATTCTTTACTAATTGTATGTTTATTTGTTTGAACGCAAATTGAACAATTATTTGTGTTGTTTTTTTTTTCTTTGGTTCTATATTTTGTTGTGAGATGATACATGAAAATGGTAGGAACTTCGTTGCTATTTGATACAAACTTTCCACGAAGTTCCTTTAAGCGCTAGGATTTTATTTACTAATGATTCTATACATAAAAATAATAAGTCGCTTAACCGAGGAGTTACATTTATGAGAAGCTATTTTTATAAAGATTGAAATATTATACAGAGTTAATAATATAATATGGTACTATTATTAAAAAGGAATACAATGCTAAACTGATTCTAAGTTATACTCTTTTATATGGTAAATTATTTGTGTTGGATAGATAATTTATGGAGGAAGGCTTAATTTAGGCAATAAAATGTTATGCTGCGACCGATAGAAAAGAAGAAAAAGTGGGAAAAGCGGATAAAACGGGGAAAATTCTTCATCTTTCAGGGCTTCAAGATACCCAAAAAAATATGTATGATAGAATTCTTCTTTAAATGATTAAAAAATTTCAGCGACAGTATGTGTCTGTCTTAAGATTAAAATGCAAGAACGACGGTACGCGACCCATTTTATAGGCTTTATGAGGAGGAACAACTCAAACTAAACTATTCTACGCGGCCATTGCTAGTTTGTTATATAATAGTTGGATCTCATTCGGGGTTTAAGTTTGAAGTTTAAGTGGAGCAAAAAGTTTTAATTTTTGCTTAAAATATTTATTTTGTCATAAATTAGTGTACTACCCACATTATTTATATTTTTAATAATTGATCTACATTAAATAAATACATTACATATGTCTACACCATGCGTTTATAAGTCTACACTTTCGTATAAATACAAACTGCATTGCACAGCATTTCACTTATGGTAATAAATTTATTTTTAAAATCAACATTTAAGGTCGATTCGAAAATTATATTATTTGTTAATAAAAAAAACGAGTTTCCGCGCCTCAACTACTCAGCTGATTTCGATAAAATTTTGCAAATATGCTCGGAACCTATTGGAGCACATTCTTTTAAAATTAATTTGATTAAACGGCAACCTGCTTACAAGGAGATCTCATGTGACATCATCAGTGTTTTCATCTTACCCCAAGACAGAGAAGATGACAAATCCGGCAAGGAAGCTGGTAAGGCAGTTGATCGAGGAAGTAATTATGGCATCTCGGTAACAGTTGTTGTTGAATTTGTTGTAACTTGACAGCGCTAGCAGGGTGCCAAACCCGGGACCAAGGGAGAAGAAGATTTGAGACGCCGCATCTATCCATACCTGGTAAAATGTTTATTTAAATAAAACACTTCAACGGTTTAAAACGCGATATATTAGTTAAACTTATTTGAAAATTATTTTTAACTTCGGCCCGACGTTCGGAGCTGACGGCCAGTTTCGCCAAATACCAACTTCGACGGAACAGATGGCGTTAGCGTAGCAATTTTTTACTTTGACGTCAGAGATATCCTCCATCTTTAGTCTCCCCGTGACCACGGCTGCTGCAAAGCATCCGAAACGTCGGGCCGAAGTTAAAAATCATTTTCAAATAAGTTTAACTAATATATCGCATTTTAAACCGTTGAAGTGTTTTATTTAAATGTGTACTACTCGCGTAAACTATAGACAGTATTTAAAATAATGTTTACTTATCAATGTAACAGGAAAGTTAACTAATTACAACTATGACTTGAAAAGTCTAATTTGCTACGCTAGCGCCATCTGTTTCATTGTCGTTGTTGTCGATCTATTTGGTTTTCTGATTAGATTGACCTTACGACTTTTCCCGACCTGGCTGGAATTTTGATAGCCTTACTTAAAAAAATGTTTCGGTCGGGCAGGGCACAGGAGTCTGATCAACTACTTGCCCGTTAAAAGAACGGATCAATGAAACGGACACAGAAATGTGTTCGCCCCACGCCCAACGAGGGGGTAACGGGCTTTCACTTTTTTTACCACCTAATTTAATGTCCAGATTACCAAACCTCCAACACGTGTTCGAATTACATATAAATTGGTTACAAGAATGTTAGACCGAAGTGAGGATCGACCCGTTGGTTATCACCTATTACACTGCTACCCATTACACCAACGCTTACTTTGGAGTTCTGCAGCTTGTGCCATTCCGGTGTGAGGTAGTACCTTATACCCTCAGTAGCACCTGGAAGAGTCACTCCTCTCGCGAGAAGAATTAACAGCACAACGTATGGCGCTAACGCCGTCACCCACACCACCTGGAAAGTTCAAGATTAACTTCACATCCTCCAAAGTGTGGCGGGTAGGTTATACAGCTTATAGCATCTAAACAAGATGTGCTGTCGATCTATTTTGCCTTTGGATATTCGGAAGGCGAAATGCGATTAAGCTTCACTTCTTCATTGCCAGATGAAGTCCAACATGTAATAAAAAATCGAAATTGAACAAGTAGAAATATGTTGGAAAAAATGTGGAAATCAAATCTCGTAGCCATAATAGTACCGTTAAAGCAGCAAGCCTTTTTTTTTTGCCTAAATAAAACTGAAGAGTTTGTCTGTTTGTTTCAATGCGACAATCTCAGGTACTACGTATTCGTATTGGACAATTATTTTGTGTTAGTTGGAGCGTTTATCGAGGCTACAACATCGCTGTGACTAATACAAACGAAGATACAGCGAGAAATGATAATAGATTAGATAGATAAAAAAATCATTATAGATTTCCGAGGCGTTCGCTGCAAAAACGGTTCAAGATACCCGAAAAATATGTATGAAGGAATGATTCCTCTTTACATGATCTAAAAAGAAGTCCACGACGCCATATGTCTCTCTTTTATGATTAACTTGCCAGAACGACGGGAAGGGACGCGACCGACGTTGTGGGTAACAGCTTAAGTTTATAAAGATGGCCAAAATAACGATTTTTGCAGGCGAAGTCGCTGACACAGCTAGTTTATATATAAAACACTATTGTGCGGGCTTATCGTGTTCAATCGACCACAAAAAACGGTTTTATTAATGTGAGTGGTTTTCATATATTTTGTCTAAATAAAGTATAGATAAAAATCACTGCTTTAGTTACCTTTCCCGCGCTCCGAACGCCCTTCCACAGTGAAAAGTAGACCAACACAAAAACACCAAAGACACAAAGCGCCAGTGAAGGCTTTATGGGCCCCATGTTATCCAAACCATTAGACTTGTGTTGCTCCAAAACATTGCGTCTGTAACAAACCATATCTTAACTTCTGTCTGTAGATTACGTGACTAGTACGCATTTAAAGAAATCACTTGAACGGTTTAAACTGCGAAATATATTAATAAAAATTATAAAACGGGGAGTCCACGGCTGCTGCAAAGCATCCGAAACGTTGGGCCGTAGTTAAAAATAGCTAGTGGGCCAAATTTAACTAAATATATTGCATTTTAAAGCATCAAAGGGTTTTATTTAAAAGTGTGCGTCATCTGCAAGGGTTCCGAAACGTCGGGCCGTATATATGTATGTGTAAGTAATATATTTCGCGGTTTTAATCGTTATAGTGTTGCATGTAAACAAATACGGGTTTGCACACGATAGCACTATATAAATTGAAAAAAATCTCGACTGGGCATGAATTGAACCGGCATCGACAGCGTTCCGCGCTGTTGCTATGTCCTACACGAGTCGTAATTCTTTTTCAATAAATCGATTTTTAACTTAAATACTTACTCGAAAAACTCCTTAGCTGGGGTGCTGGAATTGGGGTTGATTTGTGGAGAAGTTACAGGTGTACAAAGCGGTGTGTTCCACTCGTTGTCGCAGCTGGTCCAGGGTAGAACCGAATTTATGGAAGCCAGTGATGCCACCAAGTAGTAGACGGCCCAACCGATGATGGTATTGTAGTACATACCCATGTATATGTCTATCATACATATTGCATAGCCAACACCTGAATAAGAAGTGGCAACATTGAAAAAGAAGTAAAAACGGCCAAGTGCAAGGCTAACAAAAGAAATCAAAAACAACTTTATTGTCACCACAATATTAAAAAAGATTCAATTGGAATGAATTCAAAAAAAAGGTAGCGAGAAACGGCGGCCTTATCGCTATTAAGTGATTTCTTCCAGGCAACACTGAATATGGAGATTTACAATAATATTTGATAATAAGGGTAATACTAGAACCATACATTACCATAGACTATGTATAAAATAGGGAGTCAAATTTCATTTATTTTAGTTTTTTTATATATGTACAGTTTTTTGTAAAGGAGCCCCCCCCCCCCCTCACTTTAAATGTGTATATATTTTTATTTTTAAAGTAGCAGAGGAAAGAAAAAGAAGACACGGAACGGTTTGAGAAAATGTTCAACGGTCTAGCCATCGCTAGCTTTATCTATACTAATATTCTAATGCTGAAGAGAATTAATCAATTATTTTTCGCGCTGTAACTAATAGGAGCGGAAAAATTATAAAAAAAAGTTGAAAAAATCCGAGGCGTACGCTGCAAAAAAAGGGTTCATACACAAAAAATATGTTTAAAAGAGTGATTTCTCTTCAAATGACGTCTCGACGCTATATGTCTATCTTTTAAGATTAACTTGCAAGAGCGACGGAAAGGGACGCGAGGGATGTCGTGGGTAACTTAGGTTCATAAAGATGTTGAAGGTAATTGCAAAAAACGCATTCGGATGCCCAAAATAACGATTCTCGCGGACGAAGTCGCTGGCACAGCTAGTGGGCCATATTCATTATTCAATTTCCAAAACGTGAACCCTAAAGGAAGTGATATTATTTTCTTATTCGACCAATTATAAAACACCGCGCGACTGACTCAGTTAAACTGCAAACAAATCGAGTTTCAATAAATCTTCAAACACTTAAAATCAAATTAATCTCGGCTCGCGGGCGCAAACTTCGAAAGTCGCCATGTTTGATCGCATCAACGCCATCTGTCGGCGGCGGTAATCAAATGATATCTCAACGCTCAAATTGATTTAGGAGCGATATATTTGAATTGATAACGAATTTGCGAGCTGTACGTCGTCTTGGGATGGTTTATTGGCTTCCTCTATAACTCTGTGATATCACAAACACGATAGCGACGTTATTATAAAATCAATACGGGAATAAGTACTGTATTTTAATAAAACCACCTTAACGGTTTAAAACGCGATATATATTAGTATAAATTAATTGAAAATTATTTTTAACTAAGGCCCGACGTTTCGGATGCTTTGCGCCAGCCGTGGTCACAGGAGTCACGGGGGTCTTGTAAGTGTTTTGTTTTATAACTTTATAAAAATCGATCGAGCCGTTTTGGAGTAGTTTAGGAACATAGTGACACGAGACACGAGATTTATATATCGTATTCGATTATCTAAAGACATATTGTTCTAAAAATTAACGTGCGTAGAAATTTTTCTAATATTAGTTATTGATTTTACATACACAACACTTGGGTGGGTTCTTCTCCTTGAATTGAATTATAACTAGTTGAATTGCTTAGTCATATAACATATTTCTTCTGACTCGGTTGCTCAATTAGAGCACGGAACGCTGTGGAAGCCAGTTCAAGTCCCGCCCGTGTCGCAATTTTTTTTTCTATCTACAACCGATTTTTCATTTGTTTCCTCCATTTTTAGAATCTCCCCGTGACCACGACTGTTGCAAAGCATCCGAAACGTCGGGCCGTAGTTAAAATAATTTTCAAAAACTTTAAGTAATATATATCGCGTTTTAAACCGTTAAAGTGGTTTTATTTACTTTTACTTTCAAACTGTAAGACACTCCAGTTTTGGATAGTGTCAGAAACATTGATTCTTTACGCGTTCGGTTTCTTTTCGTAACGAAATTTCATATCTTGCGTCTTGGATCGTCCGTGATCTATTGGCCCGATGGTAGAAAAGTATCGTCTTATAATAATTTGACCAATCATCTTTTGCCCTTCTCTCACGATTTGGCGAAGTTTTATCTACCTTAATACTACTGAAGTAAAAGATTCGAGTTCTTTCAAATTCACTTAGTTAAAATTACCGCCTCTAATATAATGGTAAGCCTGAACGCGTTTAGTGCTGCGTCCTGACTCCAACGGTTAATACGATAATTTTTTTCGGTCGGAAATGGCACAGATCACCTGCTTATCTATGAATAATACTAAACCGTGAAACGGACGTAAAATAACGGCCGAGGCCCAATCAGATTTTTTATTTTTATTTTACTAGCGGTGCCCATGACTTCGTCCGTGTAGAATAGAACCTTGCGCGTCATAATTTGTTTATCCTCACAAAGATTAATTATTATTTTCCCCGTTTTTTTATTCCACATTTTCCACTAATTTTTTCTATAGCCTAATGCCTTGCTCAACACATGCTCAAACCAACAAAAAGTTTCAATTCGAAACAGTCGTTTCTGAGATTCGTGCGTTCAAACAAACTCTTCAGCTAAGCGGCATTACGGTTCAAATTTGAAGCTACAAGAACGTCGATCGATTCGCGAACGCCACAAATATTGACTCAAAAGCCTTCGGTAGTCTGAATGGTTTGTATGAAAACGTCTGACTACTGACCCTCCATTCAAACCTTCTACTGTCGCTCTGATTGCTATAAAACGCCTCTATCACTTGCAAGTATTGAAGATAAGCTATTTAGATACTGTCTGTAGTTTACACGAGCAGTACACATTTAAATAAAACACTAACGGTTTAAATTAATTTGAGAACTAGCTGTGCCCGCGACTTCGTTCGCGTGGAATAGTGACTTGGGGTAGAATTTTGTATTATTTAGGCTGTTTATTAATTTATATAATTGAGCATTTATCGCAGCCAATCTATGTTGTAAGTGCTACTTTGCCGCAACACTCTCGCCTCACATCACTCCTACTGTAACTCCCACTCCCACTCCCACTCCTATTCTCAAAAACCCAAAGAAAGTTTCATTGTTCTAGCTTCAAAAACCACGAATTTAAATACAAACGTTTACCCCCCCTTTTAACTTCTTACAACCCCCTGCTCGCAATAAAAAGCAGACAGACAGACAGACAGAGTTACTTTCGCATTTATAGTATTAGTAAGGATTGATTTAACTTCGGCCGGACGTTTCGGATGCTTTGCAACAGCCGTGGTCACTGGGGAACCTAAGTATTTTATTAATATCATTATATACTTTTTAATTATCATATATATTCATTTGAACTACTCAACTGAATTATTTTACCGCGAAAGTTGCAAGATCCATGTACAAAGTTCGTTTGTAAATTAAAAAAATAATTTATATAAAAAATTACGACACGGGCACGACTCGAACTGGCATCCACGGCGTTCCCGTGCTGCTGCTCTAAAGCCTAAATTGAGCTACCGTGTCCTGCACGTCATCGTCGATTTTTTTCACCCTATTGATACAAGCACCTCTCGTGCAATGTAATTTCAACCTTAACATGTACGCGTATTAAGGTTCAATATCCACCTGTTCAAGTCTTACCCGAGTCGTGTGTCTATATAATTACTCAGTAATAACGTAGCTTTCTAATGAAAGAAAAATTATTAAAATCGGTCCAGTACTTTTTGAGTTTACCCGTTACATACAAAAATACAAATCTTTCCTCTTTATAATATTAGTATAGATTAGCTGATCCCTCAAACATCTTGTTGTTTGGTTGAATAATATTATTATGTTGATACAACGATAAGAAATAAAATGCGCTGTCGTCCTATTTTGGTTTTGGATATTTGGAAATCCATTGGAATCAAAATGCGATTAAATTTGACGGCTTTTTCACCCGTGGACGGTGATGACAACCCATTTAACATTCAGAGGAAGTTCAGAAAAAAATACACATTAATTAAAAAAAAAACATAAGACGACAGCGCATCATGCTGTGTTATATGGGCATTTCATCTTCCATCAAGTGAATCACATGCTTCTCTATCATTAACAGTAGATCTCGTAAACAAGTGGTATTCGCAAAACTCCAACTTCGACAGATGGCGCTAGCGTAGCAGTTTTTACTTTGACCTCCATCTTAGTCTCCCCGTGACCACGGCTGCCGCAAAGCATCCGAAACGTCGAGCTGTATTTAAAATCAGGTTCCAATAATTTTAACTAATATATATCGCGTTTTAAACCGTTAAAATGTTTTATTCTCGCTTAAAAGTCACTAGTGTAAGTGGGTTTTAGGAAAACAATAGAATAACGTAGATACGAGGTCCGGTTTCATACATTAATGCAGCGGGAGCGTTCACCATCTGTCTTCACTAAAAGCATTGGCTCTTGTATATTTATAAGAAGTGATAGGGTCCAGTTTAAGATGACACTTCGATTCGACTATTGACCTTTATTTAATGAGAAGAATTCACTTACATACTGCCTGTAGATAACGCGAGTAGCACATTTAAAACATTTCAACGGTTTAAAACGCGATATATATTAGTCAAACCTATGAATTATTTTTAACGACGACCCGACGTTTCCGATGCTTTGCAGCAGCCGCGGTCACGGGGAGATACGGGGACAAACGTCGACCCGTAGCTAAAATAATTTTCAAACAAGTTTAACTAATATATTTCGCAAAATAGTGTCTGTAGTTTACGCGAGTAGTACATTTAAATAAAACACTTTAACGGTTTATAACGCGATATATATTTCTTAAATTTATTTGAAAATCATTCTAACTACGGGCCGACGTTTCTGACCCCTGTCTATCTACGTCTGCTGCAAAGCACCCGAAACGTCGGACCATAGTAATTATATTATTATTAATAATTTTCAAATAAGTTTAACTAGTATATATCGCGTTATAAACCGTTAAAAGTGTTGTGTATCCTGCTTTATCATAAATACTTCTAAAATGTATCGTGGACAATCCCCAATTTTGAACAATGAATATAAAAGAATGTTTATTGGAAAGAGAAGTTATTTCAGTATTAATGTATTGTCAGTGACCCCGGGAGGATTGCGGCTTCCCCGGAAAATCACTCCAATTTTATTGACTGTCGATGAAACGGAGACAAATAAACATTCTATTCTTACGCTTGGGAAATGACGAAGATGTTTTGTCTGCAATTTGCGTGATTGATCCGCGCTCTAAAATACTTTTAACGGTTTAAAACGCAAAACATTAGTGATTAGCTAAGGGTGTAACTAGCGTAAACTCAGCAATATCTGGTATACTAGGCGTAGAATAGTTATTTTGGACTTCAAATTTTTTCAAACTTTTATCTTTATAACCTCTTGCCTCCGTCGTTCTTAGAAGTTAATCCTAAAGAGATATGGTCGTAGACTTTTTTTAGATCATTTAAAGAGGAATAATTCTTACATACATATTTTTCGGGTATCTTGAACCATTTTTGCAGGGTACGCATCGGAAACCCACATAGAAAAAAATGATTCTTTCTCGTTTTTTCCACATTTCCCTGTTTTTCTTCGCTCCTCTTAGTCACAGCGCAATGTTTTATAACCTATAACCTTTCTCGATTAATTCTTTAACCAACACAAAAATAAGTTTTCTATTCGAACCAGTAGTTCCTGAGATTAGCGCGTTCAAACAAACAAACAAACACACTCTTCTGCTTTATATATTAGTATAGATATAGATAGATAGATTTTAAAAGTTTTCCATATTTTAAAATTCTAGATCTAGTGTATCTTTACCTTTTAGAGCGGGACATATTCTTTTCCACAAGGTAAGACAGCCACACCGATGGTATTGTCCAAGAGCCAACTCCATGAAGAAGAGAGGAAGACCACCAAACAGCAGCATCACGCAGTAGGGTATGAGAAAGGCACCTAAAGAAGAATATATATCAATCTGTTCTTAAAAAAAATATTTAGGAAGATTAAAGGCCGATATTAACGATTTTAAACGCGATATTAATTTTTTTACTACGTTCTAAATCGTAATAAAAAATTTAACGGTTTAAAACGGGGGATACATTTGATTATTTATTTTCAACTACGTTCTAATTCGATAAAAAACACTAAATTAAACGGTTCAAAACACCGTATGTATTAGTTAATTAATTTTTAACTACGTTCTTAATCGTAAAAAACAATGTTAACTGTTTAAAATGCGACATATATTGAGTTTCATAACTAGTCTAAATCTCAAAAAACGTAACCTTTTAAAAGCGCATATATATTTGTTTATATAATATTTTTAAATACGTTCGATAATTAACATCTTAAATATTTCACGTTTAATACCGTTACAAGTGTTGTAATTAAGCACTCGTATATACACAATACTCTAATTTTACAAATTATTTTCAATATTCGAGAGTCATTTTCATTGTTTGTATAACACTTGAAGGGTCTTATTCTTTTGTAAAATTTCTGGTGTAAATTGCTTTTGTCTTAGAAGGAAAAACCAGCAGGATATCAACTTTACAAGTTAGCTTTGAATAACAACAAGAATAAATACGAATTAATTATTGTTTCGCAAATAAAACATATAAAACAGTAACGGATATGGGATTCTGCAGTATCCGAAAGTTAAAAATCATTTCCAAATAAGTTTAACTATATATCACGTTTAAACCGTTATGTTTTATTTAAGGTACTATAAACAGTATTAGTTGGAAACATTTAAAACTAAAGCCTGTAATATTTCTGGTACAGTCGATTTTACACATTTGGGTTAGTTAACTAGCGCGTAGCAAACTTATTTTGATATTAAAGACACACCCATCTGTAGTCTCCACGTGACCACACTGCTTACAAAACATCGGGTCGTAGTAACAATATGTTTAACTAATATTTATCGCGTTTTAAACCGTTAAGTGTTTAAATCAACAAAGTAAGTGGTTGAAGATTAAAGGAAAGTTGAAATAATCATACCCCCTCCATTCTGATAGCAGATGTAAGGGAATCTCCAGACGTTGCCAAGGTCAACCGCGAAACCCACCACGGCCAGCAGAAACTCCGCCTTCTTCGCCCAGGTCTCGCGTTCCCGGGGGGGCGTTAGTGATACCACCATAGATCGACTTTTGGGCACCTATTCGGGGTTAATATGCATATTAATTGTAACCAATTTTTGACGGGTTCTTTGGGTGTAAAGAAAGCAATGTACGGCTAATAATCAACGGGCCGTGGGTCGATCCCCATCGGGTCGAACATTTTTCTAATTCTTTTACATGTCGGAGTTCGTTTGGAGATCTGGTTGTTAAATCGGTGTTAGGAATATCGCAATTTCGTCCGGGGCAAAGTCTTGAATTTTGACAGTAGTTTACGCGCTAAAGTATTTTTTTTACACTAAACAGCTTTCTATGCCAGCCAGTTCGAAATTTAAATTAAACCTTTCATAAGTAACCTCTTTGGCCGCCATTTTGTTTAGTCGAAGATCATTCCATTTTTAAACTTTTTTGGCCTGAACCCGACAGATATGGATCAGCAAGTTCGATTTATCTGGAAGCAGGTTGTCGAAATCATGTTTGATTTTCCAAGCATGTTTGAAAAATTTACTTACATTGTTAGTAGCGGTTTGGGTGTTACTGGGAGCGGTAGCGGGAGCGGAGGCGGGCGTGGTAGCGGATGGCGTGTCGGGCGGCATCTCGCCTGTTTCTTCACAGTCGCCGCTCCGCTCCGGCAGTGGGCTTCCACCCTAATAAATAAAAATTAAATTGTTAAATTAGATATTACGTGGCACAGTATTTTGTATTAATTAGTTATTAGGTACATTTTTAAAAATTCGACACCGACAGGACTCGAACCGACATTTTCAGCGTTCCGTGCTTTTGCTCCAACTGAGCTCCTCTGTCTGTCTGTATCGTGTCGTTTTTATGTGTTTAATTAAGTCAAGTGAAATATCTATACTAATATTATAAAGAGGAAAGATTTGTATTTTTGTATGTAATGGATAAACTCAAAAAGTACTGGACCGATTTGAATAATTATTTTTTTATTAGAAAGCTACATTATGACTGAGTAACACAGGCTATATTAAATACTCGATTACTATAGGCATCTATAGAAATTCTTACTAAAACTAACGGAAGGCGTAAAAAAATTAGCCGTAAAATATCTTTCTTTCCATACGCTGCGAAAAGTATTAATGATAGGACAAAAAAATGTTCGACAATATTAAAGAATATATCAATATCTACAAAAAACATCGCGAAAGCATATGTCTAACTGTTGTAGTTACGTCGCTATAACTACTTTTTTACATTTAACAAATTGATAGAAATGCCGATCAAAATCAGACCGTGTTATCCATACCATTTATAAATTTTTATCCAAATAAATAATTTAATATTCAAGACTGTCTCAATACCTGATGATTACTTTTTTAATTATTGAAATCGGACATTCCATTCAAAAGATATCATGAAGTTAAAATAAAAATACATGCCGGCGGCTACCACGCCGCGCATCGAGTAACTAACTCGACGAAAGGGGCAGTGGGCTCCTTACGCAGTGGACGCGACCGACAATAAATATTTCGTTTTTTTTTAACATTTTTATGCTTTGCTTAAAAAGTTCTTTTCAGAGCTACTTAGTTTTAGTATTAGGAATCACACTTTGCATAATATTTGTCAATGTTCTTTTCGGAATTATCTCTTGGAACTTGAATATTTTCTTTGTATTATTAGTTTATTCTTAATTTCTCTGATTTAAAGTAAATACAACTAAGAATAGTTCCCAAGCGAGATTAGCACAAATTCGTCTAGTCTTATTGAAGAGTCTTCTAAAAATGATCGTCTGGAAAGTATTAGAGTGTACGCGTCCCAATCGCGAGCCAGAGATTCTATCGTCGAACGTTCAGGTTCGTCTTGCAGAACAAAATGCAAGATCGTCGCAGCGACTCGAAGGAAATAGAGCTAGGAATTCGCGAACGCGTGCACGCTCGCAGCGGCTCCTGAACCAGCGAGATAGACCACGGTCGTTAACGGAGAGGACGCGAAATACATTTTCTTTTCTAATTTAGTGATTCTTGGGCGTCTTCATTACCATGCTCATAATTTAAATATCTGTCAACCCATTTATGTCTACCCGTGCGAAGCCGGGACGGGCCGCTAGTTTGTAATAAAGTAATTGTTAAGAATAAAACTAAATAAAACACTATTAACGGTTTAAAACACGAAATAACCTATTAACCATAAATACGTCTAAAACTTCTTATGTGATATTTAGTTCAAAAAATAAAAACTTACCCAATCATAAAAACTTAAGTATAGATGGAGAACTTATAAGACAAACTAACACTGAAAGATATCTTGGCCTTATAATTGATAAGAAATTGAACTGGAATGAGCATATAAGCTACATCAAAAACAAACTCTTATCTTTAGTCGGAAGGCTTTATACAATTGCAAATTGTATCCCACATAAAGTGAGAAAACTAATTTACAATAGCCTAGTCAAACCCCACTTACTTTACCTCATTGAAGTATGGGGCAGCGCTTCTAAGACAAATATAAAACCGCTACAAATATTACAAAATAAAATTATAAAAGATTATATAAATATGACTTCCGAACATCGACAAAAAGATTTTTTTCTGAAACTAAACTATTTACTATTCAGCAGCTTTATAAATATAGTACTTGCGTACTCATATATAAAATAATCAACAATTTAACTCATTCCAATATACATTTTGAAAAAAACTATTCAACTAAATTTTATAAGACCAGACGTGCTAGCTTATTATCTCTTCACAACATACGCACGAATTATGGCAAGAGCTCGATAACATTCTCTGGGGCACAATTATTTAATAGTTTGCCAAAAATTGTAAGAGATTCAACTTCACTTAGTATTTTCAAAAGTAGGCTTAAATCTTTCTTAACTCTTAACAACACAATAATCAAATAACAAGTAGTAGCTTTTCAGTAAAATACTAATTTTAAAATATCATTTTTACTTAAACTTATGATTTTTAAATTTCAGATATTATTTTTAAAATTTTAATCGCGTTTGTCACTTGGACCACCGGCTAAGTGAGGTTGAAACTCGTTTCTTATCGGCACGATGTTATTGCGTCGGCTATTTATAGTTTTGTTAAGATTTTATTATAAACTACCCGCGTGATGAATGGTAAAAATGTATATATTGTATTAATGTTTCTCATATAAGTGATTGTTATAATCTTAGTGGGAAATAAATGTCTTTAAACCGAAATGTAGTAGTTTTATTTAAAGGTGCTATTTGTGTAAATTACAGAGATTACTTTAGAAAAAGCTTGTTTTCATTAAAAACAATTTAACGGCTCAAAACGCGAAATATAAAAGTTAACATTTTTCTAATTTATATTACCCACAGCCCGATCGCGATCTTTTGGATATTTTGCAATACCCGTGGTAACAGTTAATAAGTTAACTAGTATATTTCACGTTTTAAACTGTTAAATGTGTTTTATTATAAAGGGTACTATTCACGTAAACTACTTAATATAACTAAAGAAAATACATTTGTGTCGTATACAGAAATTGGTCAACAAGATTCCCAATTGTGGGGGGAAAGGGGGAAATTTAAGGACAAAATTCGATATTTAAAAATTAACGGACTTTCATTTAATGGTAGTGAGGGCAATAACCAATGATTTAGGTTTTAATATTTTTCTAATCAATGTATAACGTTTATGAAACACTAGCTGTGCCCGCGACTTCACGTGGAATAGTGACTTTGGTTAGAATTTATAATTATTTACACGGTTTATTTATTTATAAAAGGACGCATTTAAGGTAGCCAATCTGTGTCGTAAGTGCTACTTTGCCGCAACTCTCCCACTCACACCTCACACCACTCCTAATCTAAGTAGTGGGTAGTTATAGAGTTAAAGCCGGACAGACAGAGATACTTCCGCATTTATAATATTAGCATAGATTATAGACCTTTGGAAATCTGGATAGTAATTGGTGGTAGGAATATCGTTATCACGAAGCACCTATGATAAAGCCGTGAAATTAAATCGCGTTGGTTTCAATCTGGATTTCCGAATTTAAAGCCAAAATACAACACATCAATCTTATATTAGATACCATCAACTGAGCCCCTGCATCCTCCTCTACGATAAGCAAAATCGTAGTACCAATAACGCAAGCAGAATCAACAAGTCGTCGCTACAAAGTTGTTCCATCCGCGGTCTATATAAATACATCGACAATTTGTCGTGTTTGTTCGTCACCGCGGCACGAGATTGCTTGACAAATAACAATAATGCGGATGACCCTTACGGGGGCTTTGGACGGTAACCCCCCCCCCCATTCCGCTCCGCGGCTACGGAGCGTGGAATTAAATTTTAGAGAAAAAACGGGACGTTTCGTTTATACTAAGATAATATTGAGATTGTAGCTTAATTCCTTTTGAAAAATATTTTGATATTTTTTATCTGTGATGTAACTGTTTGAAGATGTAACTAACCGTTGCATTACGTAACGCGTTACGGACTTCGCGTTGTCAATAATTATTAGTTCGTTTTAATTCCGCCTTTTTTGTGATTTGTTTTAGGTAAGTATTGTCTGTTGTCGAGTAGTATACTCAAAGGGGTTACTACAAAGCATTCGAAACGTCTCGCCGTAGTTAAAATAAATTAATAATAAGTAAGATAACTTATATATAAATGTATCGCGTTTTATACTGTTAAAAGTGTTTTATATGAAGCCGTGATCACGGAGGTGCTGCAGAGCATCCGAAACGTCGGCCCGTAGTTGACATAAATTAATTCATATATTTCGCATTTTAAACCGTTAAATGAGTTTTATTTAAATGGTCACGGAGGTGCTGCAGAGCATCGGGAACGTCGCACCATAGTTAAAATAAATTGTAAAACAAGTTCTCTAATACATGTCGCGTTTTAAACCGTTAAAAGTAATTAGATAGCTACTTACAAACAATAGTTAAGTGTTAATTGATAGCACTAAATCATTGGATTAGCTTTATCTCCCGTAAAAGCTATTTTATTAGCTCTTAAGTGAATCATTGTAATTAAGACTGACGGAGAAGCGAACAATCGTTCCTTCTGAGATTGAGAAGCTGGTTTAGCAGTAGTAATGGCTAATAATCAACGGGTCTTTCGGACCCCATCGGGTCAAACGTGTTTCTTATCAATATGTATTTATTATTTATATCGACCGCCTCTGTAGCCAAATGGTTAAACGTATTGCCTAGCATTGCGTTAAGCTCGAGACGTCCTGGGTTCGAATCCCCAGGGAAACAAAAAATTGTTTCGGTCAGGCAGGGCACAGAAGTCCGATCAACTACGTGCCTGAGAAACGGGCACAGAAATGCGTTCGCCCCATGCCCCACGAGGGGGAAACGGGATTTCACACACATTTATATTGATAATTTATAATCTATCTACACCAAGCTGAAGAGTTTGTTTGTTTGGACGCGCTAATCTCAGGAACTACATGTTCGAATTGGGAAAAATATTTTTGTGTTAGTTAGACATTTATCGAGGAAGGTTTCAGGCTACAAAAAAATCTTACTGCTATTAAAATAGGGGCGAAGAAAATGTGGAAAAACGGGGAAATTATTCGTCCCTGTGGGTCTCTGTTACGTACGCTGCGAAAACGGTTCAAGATGTTCAAGAAATATGTACGAAAGAATGATCTAAGAACAGTCCCAGTCTCAGAACAGTATAAGAGCTTAACTTTA